AGTAGTGAAGGGATGTGATCCGGTATTCAACCTGTAGTAGGGTAGTGGCTTTTTCTCAAAATTAAAAAAAAAAAAATAAAGAAAAACTAAAAAAATTTCTTTTTCAAAAATGTGTCAGTATGAAATCACTATTTTTCATTGATTAAGTTTTAATCAAGTCTGCAGTGAGCGGTGAATATTTCCAGATACATAAGCACTATACTGTACAAGTTCGTATCGTACCTGTGTGTGTTACGGAGAAAATCAAATTACCCGTTGTTTTGAATTTCGCGCTAAAGTTGCCTCTTGTTGCCACGTGGAACTACTTATTTTTATCAATGAGGGCTTTAAACAGAAGTTCACCTGTCTCTCTTTCAAGATACATCATCAATTATTTTTAAAAAGAATACAAATTGGAGGGAAATTTTACGGTTTTATTACCACATAATTTACACACAGGCACACAACATACTTACATCTTTAATTGAAACTTGGCAAATCTGGATCTGACTGTTTCCCCTCCCTCCTCTCTGAAAAGAAAATAAACAACGTTAACTTAACCTCAAACTTGGACTTGCCTGCCAGTGAGTATCGCATGCATGTGATGTGATAGAATCAAAGGAAGTAACTGAAAACCATGCGAATTTTCTTAACTCTTCTTGGCATCTTAGTGTTTTCCGCGCAGTTCAATCGTTCAATTAATCCATCCTCTTATCCTTTTTACATTTGCCAACTTTCTCCCATCTCTGGTCTTTAGCGCAGTGTCGCTCAAATCTCATGGAACGTTGCAGCGAATCTCTGGATTGACAACTTATGAATCTTTTTTGTAGCAATTGAAGTTATCGAAGATGAGACGAAGAACTTATCCTCTAAACGTCAACAATGGATTCGAAGATTGGGTTTGTATTGTCCTTTATACCGAAACTTGAGTAGTGCCCAAGCAATCTAAGGAATTCTAATCCATGCTTGTTACTTTCATTGTTTTCTAATGCTCCTTTGGCCCGATTTTAGATGGAAAGTCCCTTTTACAATTTTTAGATTTTCATACAGAGTGGAAGACACGGTTGTCAGTCAAAGAAACTTGCCAGGGGGCGTACTTAAGGTGATTCAACGGTTGCCAATTTTTGTGTCAAAGCGTCGTGCGATTTATCGCATCAACGCTTTCTATAATTTCAGCTACTTGTCATTTTTTTTCGAATTTTGGGAACATACTTCTATTGTCATGAGACTAAAGAATTCATGTACCAAATTTGACAAAGAAATTCAACATAAAGAAGACAGGGTTTTTTCAGAGGAAAAATATCGCATTCGATACTGATATCAAAACTGCTCTTGAATGTAATATTTTTCCTCTGAAAAAACCCTATCTTTATTATGTTGAATTTCTTTGTCAAATTTGGCACATGAATTCTTTAGTCACATGACAACAGAAGTGCGCTCCCAAAGTTCGAAAAAAATGACAAGTAGCTGAAATTATGGAACGAATTGATGCGATATATCGCACGTCATTTTGACACAAAAAATGGCAACCGTCGAACCACCTTAAATGATGTTTGATACATCTAGTACGGTTAGTTCTTGAGAAGTAAGGTACATCTAAAAAAGTCCTTTCACTTACATTGGAAAAGGGAGGAAGTTTAGCCATCAAAGCTTGAATTTTCTTGTTTTGTCCAAATGGGGGGATTACTCTGATTGTACCTAGACTTTCTATTGACAGAGCTTGGACTTCATAGTATGCATAGCTTGTGAATAGAATTTTGATGCTGAGTATCCTATGAAGATGCTATGGCGTGCAATTCTAGGAGAGGAATTCATCTTATTCTTTCAAGTCGAGATTGAGCCAGTTAGAAGAGTAGTCTCATCAAGACTCGGCCAAATTCCAGCTGTACGTGAGTGAAGCTTGGTATTAAATACAGATTCCGACCATGTCAAAGATGAGCCGAAAACGTAGGTGACAAGATAGTTGAAGATACCTGAATAGGGTTGCAGCGCTAATGGATTTTCTTAAATATTTCTATCAAGTTTGTTATATTTAATGAGATGGTTTGGTGAAGCTCTGGTGGCTTGAAACTTGAGCTTCAAATTTTCGTTTGTCAAGAAAGAACCTTTGAATTGTCTGATATTCTGTTGTGACACTACTTCGATCCTGAGCTACTAAGCACAATACAAGCCAGCCAAATTCCATTATTGCAAGGTGTCTTTAAGGTGAATGGCAAGTCCATGAAGTTAATGAAATGTGCAGGCATTCCAAAGAAGGTTAGGAAGTACTGAAAAGTAAGGAAAGATGGCTAAGCAGCTATTATTTTAAATTTTCTTTCTTATTAATTTATCTTTATGAAAAGAAACAAAATAACTTTATTGCATGAAATTTTCTTAGTGTACTCCTCAACTATGACTGTCTACGGCATTAGAGACCTTATCATATGGCAGTGGCGAGTGATGAATAATCGATTTTCGATATTTCCTCATTTGAAGCTATGGTGAAAGATCAATTATTAAGGTGTACATTGCAAACACCCTATTTATCGATCCTTTTCTATTAGTTCAAATGGCAGATCAATTGATATATCGCAAAGCACGCCACGCCACTGGTATATGGAGGCAAAATTTTTAGTGAAACAATTTCAAGTCGAGTTAGGTTGATAAAGCAGATTTTGAGATCTCGCCTGGAAACTGTTTTCAGAGTCACTGTCCTTCAGAGGAAATTGAAGTTTTATTGCACTCGTGTAAATTAAGAGCATAATGCTGCACTATTGTCTGGCAGTTTTGTATTCTAAACATGGCAATTTAAAGTTTCGAATAACTTTCTCTGGGAAGCACTTTTTTTCTTAACTGCAAATTTCAAACCACTATATTTCCAGCTTGGTTAGTCACTTTTCAGCATTCATTGTTCTGAAATTCTACTCAATGCTCCGATATTAATTGCTCAATTTTGAGTTTTTGTGGATTGAGATCCCTTTCCCCAAGGAAAGTCACAAAAAAAGGAGAAAAATTGCAAAAATTCTAAAGAAATTATCTTCATTACTTTTCCAATTTGAAAAGAAAAGTCATGAAAAGTCTGCACTGTTGGGAACAGAATAAAACTGTCTCTGAGTTGAGCCACAGATTTATGCATTGCCAATGATATTTTATGTTGAATGATTTGGTCAAAGCATGTAGCCTATGAATTACGCAACAAACAACTTGAAGTTGTAGTAAAGAACGTAAAAATCATTATATTTATCTTTGACAAGGAGTACGTATTTTTTTGCTATTGTCAGTAATGAATACGTAAAAATATCTTGGAATTTGTTTAATAATGACAGCATTTCATATTTTTCAGGGGGGATATATGAATGCAAAAAAGCAGAAGTTGGAAGAACAGTTTGCCGTTGACGCTAATAAGGAGGCTCCAAATGACAAATCTACCATATTTCAAGGCATTGCAATATTTGTGAATGGATATACAGGTAATGATCACAATAACGATGTCTCATTAATCAATCAATAAATGTGAAACGAGGAATTTCTTTAAAATTGTTTAATAATTGGATGAATTTCTATCAAACAGAACTAAGTGCAGGGGAACTATGTGCTCGTTAGTGCTCCGGCAAAAAAAAAGAATGGGAAAATATAAAGCACCAGTGACGAAGCCGCCGTCGCCATTGACTAACTCATGAGCTGCGTCCACAACGCTCTAGATACATGCCCACGGCTCATGAGTGTCGCAATAGTTGCCTCACAGTTCTGTTTGCTGAATTGGAGAAGCAGGATTTCACGTTTTGTCAAATGGAACTATGTGCACAATGCATGAGCCGTGGGCATGTAGTTAGAGTGTTGTGGACGCGGCTCATGAGCTATTCAACAGCGACGGTGGCTTCGTCACTGGGGCTTTATATTTTCCCATTCATTCATATGGCCCGAGCACTAACGAGCACACTCCATCTTTCCCCCTGCACATAGTTCTGTTTGATAGAAATACATCCAATTGTTGAAACGCCTTAGCTACGAGCTTCAAAAAAGAATTTTAACAGTCAAACTGAATCTTTGAAGGGTGAATAAAAGGCATGGAAATAATATTCTAAATCATCACAAACTAATGAGTCTAGGTTTTAAGATTGGAAAGTTTTGTCAGCATGAACTCCTCTCGTTGTTAGTTATTTTTTAATCATGGGTGTATCCTCCAGAACTGTTTCTTACTTCAACTATTTGAGCCATAGATAAGTCTAAGGATGTTTATGGTGACAATTAGATCATATTTAGTAGGAGGGAACCAACTCAATTTTATTATTTTCAAAATTTTGCAGCTTCTTCTTTGCTTTAAACAATACTAAATGCATGTATTGTAATACAATTTAAACAATCATCTTCCTGTTTAATTAATAATTATTTCCTAGAAAAGCAAAAACTATCTGTTATTCTAAGCATTTTTTTTTGGATGAAGATGAAGTTGCACAATTTTTACAACACAGTAATCGCAGTAGTTCCCTTCTGCTAAATACAATTCAATTTAGACTAACAAAACATTTTCAACCCATTTTTTCTAATCATGTCGGTGGTTTCTTATAAAGTCTAAGGCATTTCTTGCGCATCGAATAATGGTAAGACCTCAATCTCTCGGCCACGGTAAAGTTCTAATCTGCTGCAAGAACTTCTGTTTTAATATGCCTTGGAGTTATCAATCATTAAAATGTTTGCTTTATATTCAGATGAGAAAGGAGAACTTCTTAGTTGCTCCTTCTTGATAAGTTCTTTGTCCCACTTTCATCCCATAGAAGGTCATTGTGTTATTCCTTAGCCCTTAGCAACCCAGGAAATCAAATTTCAGATTGATCAAACATCCCTAACTAGGTCAATGTCACACTTTGTACCAGTATTTACTTTAGTGAACTATTCTTTTATTGACATTGATAACCACTAGTGGCAGGCATTTATTTTTTTTTGTTTGCAGTTGCATAGTTGCCAATTCTCGAAAGGAAATGTAACAATATTTTGCAGGTCTCAGATTACTCTTCTATCTTAAAAGTTTTAGTTCCTTCAAAATATCTCTTGGTAGAACCTTTTAGTATAAGAAGCATGGAAAATCTGTCCCAAAAATACATTAGCTCTCACAGCTTGTTTTATAGTATGAAATCCAGCTGTATTTTCCAAAAAATAGTCTTATTGTTAGTTTTACTTCTTTGCCCAAAAAAAAAAATTAAAGATCTTCTCAAGCATTATCTCACAAGATTGAAATCTTAAATCTGATCGTAAATCTAAAAAAATAAATTTTAAGATAGGTATATCGAAGAAGCATAACTAATTTCTTAATAATTTACTTTGCCCTCCAGATTTTCTCAGGACAATGAAATTCCTGCTCGTTGCATCAATGTATGATCACACTATTTCCTCACCAAATTTAATAATTTTGAAATGATCTTTTTCAGTTCCATCAGCAGAGGAACTGAAGTTTTTAATGATGGAGCATGGAGGGATCTATCACCACTACCAATCACCTCGCACTACGCATATAATAGCCAGTAATCTTCCCGATACAAAAATCAAACAGCTCAAAGGGAACCTAAAAATCGTGAAACCGGAATGGATTGTCGACAGTCTCAAAGCAAATCGGTTGCTTGGTTATGATCAATACTTACTCTATACAAACCAGTCAACCACGCAACCAACATTGAAGTTCACCAAAACCAGTCCAGTCAAGAACAAAGCAGACCTTCCAAATGGCTTCAACGGTTCCACCAGTCCTGGCGACCTCTTCGAAGACTGTGAGGCAATGGATTGTGCCTCAGAAGTTCAAAATGAAAAGAAATCAGAAATATCCCCCACCAAACAGTCCAAATGGACTGCAAGGACAGCTAGTGATGATAATTTTCTATCTGAGTTTTACCAGAACTCACGTTTGCACCACATTGCTACCATGGGTGCCACTTTCAAAGATTATGTGAACGAACTTAGAGAGAAAAACAGTCGCAGCTTTCCAGGCAGAAAATTTCTCAATAACGTTGAAAAAGTAGATCTTGAAGAAGACGAATTAGATGACTCACAATCAAAGAATTCGCAGAAAACAATAATGCACATTGACATGGATTGTTTTTTTGTTTCGGTTGGTTTGCGGAATCATCCTGAATTGCGAGGAGTGCCAGTTGCAGTCACGCACAGTAAGAAAAATCCGTCCAAGCTTGAACCTAACCAGAGTGTGCAGAAAGAGATTGATCTTTACAAGAAGCGTACGATTGAGAGGTATAAGAAAGATGGAGATGGGAATGATGATTTGATTGCAAAGCGGATTTCATGGGCGAATAATATCGGTGAAGCTGATTCTATGTCAGAGATAGCATCGTGCAGTTATGAAGCCCGGAAGTTAGGTGTCAAAAATGGAATGTTTCTAGGACAGGCGCTTAAACTTTGCCCAAATTTGAAGACTATTCAGTATGACTTCGAGGGGTACAAAGAAGTATCCACCACTTTATACAATTGTGTTGCCAGGTAATATGCTCATTATGATATTTTATTTTCTGGTAGAACAGAATATTTGTGCTTAGTAATAGGACAGGAAATAAATAAGCAAATTTTATTTCAAGGTGCGAATATGTTTGGAAAAATCTTTCTGGTCCGGTCTTATCAATCATCAACACCAATCGACACTGAAGCCAACAAATCCAAATAGCCAGACCTACTGATTCTATGTCAGAGATAGCATCGTGCAGTTATGAAGCCTGGAAGTTAGGTGTCAAAAATGGAATGTTTCTAGGACAGGCGCTTTAGGACAGTCCTTTTCTAGGACCCCTTTGCGAGTTGGTACCAAAATAATGGACCGACAGTCAAAGAAAATTTAACAGTAACAGAATCAGAAGTTCTAAATTCAAACTAAATGCCGCCGTGAGGTTCGGTTACGAAAGTAGTTCCGAACCTCAAAATAAAATATGCATAATGTTGCAATGTCATTCTTTTGAACACATACTTTAACACTTTAACTTTCAACATTAGATTTGATTGTAACACTTCAAATGCTCTTTCATTAAAATAAAATAAAACAGTTTACACACATGCCAATCTTAACACCTTTTTGAAATGTTTTTTTACAGTTTTACGTTGGATATTGAAGCTGTCAGCTGTGATGAAATGTTCGTTGATTGTACATCCCTCCTGAAGGAAACTGGTGTAACTGCTCTTCAGTTCGCTACTGTTTTACGTGGACAAATTAAAGTAAGGAAGCTGCAACCTGTAATTTGATTTTTATATAGTTTCATTAAAAAGGCCTACTTTTTGTAATCAATTTAGAAATTCCTGTAGACTGCTGTTTAAAATGCTTTAAAAAAATGCTTCAGAACTTCTTTTTTGTGCATATAGAAGGGTTAAATGTAGAAGAAGATGATTTTCTACACAAAGAGGAGCATGTTAACATGTAACCCTCCACTGGAAAAGAGACTTGTGTCTATGGAGGCAAAATTTTAGGTGGCTAGATTTTTTCGAGGTGGGAGCAAAAATCTAAATTTTGAATCATGAAAAAACTCCCCAGAGTTCTGAAAAATACGTTTTGAATGGCTCAGTTCATTTCTATGCCGTTAGAAAGCACACAGTTGCCTTGAAATCCGGTAATTTTGCATCCTGAACTTAGCAGATTAGAATTTTAAATAGCTCTAGGCACTAGATTGACCTTTTAGTTCAATATACAGTAAAAGCTGTTGATTTGAAAAATTTTAAATTGATAAACTCACGCTTTCACTTACTTAATTTTCCAAGTAATATTTTTAGGTAGAGAATCACCTATCATGCACCCATCCCCCCTCCCCCCAAGTCTTACAGTGATCTTGACAGATTTCTAGATGGTGACATTCTCTAAAATCAAATGAATGTCTTTATTTTCATTCCAGGAAAAAACCGGCTGTCCATGCTCAACTGGTTTTGGAAGCAACAAGCTCCTAGCTCGCCTTGCTACACGGAAAGCCAAACCAGATGGACAATTTTACTTATCTGAAAATAACTTACACGGCATCATGAGGAGCACCCTTGTGGCTGATCTGCCAGGTACGCAATTATTTATAGGGTAAACTTCATGCCTCTGAAACTTTTTTCAAAGCTTTCATCTTAATGAACTGGTATCCAAAATCATAAAAACTTTACCTATGAAAAGAGGGTAGGCACTTTTGTCAAAGAGCTAATGTCTGTAAGCCAAAAGCAGAGCTGTCATTCTATAATTGTAGATAATTAAAGTAAATTAAGCATTGATTGCCAATGGACCACTAGACAAGGTACGAATTTAAGCAATCTGATACATGTTTCCTAACCAGAATTTCACGTAGAACACGATTCGCGCAACGAAAATTACTGAAACCAACTCCTGATGAAGATATCAACCTTTTTATTTCACATTGGTTACGCGGATTTTGAACTGCCCGCTCACAAGAGACTCAAAGCTCTACGTGAGTCAAATCACGCACCACAACAGTTTCAGCTAGCCTCTCAATCGATCACTGTTCATAACCCACCATGTGTTGTTCAAATTATAAGCAATTTGCTATAGCTGAGCCCAAGCGTCAAAATTGAGGTTGCCAGATTTTTATATCGCAAAGACTGTCATGATAATGTTCAACGCGCGATGTGAATCACGTAGAGCATTGAGTTTTAATGAGCGGGTGGTTTGAATTCACGCATCAGGAATCATTTAATATCATTGTAAGGAGTTGATTTCGGTAATTTTTGTTGTGCGCATCGTGTTTTATGTGAAATTTTGGTTCAGAAACATGTATCAAAATGCTTAAATTCGTACCTTGTCTAGTGGTCCATTAGAACTTTTAAATCGTTAAAACAAGCCTTCCCTTTAACCTTGTACAGCGTAGCACATAGATCATCTTCACATCTGCATTAATTTTCTTCTTTTTTTTCCCTGCCCTTTTCACTAAGGCATTATGTAAATATTGTGATATGAAATTGTACTATGATTGTCGATTCTTCAAGAATTGTGAAGGAAACAGAACATCCAAGGTCAAATTCTTCATCCCAAACAAAAGAGTTACTGTATGTTTAACATAGAGGAAAACGTTATCCACTCTATTCATACTTACCTTTGCGTTTTTCATCTTGGCGTCACAAGTGATGCACTTGGAGTAACTGTCACAAATATATGCATCTGCGATGGATAAGATTAAGATCAAAGAAACTGTCATGCTGTAACACAGTCAATTGTTACGTACACTGTTTTTTACTTATTTCATAAAGTTTCCGAATTTTCAATCCAAAATTTTGGTGTTCAAACCAATTTGATTATTTGTGACCATAACTGTGAAAAGGGACCCTATCCTCTGGGAGCAAATTTTCCTCAATTTTTCCCGAAAACCTAAGTCACATTTTACTACAGTACAAGAAATTTTTCTCTTGGAACTTGACGACTTGTTTCTTCCTAAATTTCTGAGCTTTCAGGGTCAAACTTGAGCCAAAATGTTCAGATTTTCCTCCTATGTGCATCTGAAAAAACTTGAAGAAAATTTCCTCCTGGAAAATCAGGTCCTTTTCACAGCTGCACATTTTTAGTTAATCGGCCCATACAAACCTCCAAAGCAGGATTTTTTACCCCCACATAACTGCCTCATTGCAACTGGCGGTATTTCCTCTCAGTCATCACTATAAATTATTTACGTATGGTTTGTTTTTGACCCCCCTTTTTTTTGCTGACTCCTGTGCCTGATCACAGTCATAAATTCAAATTTCTGTCCTTTTTCAAAAATCCAGAAAGATACAATAAAAGTCGTTGAACTAGGAGTATGTATAAGATCTTTGAAATGAAGTTGTTTAAAATTATATGTTCAGGTGTTGGACGTGCGATGGTTTATAAACTGTCAACGCTTGGTGTTAAAACATGTGCAGACTTAGAGAGGATACCGCTTGATAAACTGAAGTCTGAGTTTGGTGAAAAAACAGGACTATCTTTGTACAAGTAAGTTGTCTTATTAAAGGACACTCTGCAAAAACCTTTTTTCTTTATCTGTTACATCTTTTTCCCCCATTTTTTCTCACCTTTTTCTCCAGTCAGGACACTTGCCTAATCAGGCTATACATTATTTATCATGTGTTGGAGCTCCCATCAAATCTTATTTATCTCAAATTTTTGCTCATTAGTTTGTTTTTTTTCTCCATTCTCAATGTCCAATTTTGGAGTATTTGTGAAACAAAAGTTTGTAACTTTCAGAGGTATACATTTTCCCCTCTGAAATTGAATTAGAATATTTTTCTTTTATTGAGACTAAAATTTTCTCTCTCCTAGCTAAGCAGTCATAATTTATTTAAATGAATGAAATCCATTTGATGACTACCCGTGTAAATCCATTTGAGACATTGCAGTCTTTCTGTAATGTCAAATTGTTTCTTTTGAAAACTAGTCTACGTAATTTCTTGAAAACTCCATTGATTTTTCTTCTTTGTTTGCAAAATATTTTTTATAAATTTCAAGCAATGAAATTGACTTGTTTCCCTTTAAAAAATAAAACAGGAGCGGAAATTTTGAAACACTGCCATGGTGGCACATGGTTTCACACTTAAACCATCAGATTGCTCTTTCTTCTCCGCCTTTCAGGCTCAATTTTCAAAAAAGGATAAAATGGAATTTTCAATTTTTGCTTCAACAGCAAAATAATGAAACAAAATTCTGAAATGAATTCTGCTTTACCTAAAACTCTTTGCCGCCTATGGTTCATTGCAAGTAGGGACCTGTAGAATTTTCATTCGCTAATTATGTTTTTTTTTCGCGTAATTTTGGCATTGGTCATATTGAGGTGGGACTAAGGTACAAATGTTAGTGCCGACCCGCTAATTTGAAATGCATAACGCGAAATCGGGCCTCAAAATGCGAAATCACGGAATCATCGCGAATTTCCAGGTTTCTAAATGCAAAATCCCCAAATTTCTTAGGTTTCTAAACGCGAATCCGCGCAAGTGTGTTCGACGCTATTTCCCGCAACATCATAGCCTAATATTTTCCCACTGAGAGTTTACACGAACCCTTAAAAATCCAATATAAAGTGTATTTGCAAAGACATGTTTAGAATATTTGATATAGGCACTGCAAGAAATTTTTTCAAATTATGAAAAATGTCTTTGTGGCCGAAAAACATGAGTTCAGTAACATGATCCAAACTACAGCTTTGGGCGTCTCAAAGCTCCGCTTTAACGCAGAAAACAACAAGTTCAAAACCCTGCTTTCTACATGTCCCTAATTTCAAGAGAGATTTAAGCCATTTTAGACAGAATATCTCACTTGTACCCATCATTTGATATTAATGTTTCCAGCCTTTTTCTTTTGTCAACAGTAACTGTAGAGGAAAGGATGACCAAGTACTGAATTTCAATCACCAAAGGAAATCGATATCAGCGGAAATAAATTACGGCATTCGTTTCAAAGATCAAGCAGAGGCGGACAACTTTTTGCAGAAGTTGTCGAAAGAGGTTGAGAATCGGTTGCGAGAAGTCAAAATGAAAGGAAGATGTATCACTCTTAAGTTCATGGTATGCTATTCATTACCTGTATTCTCCTCTGAATCTGAGAAGTCATTTTATTATATTACAATCTAAAGTCTCCAAAAGATTTAAGACTATGCTTTGCAGATTCTCTTTCTTCTACTAACTCTGACTTCTTGTGAGAATACATTATATTATTCTTGTGGCATGGGAATGTTCTAAGTTGTTAATGTAGGTGATTCTTTCTTTCCTCCAAACAAAAGAATGCATGAAATAATGAACGCTGAACAGAACATTGTGCTTGAAATTATGACCAAACAACTTGTCTGGTGTGGTCATGTTCAACGAATGGCGGATGACAGATTGCCTAACAAGGCACTAGATTGGGTTTCTCCTGGGGGGAGATACAGTGAACGTCCAGCAAAGTCGTGGATAGGTGGCATTCAAGATGAAATTACAAGATGCCATTTACTAGATGACTTCTGGGTCGATCGACAAGAATGATGATTAGGTGTCGCAGAGCGCCCGGGCGCGCTGTAAAAGCATCTTGTATGTATCTAATTCCTTCTTTTAGCGAGGTTTAGAAAATTATCCTTTTATTTGAATAATTATATTGACATTTTTTAACTTACTATTAAGCATTCGTGATTGAATTGTAAAGTTTATACTGACACACATTGTAACAGTGCAGCTACAATCGACTTTATTATATGTGATTCTGAACACTTTGAATCGAAAAATTGAATTGAAATAACAATACCCAATGAAGTGAGTTCAAGAATCTATCTCTTATCTATGCTCAAGAATCTGCCTGCACTCAAGAATATGAACTATGGTAGTTTCAATGTCATAAGTATCGGTTCAGTTACCATTGGAGCCAAACCAAGTGTTTAAAAAAATATTCTTCAATAACAATGAACTGTCCTGTCTGTTTTTTAATTTCATTGTATTGTTCTTTCAAACAGGTGCGAGCCCAAGAAGCTCCAACAGAAACCGCTAAGTTTATGGGTCATGGTGTGTGCGATCACATGACCAAGTCCGTCACAATACCAATACCGACTGCCGATTCGAACATTATTTACAAGTGAGTTACATGTTTATTTATCATTCTTTCAACCCAAGATTTTTGAGAGGTCGATGATCCCCAAAATCCTCAAGATTGAAAACGCCTCAATGAGCTTGAAATTGCATATTGCCTGTGTGATATTTTATGTTTTTATGCATTTCTTCTCCGAGAAACCATACTTATAACTAAGTGAAAAAAAAACACTAAGAAATGGCCCAAACTGTATGTAACAAGGTGGAGAAATGGTGCTGGGTCCACACCATTTCGCGGGGAAACAAAGCCAAGAAATTCCAAAAATTAAAATTAGAGTCAAAATTTACTTACATCTAAGTTGTCCAGCGATTTTTTTTTCATTCACTTTACTCGAAACTCATTTAATCTAGCATTAAATTTTTTATAAGATCTAGATTTTAATGATTTTGAGCAAAACCTGTTGCAAAGCTTAGTTTTCAAAATAGTTAGTTTAAAATCTCAATTTCAAGTTTTGTAAGAGTAACATCAGATTGAATTTTTCATTAGCCAAAAGAATCAGTTTGATTTTTAAATTTTGAACTAGTTTTCCTCAAAATCAGGAGAATGTATTTTATCTCTTTCATTGAGAATTTATTCTTCAATCATTTCCAATTTCTTCTTGATTTTCAGGGAAGTCATGAAGATTGCACAACAGTGGAACGCACCACCCCAAGATCTGCGTGGGATCGGCATTCAAGTATCACGTTTGCAGAAGGAAATCCAAGTTGCGAAATCATCACTCTACGGATTTTTAAAAAGGAACAGCCTGTCACAAAAAATGCGGCAGAAAGATAAGGGGAATACTCCCTCCAATAACAGTTCAACACCAAAGTTGCCAACCTCCAAAAAACACGATTCCCATCAAAATGGAGAACCGATAGATATCGATTTTGGGGACCAACCACCAGACCCTTTACACATGAATGATTTGACCTTCAAAAAACCGAACTCTTGTCATGAAGAAGAGCCAATGGTCATCGATTTTGATAATCCGCAACCTGGTCCCTCACAAGTGAATGGTCTTAAGAAAACCTTCAAACCTAGTGTGGATGAATTCTTCAATCGTAACAAGCAAAATACTAAAAAGCCTCCAGCTATCGACAACTCGGTAATCAGTACTTTTATTTTATTTTCTCGATCAATTATATGATTTTGCTCATAAGTACGTATTCTGAATAAAGTGATGAATTTATAAAACTGAAAACTTCATTGTTGGGAAATCAAATAATTCTTGACTTGCAAAGTAAGGGTTTCATGTTTGTGAAAAATTGGTAGCTGTTCTAATGCTAAAAATTTATTAGGTGTTTACCCTGAATATTCAAATTGGCAAAAATGTAGTTACGGTTGTCTGGTTGTTAAGGTACTTAAGGAAATTTTAGGGACTAAGGAACTTGGAAACTTTAGGAATTGAAAAAATAAAAATTAATCTCTGTAATATAGTATTGCCCTAATGTATTTTCATCGTATTTCTATTCAGGTGTTGGAGGCACTTCCAGATGACATAAGAATGGAGGTCTTAAAAGAATATCCAGATCAAATCAAAACTTTTCAACAATTAGAAAAAACAAAGCCGCCAAAAATTGATAACACAGAGTCGCAGAACAATTTGGCAGTCTATGAGGCAGATTTAACTTTATCACAAGTCGATAAGAGTTTTCTCGAAGCACTGCCCAATGATCTGCGACAAGAAGTAATCTCTGATTTCAAAAGTCGAGCAAGTGAAAAGAAAAAAGAAGCAGCTGAGCAAAGCAGGACAATGATTGGAGTTGGAGAAAAATCAGGTTATTGATGTAGATATTTCTAATGGTAGAAAATTATTGCTAAGCAGTCTTTTTTCTCTATCTTTCTCTTTTTGTAGTTTACTTCTGGCAATTGCAAATCTTCTGATGTCAGATCTATGCTAAAAACTCTTCCACAGTATTGATTCAATAGCATTGATAATTACAATCATATTAACCGTTCAGTTTTTCTTTCCTATAATCAGAGAGAAATCGCGGGTTTTAAGCTATTACCATGTAGTTTAAGAAAAAGTAAAAACAAAAGAAAGAAATATAAGAGATTCAAGGAAAAATAAGGAAAAAAATACTTGAAAATAATTTCAAGTAGTTGCTTGATCTATTCTTGCTAGTATGTAATTTAGTATAGTTGAAGGAGATTTCTTCCGAAATTTTGTGTATAAACGAAGATTGGTTTTCTGTCAAGAAATATAAACTGTGACATGAAATCAGCAGTCTTTTAGACTAAGATACGAGTTTTTCCCGTTTCACCATCGATATTTATTTTTTGTCTGCTCACATCTCCTCAGAATCAATCCTTTTCCGATGAGAGGTAAGATTTGATGAGATTACATATTTTCATTTTTTCAGATGCAGTTCCCTCCTCAACATCTAAAGTCACCGATGATGATGATGCTGAAGAACTGGACTTCTCATTGTCCATCAAAGAGATTCGGAAATTGATAAAAGAGTGGACTCAGTCCGAAGAGAAACCCACTGAGTTCGACATCAATATTTTTTCGAAGTATCTTGTTCATTTGGCGTGTAGTAAAGATCTGGAGCATCTTTTACAAATTCTCAACATGCTTTACAGGTAATGTGTTTTCCAACAAGAGAGTATGCAGGAAAGTCTTGGAGTGGTGTCCAATTTAGTTTCTGCCTCTATCATAATGACACAGCAAGGAAAGGTATAGCCATATGTAGAAAAGAAGAGACAAAGGAGTGAGGAAGCGAGAAGTCTTGGGGCAAAAGGGGTTTTGGCTTGCAAAGTAGAACGCTGCAAATGAAAAATAGCTACCACCCTCTTTTATTTTTCCATGACAAGGAGAGCAGTACATACACTTTTCCTTTATAGCTCATTGAAAGCCAAGAATCAGGTCTGAGGGGATATCCAACTTTGATATGCTATGTAGACGATCAATTTCTAATGACAATTGTATCTTCCTTTAAGTTTCTGTCTGAAAATTCTTCAGCAGCTTTTGTTGTTCTGAATTGTTTGAGGATTTGTCTCAAATACCGGGTGTTTCAGACCACCCGTCCACTATCTTTTTCTCGAATACAGCAGAAAATTGAGCTTCGGGACAAAAACTTGCATAGGGTAAATTGACGGGTGAAGACGTTGTAGCCCTACCCGGGTAGGGTTGAATTGTTACAAATAACATATTAACGTCTACTCTTCCTTTTCAGGCTGCTTGCTGTAAAAAAGGAAATTTCGTGGAAGAGAGCCTATTCGGTCATGGTGGAAGCTGTCCAGGGAGCAATGATGCAGACCTATAATTCAAAACTCATGGTCAATGAATTCTTTCCACCTTGAAGCAGTGCTCCATTGATAATTTTTCACAAAGACTCTAAGAAAACATCATATTAAGAGCATGAACTGGTCTTGTTTTTTTATTTTTCAGTTCTGTGTGTGAGCCAAGTGAATGGCACTAGGCTTATCTGAGTCATTAATTTTACAGAACATACAATTTTCTCACTGTTGCTTGGATTGTCTAACATGGTGAATTATTTGGAGCTGGATGATTCGAAAGAATCACTGGAAATTTGCCTGATAAAGTCTTTCATATTTTAACACATTTTTTCATCAACGTAATTATTTTGCATACTTGTTTTGTTCTAAAAATTATTTTAAGTAACTTAATTTGACCGGCACTGCAAGGCTTTTTTGTCGCTTGAGCTGTATGTTCTGTCAAGAGAAATGTGATATTTATCTAGTCATAGTGTACCATCATCGAATATTTTGTCTGTTTTCTCATTAATGGTGCCACAATCATGAATACAAAGTTTTTTATTTTTGTGAAAATATTTGTCTTCTGTATTTATTATGTAGACTCCTTTTTTTTTAACTAAATTGCCTCCGTATCAGTATAACATGCTGTTGAAAATGATCAAATTCTTTCCATTTCTGTATGTCAAACAGTTGAAATACCGGCAAATTGAAGAGATGACCATTAAAGAAATTACTGATAGAGATTAGGGGTTTTTTGGCAAAATTGTTCCACAGACTTCTGTTTGGCAATCTGTTTCTGTTGTGGCGATATCGCCACATTGATACCCTGATAAATTCAAAGTTCTGAGAATTTTTTTCAGAGAGCCTCTTACTAAATATGTCTTTTAAAAGAAGACTTAAAATTATACAAAATTTGATCAAAATTGTCTGTAATAACTGTAGAAGTACAACTTGGGTAGATATCGAAAATTATTTTACCTTCATATTGAAGATATTCACTTCGATTATGTTTTCAGGATTATCAGACTGTTGCATGCCACTTAATTTGCATTTACTTGATCCTGCTGCCTCATAAAAACCCAACGGCTACAATAAGCTTCACGCAACATGAAAAGCCTCGGTGCCCTAACAGAACGACTATCATAGGCTCATCTTATTCGGGATATTTGAAATAACAAACTTGTTCATGATCAAATTTTGTACATAAAAAAAAGGTCAAGACTACAACAAAATAGTTGTAATTTTAGGCAATTTTGAAAAAATTCTTGAAAGTTTCGAACTATCAATTGGTTAATGTGATACTCTATCACTCGGAAAATTGCTACATCTCAACGAAGACCATGACAGATTTTTTGGAAATGTTAAACTCAAGAGGGTAATACAAAAAAGACAACTGAAGTAAAATGTTAAATTTTTTTTCATCCTTTAAAATATGTCTACAAATGCATCAAGTGAATTACAGTGGAGATTGGACAGGATATTAAGAAAAAATATAAAACAGGTTTGAGAGAAGGAGGGATCTTTAAAAAACCCGCAAGAGCTGTGAAAAACTCAAGCTGGAGCCAACAAACTCATTCAAACTAAACAGGTCATCTTACGAGCTATTCTTATCTATCCTTCGATTTAATTATAAAAACATGTTTAAAAACTTGGATATTTTTATTTTGGTTCAAGCAGCTCTGACTTCAAGAGCATTAATCGCTTACAGTGCAGTTTTAGACTGCTTAGAGAAAGAGACGGAATTTTGTCAAGTGACCTTAGGCTTGAGCAAAAAATAAAAAAACAAAAAACAAACAAAAAAACAGAGGATGGTTTTAAATCCACCATGTCCTGCACAAAATTTGGATTAGAACATACCTTGATCTCACCTCTCTTTTCTGTAGGAAAAGATATTGGATCATTACCAGAGCGTTCAGCATACTTTTTCATGCCGAGAAGTAATCACATTTTCCTGACTATCATGTAATGAGAACTACAAAAGTGCAAAGACCAAAATAATAACCGTAAAAATTTTAATTTTATTATTAAAAACAGAAGATCCTCTCAGACATTGCAACGTACGAAAAAATGGGCTCCATTTTAAAATCAAAGATTGAATCTGTTATTTGCCGATTAAACTAAGTTCGACGTTGACGAAGTCAACCTGCTATGAATCTTAAAATTGTATTAACTTATTAAATTTTTTGAGAGGAAATACCAGATTAACAGAGAATAAAATGTTCCTCTTATTCTTACTTTTTCGTAAACATGGTGGACAGTAATGAGATGAGAAATGATTCAATTCAGCAATGCCCCTTAACTCGTGCTAAAGATGTTTGAGGACCCGGGTGGATCACAGGTTTTGAAGAGTGCAAAACTGCTATAATTGCACAACAATTTCTCCTTTTTAACAATAAAGGAGACATAGATGTTTTCTCTTTTTCGTACAATTTTTTCCCTTTGTCGAGAAAGTTCATCTGGAAAAAATAATATGCGATAGATCCTTTGTTTTTGACCATTGTGCAGCCTTGTATCTCAAGCTCTTTGACCGATTCTGATTGTTGGGTAATTTTCACAGAATTCGCAGCTGACGAAATTTGGGCTTGTATGATCCACCCTGGTCTTCAATTGTAAATGAGTTCACTCGATAAATTCAACATTTTCGGACAAATAATGCCCAGCTGAATGACTGATTTATTGATGAGAGAAAAAGAACACGGTCATTAGAATGTTAGTGCTCAGCTTGATAACAGTCCATGAAAAGTTTTTAACCTCAACGGGTCATTCAGTGCGTGGTGTTATAATGCTTGAGGATAATTTAACTGTACAAAAATTTAGCTTTCCTTACAGCTTAGAGACAGAAGGTACAGCAGTTGGTGAGGTTATGTCTACCTCAGGATTACAGGGGAAGCAGATCAGTTGCATGCAACAGATGCCATTTTGATTGTTGATTTTTTCGATTAGCAAAAAATGATAATGTTATTCAAAACAGTGAACTGTCATAGCAGATTAGTGGAGAGAGAACCTAATTAAAAATTTTGAAAATGACATCATTCACTATGAATTCGGCACTAAGTTGTAAAACTTACCACTGATAAAGAGACTAAAATGATAAAGCCATGGTGTGCATTCATAAAAATTGATTTGTTCCTGCAGAATCTGAGAATGATATCATGTGACTGACAAGATTTTGAGTTATTGAACTTTTTACTGATTCTTTAATTTTCTTTCACATCAAATTGCACAAAAAGCCTGAAAAAGGCAACCTCTAAAATATAAAGGACGATTTGTCGTCTCTTGCATGAAAGAATGTATGTATCTCAATAGCGCTGCTTCAGTACTTTTTACTGATATTTTATTTTCTTGTAGAAGAATCCTCATAAGAATTTACATGAAATTTCCAGTGGCTTTTTTTTCCACTTGTGAAAGGAGACACCAAAATTTTCAGACAAATTTGTGCAAAGGTTCTCCCATGAATAAATAACATGTTTGCAGAAATACTGGAGCAACGCAGGCAAGATTTGTCATTCACTGCAGGAAACAACGGGCTCACTGCTGACAATAATCAGGTTTTCCTTTCTCATTTTGTGAGGTATGTAAACATTTGTTGTTTGAGCCGATACGGTCATTTTTACTGAATGTGCAATCAAAAAACGAATCAATGATGAAAGTAACCAATCTGTTGACAAATTCACTTTAACTTTCGAGTTAGGACACTTGATGCTCATCAAGATTTCATCAAAAGAAAGTATATTAAAAATAAACTCGCCGTCACAATCATACTCTCAACAAAAAACATTGCAATGCAACTTCTAACAATCTCTTCAGTTCCATCGCTGCTGAGGACTGCAACTCGATTTAATTGGTAAAAAATGAAAATTGACAAATGATAAATAACTAAATACAAATAAATACATAAGACAGAAGACCACTTGTTGCCAGTCTGCTGCCATACAGGTAATTAAGTGTTCACTTGGACTCATGCACCTGGTCTTCAGCGCCTGAATAAATTATTTGAGAACATCACAAATACCTGTGATAGCAGCAAGCTCTAATTTATTAATAATTCTAGCAGGATTCCCTCCATTTGTTGGCCACAGAATTTGATTACAAGATACGTTTGAGTGAATCAATTACATAAAGTATCAGGTAATTTCAAAAACTTCCGTACGATAATCTCAAGGTATCTTACTATACACGTATTTATTACAGCAGCAAAGAAACTTGTTTGCACCTCTTATCAGGGAAAAAATTGTTCTGCAGATCAAACTTGTTTTAGACTTTTTATATTTTCATTTGATAAGGCTGCAACACAAATCTTTTCAATTTTTGGTAAATTTTTGTCTCGCTATTTTCTTTGTACACAGTAAAATAAAGAGCTTCCTAAAGTAGATAAACGGCAGTTTAAAAACATGACCCACATGAAATATTTCATTCAACAACTTCACTATAGGTTGGGATCGAAATTCGATTTTATTAAGAGGGCAGCCCATTGATTTTTGGGTCTTTACAGGGAATCACGCTAAGATTGGAGCCCAGAAAGTCGTGTAAACCTGGGAAAAATTACATTGAAAAAGAAATTAGAAAATCGATTGGTTCACTCCCATTCCGTGGTGCCGGGAGGTTTGGTCGTGAGGTCATAGAGAACTCGCGAGATACCTTGGACGCTACTGATTTCTTGGTACATTTTGGAGACTACGTCTAATGGGAGGTGTTTACCGGGCAAGGCAGGAGTGCCCGTCATAAAATCGTTCGTAATAAACGGTCGAAGGACGACAGAGCGCTGGCATGATGTGATGCGCAAAGCTGCGTCTCGGTCAAAGTGCACTGGGATCAAGACAACCGGCATTTGGCTGATGCTGTCGACACAGTTGGACGAGGAGAGGACATGGAACGCAACTGCATCAACTTGCCGCAGTGTGGACAAGACATTGCTTGTCAGAAACGTATGTGTGATTTCTGTGACTGGATCCTTAACTAAGCCGCCGAAAATATAACATACTCTGAAAAAGCAATGAGGTATGTAATTAAAATCAGTCTAGAAATTTTAAATGCAATTTATGCAAAAATAAAACTACCAACCGACACAAAAAAAGATTGATGATAGGTTGTAAGATTGATCATTTATTTAGTTAGGGTTTTTTCCCTTTCTTTCTTTCTGTTAGTTTAATGGCTTTTTATGCAAGTGGAGTTTACAGCCAGCTATGGACACATTGATATAAAGTGATTTTGATGATGAGTATTGATATTTGATTATGGTTTTAGATGAGAGATGCAAATAACAAAGAAGGAGTCAAGATAAGGTCCTGAACTTCAGGTTAGGTTTCTTTACATCTCATTTTGCGCAAATTTGGTTGCCGATAATGAAGGAAAATGTGGCTGCAGATACAGAAAATTTGCGACACGGACAACACAAACTGCAAATTTTTCATAGTAAGACTTTCATTTCCCAAAGTCCAAAAATGGAGAGGAATTTCTTTGATCTGGCGCGACTAACATACAACCTGCACTATGGCCGGCCTGGAAGTGAGCAAGTTGAAAGGTCCATTGGCAGTAACAAAAAAAAAATGAAAGCCACCAACAGTCATTGTCAGTTAATTAAAAATAGGTGCAAAGTTGGCATGGTGCGGGGTTCCTCCAAGGTTAAGATAACCAAATGTTCCTTATCCAAGAGCTGAAATGAGAGCAACTAATATGGAGTTGCATTTTAGGGAGCTGATAAAGTTTAATAATGTAAATAAATGAATATAAACATAGTGTATACTGATGATACATACCTATTGACGTTTTGGCAGATGCTAGGCATAAGTTTTGCCAGGAACATAAGATCGTCCCAATCAGGCTCGTTCTCACTTGATATTCCTACAACGTAACTATAAGAACGGGAGTCCCCTTGTACCCCAACGCTTCTGATTGGCAGAACGGTGGCTGCCAGATGCTGTTTCCTTGAGACTTCTCGCAGCTTACTTCGCTCAATTTCATCGGTCGCATTCTCGATCCGGTTCAAGAGCGCATGTTTCTTCTGTAACATTTGGTCGTACTCGACAATTATTTTCACTATCACCTGTGTCTCTGAGAAGTCACGTTCCATGAACGGCTCTTCACCACAAAGCACACGGATTGCAAGGCCAGGGCCAGGGAAAGGGTGTCGCATAACCAGATCATGACTAAGACCCAGTTCCTTGCCAAGAACTCTCACTTCGTCTTTGTGAAAGTCACTAAGAGGCTCAATTACTCTACCTGTTGACAGAAAAAAATTTGAATTAGCAAGATATGACCATAGTTTAGTCTTTAAATGAAAAAATTTCACAAAATGGGTTAACTTTCAAGATCAAAACATCCATCCCCATTTTCAAGATAGAACCTCATTAATATTGGAGGGAGAAACTTCATTTTTCCTGATTTTTTTTTTTTTAAATGGCCGGGTAAGTATAAATACTTACTTTCTATTTGTCTACTGCACAAAGCTAAAAACCATTACATATTCTTCAGAGGGAACCTTTTGCAGAAAAACGTGTTTTAAAAATATCTGACTCTTAATTCCATCCTGTTATGCAAAAACTGCTTATGTGCATTTATCCAAGCTAGTATTTATCCAGTCTTGAGTTTTTAGACTAATAATACTTTTTTAGATTTGAGCATGAAAGACAGGTAAAGATATATTTTAAGGTTATCATAATCCTAGAATAAGTTCTTGCACGGTTTAGATTATTGTATCCACTCCAGAAAAGTATTCATAACACAACAAAAAAGTGCAAAGCTGGAAAAATGGATATTTGCAGTTTCCGTACGACGTGATTCAATTAACATTCAGTTTCAAGTACATCACAAAACAAGGGAACTTTGTCACACTTAGGAGATTGGGTGATAAGGCCAAATAGGGCCGATTTTTTAAGAAGTAAAGATGTTCATTTCACTGGAGAAAATTCCCATTTACTGGCCTAATGCTCCAACCTTCAATACAGCTTAATAAATGCAATATGCGATTCTTCAAAATTTAACGAAAAAAAAAACTTTGTTGGGTAATCTTGTTAACTTAACGAAGGAAATAAAAAAAAAATAGGCACCTGCAGCTCTTAGCTCTCGAATGAGCGGACTGTCATTATGATGGGTCTTGATCGCAGCAGCTTTATTGCTAACCGTTGCCGATGCAGACTCTATCAAGTCGGGACGAAGCGTGCCTTGTGCCAAGAACACCTCCTCCGGCTTCAGTTTGAGCTCTTCGATGACATCATTGGCAACTGAGACGAATACATCCCCGATAATCTTCCTCTTCTCTTCCGGGTCACTGGTCATGCAAAGCATTTTGGTGACGTGAAGGCGTGAGGGCACTCGCTTGTCCAACGGCATCGTTGTTGTTGTCCCGTGGAGGAATTGGAACCCAGCATTAATCACGCGCAGCTTCAGTCCTAAGGCCGAGAGGCTTGACTCCACCATTTTTGACTCGTTCTTCCTCATCAAGCCGTTATCGATGTGGATTGCGATGATCTGGTCCGGCGAGAGGGCTTTGTGCAAGAGAGCCGCACAAACGGTTGAGTCAACGCCACCACTCAGGAGCAACTGCAGAAATGAAGAGTAGATATGATTACAGTAAAAATGTGACAGGTTAGTTCGCATGGAAGCAGAAAGTTTTGAGCCTTCCCACTTTGATTGGTCTTCCCTTATTCTTAGCCAAAATTCATGACTAGTTCCCCTGGAGACTTGGAAAAAATAAACAAAAATCTTTTCCCCCAAAAAATTGAACTTTTCTACTGCATGAACATTGTAAAAACGAAAATTTCTGTAAGGCTGACAGGGTTCAAGGGTAATAAGTGAACTGAAATTTCAAAATTCCCTGACTTTTTTTTGAACAAAAAAAAGAAACTACCTGACATTTTTCGGAAAGGTAACCTGCTGCATTCATGCAAGATTAGAGACATATTGTTTTAGTGAAGCTTGGCAACAATGATACACGGCGGAACAGAGCGACTACTTAGTATGATCTCCTCTACAAATGGAAGCATTCCCTGACTTTCCAGGTTTTTTAAAAGTCCCTGACTTCTAGATTTTCCAGGAAGTTTGACACCCTGGGTTCCCCTGTTCACACGGTGGTTCCTCCATTTTACATGACCGTGAAGTTTCAAAACCCCTGAGACTCAGCTACTGATATTACCTCAAATCAACAGACATTGAGTTCCCTTTTATGATGGATGTAGAAGGAATCTATTTAACACCAACAATCTCCCATCCCAGAAAATTTAAAAAGCCAAAACAGTGGCTTGGGTAAAATGACACTTGAAAATAAAAGAGGACAAAATAAGAAACTTACTGCGAACATGACTTACCAAAACTTTGCTGGACCCTACAGTGCTCCTAATGTATTTTATACACTCTTCCTGTCGGTCTTGCAGTGTGAAATTACCGGAGACACCAGCGATATCAAACAAAAATGTTTTAAAAATTAACTGTCCGTTCTCTGTAAGGTCCACCTGTGGAAGAGATTAGAACGCAATTTTAGATTATTTGCATTGAGAGATTTCATGACTTCAACACAGAGTCCAGTTGTGCTCTTTTCTATGCTGTGTTTCTAGGGAACCAGTCGTTCTGAGGTTTATCATTCCAGGAATATTATGGATAAAGGACAAAAACATGCAACAATTAGTGGTGACTCAAAGATTTCACTCGGGTTCACTGCAAATGGCACAATAGTCTAATTAAACTAGGACAAGAATACAATGTGAAACACTTTAAACTGACTATCTAAGTATTTCACTGCTGAGAGTTAACAAAGCCTTCAATCAGTGCCAGAGGATGAAAAACTAATAATTAAATCTTAATCTCTTCCTTCTTAGTAGTTTTTGAAGGTCTTCTCTTGACAAAACAGCAAAGTACTAAATTGTAAGGCAAACGCATATGAAATATTGAAATGATCTTCTCTTGAGAGTTTGAAAGCTTTTAAAATGTTCTCCAGACAAAAAAAATGGGGACGTTCCACACAAAATTTCAAGAGTTTTCAAGGGTTCCAATGATAAATTTTTAAATGATAAGCTATATGATCCTTTAACATGTAAAACGATGCAACTTCAGCTGAGGTATCGTTGTTCAGTGGATACTTTCATGTTATTCATGTAATGTCGGCAAGGCGACATTGTTAACTTCTGTTTTTTTCAAAATGGGTGCAAGTGTTTACGCTACCTTTTACCTTCAGATATTTCAGATACATGCGGATTTTCAAAGAGCATAGCATACCTCTGGATGAAACTGGAGACCATACAATCGCAGCTTATCGCTAGCAATAGCTGTTACAAAATTACTTGACCACGCAACTGCTTTAAAGCTATCAGCAACTTTTTCTATACTGTCTCCATGAGTAAGTAACACACTTTGACTTTTCTTTAGATCCCTGAAACAAATGAAGGAAAAAAATAGTTAACACTTCATTTTAGAGCAGCTAAAAATCACAATTCGAGTTCTAAAAGTGCATGCAACTTCTGGGTAGGTACCTATTCAAGGCATGTTATAATGACGCAGTGAGATCAGGCAATAAAACATTACCTACAGCTGTGCTGTTGAGTGTTGATGTGCAGTGCTTGGTTGACTATGTTGATTTTTGATACACACACAATTAGGAAAAGGTAGGGGGGGGGGGCCTTGCCCTTTGAAAAGTTGAGTTTTTGACGTCATCCACAGCAGTAGTGACACCCTTGGTTTCTTCCACTTTGCTTTCATTCGGGTTTCATGTCGAATAACCAGTGCTAATGTACATTATACTGACTAATGAAAACAAGGTGGAAGAAACCAAGGGTGTTACTACCGTGATAGATGACGTCAAAAAGCCGACTATTCAATGGGCGACATCTCAATTAATATTGAACATAGAAAGTTGTGGTTTGGACATATCTTATTATTTTTAGCTAATCTACAAGAAGCATGCCTAGAAACACGATTCTATAGCCAGCGCAACTGACCCATTCTTGGATGGATGATTGCTGTATCCCCGTTTGAATCAGGAGCACTCAGAATCAAGTATTTAATTTTTTATCAAATCTTGACGAAAATTCACCAAATCCCGAATTAGGTTTAAAAAAGCGTATGATTGGCGTATGGATTGGCTAATGCAACACAACTGAGTGAAAAACAGGTGTTTTCACACTACAAAATATGCCATAATTACAAAACCATATACACTTTTATTTGCACAATGTACAGGAACTTTGCTGATGAGCTCAATGGAAGGTGGGTAAGGTTGAAAAAAAAATGTCCCGTCCGAGGATTTGGTCCAAAAAGTGAACCAAATCTGGCAATTGAGGCCTGCTGAACATGCTTTGGGGGGGGGGATACCTGGCTGTATCCACTAAATTGTTATAAATTCTACAGATAATTTTTTATTGTTTTCTCATGTGAGCTTGCACAGAAAGATCACCCTCCAAAGTTTCTACTGAATATTTTATTTTCATTTTCCTCCAGGGGGAAACAGCTCTTAAAAGTATTCGAAATTCTTAGAGAATTGAAAAGAACAACCAAGTAGCAAGCAAGAGCTGGAAAAGGAAAAACACTCACTTAAATAGTAAACAGCTAGTATCGATTTCTACTTTATACTCTCCATCTTCTCTACAATCTTTCCGGATTACAGATCCACCAAATTCTTTATTCATCATCTGCATTCCATAACAGATACCTGAAACAAGGACATCAGGCATAACAATAAAAATGTGGACCCTGGACAAAATGTAACCTTCAAGGACAAATTCCAAAAAGCAGACAAAATCTAAACCTATTTCTGTCAAAGCTTGAACATGGGGCCGCTCATAGATGACGGCAGGATCCTAGGGGGGAGGAAAGGGGTCCTTGGGTGCCTGACATTAATCAGACATGAGAGGCGAGGAGTCTGAGAAATTAAGAAGAAGAAAGAGATTGATATTTCATTACCGAGACAATTAAAACTACACTTCCTCCAAAGCGGGTTTCTTTTCAACTGTAGAATAATGGCTTTGGTTGTTCTCTTTGGCAGAGTTTATATTTCATAATCAACGAAGGAGATTGTTCATGTTTTAAAGCTTCAGATTTATTCCACTGCTTTCACTCAATATTCTTCACTTTTGTAAGTAATAAAAAGAAACCGAGGTGTTGTGGATAAATTTCTTTAATGGAGATGTTGCATGTGTGAGGAATTTGCGATTTGACTGTTGATTCTTATGCAAAAGTTCGCAAGGAACACAAAGGTGCCACTGGTTTTCTCTGAAATCAACTCCCAAGCTCAAAAAAAGCTCTCAAGTTAAGGCCAAAGTGGAGGGGATGTCCTACGCTATCCTGAGAGTCCACCTCTACATCGAGACAAACTCTCGATGCAAAGATAGGGAGCAAATACATTGACAGGGATGCCACTTTATTTGGGGACTCTCAGGATAGCGTGGGATATCCCCTCCATTTTGGCCTCAACTTAAGAGCTTTTTATGAGCTTGGGAGTTGATTTCAGAGAAAACCAGTGGCACCATCATGTTTCTTGCGAACTTTTACATGAGTATCAATAGTCAAATCGCAAATTCCTCACACATGCAACATCTCCATTCACTGAAGCACTTTTTGGCTTACGCCATCATTCAAGCATTATGAAAAATCTTGAACCAAAAACATTCTCACAGTTCAAAATTTTACTCCACAAATATACGATGTTATCAAAATTAAAGACTTAAGAGATGATAAGACAGATCATTGCACCTATGAAAGTTGAAAATACGCAAAAGAATATTATCCACAACACTTCAATTTCTATTCAATACTTACAATACAAAATGGTGTTGATCAACTGGAACTTTATAAATCTTCACTTTTGTAAGGGGAGGAGGGGAAGCGGTTCAAAAATCACAGGAAGTATGTAATGTTCGTGGACAGTATTTATGCTGCTATGCAAAAGAAAATTGCTTCACGAGCATTTGGGCATTGACAAAAATTTTCCGATAAAACTTACATAGTTCTCCGGGAAACTTGTAATGTTTCTCCTTCTTTGAAGAAATGTGTGTAGATTATTGTAATTTACTTGATTAATTGGCTTAATTGAAGAATGACATAAATGCAGTATGTACCCTACTTTTTTATGTTCTATTCCAACGAGACCTTATAAATTAGAAATTTGAAAAACATGTTGGTGACAGCACTGCTAAAAATCATAATAATGAAATGAGCTAGTTTACATGGTAGAGTGTTTAATCCTTGAAGCTTTTTGTAAATTTTACTATCTTTAGATGTATGAATTATATTGTTTGATCTAGAAGAAAGGGACCAATGCAATACAGACACAAAACTAAATGAAAAATATGTTATGTAGTTTTATGTTTGTATTAATCTGTTTTAGTTGGCTTGCTTGTATGTTGTATATTGATTATTCATACCTCAGAGGATAAAAAAATTGTTGGAAAACTGTAGGTAAATAAACAGTCTATCATATAAAGTATATTGCCAATTTTTGCTGACAAAGGTTCAGAGAAAGGAGAGAGTTGAATTCTGTTTAGGATATATCCGCCAATTGTAATTAAATAAATAAAGAGAGTAACCTTTTGCCACTCATACATTAGGAGGGTAGCCTTACCTAAAACAGGAACACCTATTCTAAATATATCGGCATCATATCTAGGAGCATCTTCTGCGTACACCGAATTAGGGCCACCTGAGATGATAACAGCCCTGAAACAGAAAGAGGCATGTTAGAAATGTATCGGAAAAAAAGGGGATTTTATTCATGATTTGCGACCAGGTCATTCACAGTGATAAAACTGATAATTTTTTAATTTGGACATTTTATTGTTACAACTAGAGGGGCTCTATTTTTTGGTATACTTCTTGTCAACCATAGTATCTCTCAGGGGATTTCCAAATTTTTACTACTGTCACACGTGGCATGTTGTGCACACTATCTTATAAAAAAAAAGAGAGAGAAAAAAAACAGGAGTCAATTGATAATAGCTGTAGTTCAAGTTGATAAAATGTGTACTGCTCTGGGATGCAATTAACTATCTTTTGAAATTAAAAATAAGTAACGTTTATTCTGTAGCAGTCAGCTATTAGTGCTTGAGTTGACAAATATAAATGGACTTAATTGGAAGATTTACGCAGAAGAAAGGGAGCGTCAGTTAGAATGAGGAAAATATTTGTGCTAACTTCATACTGACATGCAAATAATCTTTCAGGCCTTTTCTTATTCCCTAACCCATCATTTCTTTGATGTAAAAATTTCCCTCTGATAAATAACTGATACAAAAGATACTGCTCCGTTGGAGAGAGTAAAGATTTCATGCACAGGAACTACATCAATAGAATATTACATAAAAAGGAGATTAACCTCATACGTAAGATGACCTACATTATATAATTAAACCATTACGCTGCAATAAAAATTAAAGAGCAGATAAAAACTGGGAAACTTATGTAATACTATCATCCAGTCTTGTACTACGCAAAAATATATTTTGAATTACTGACACTTGCAATAAATTGAACTAAAATCGACAGTGGTGATATAATATTGACTTTAAAACCAAAAATCAATGCATACAGAGGGGAGTATGATGGTGTAAAAAATAATATAAATTTCTGCAACGACAATCATGGAAATAAATGGTGGAAAAAGTTGGATAACAACTTTGTCAAGTGTCAAAACTAACATTTTTGAAAAACTTAGCAGCTTTTTCGGGGGTTTTTTTTTTTTAAATTTTTGCTGCTTTTTCGTATGGATATTAAGTGCCTAATCTTTGAAAAATTGAGTACTTTTTGACTTTACTTCCAGTAAATCCTTGCCACGATTTTCAGTATATATTTTTTTTTAAAAAATTCCACAAAATCTTGCAAAGAATGTCAGACTATGCACAAGCTTTGCCAAATTTTAATACTTTTTGGAATACTTCCAGATCTACCTAAAAACAAAAATACTTCACTACTTAAAACTAGACAAAAATATAAGAGCACATGACATACCTGTAGCCTTTTTCTTTGAGCGTAAAGGCAGGGGTGTCTAGAGGGAGGATCTCAGTTTCTACGCATAGTTCTCGGATGCGGCGGTCGATTAGTTTGCCATACTGAGCGCCAGCATCTAGGATCGCAACTTTTTCCCCTTCATGAGCGCCGTTGGAGGCTATGCGGCAATTTGCACCCCCTTCAGGGCCCGTATTGTGCATCGTGAGATCTCCTACAGCTTGAACTAAACTGAAAAAAATAATACACAAATTATGCTGGTGAATTCAGTGTATTTATAAAACCGCACAGAGGATTTGATTTGCGCTACAGTTGAGTGAAACGTATCATGGGCGCTTAAAAAAAAAAAAAAAAAAAAAAAAAAAAATTATATTGCGCTAGAAAGACCTAGAGAACGATTACAGTGGAATTTACACTCTAAAATCAGGGAAAACTGAGGTTTACACACAAAATATTCAGGGTCTGAATTGGAAAAGACCTTAAAAATATATAGAAAAATTTGATTTGAATGAGATGAATAATTTTGAAGAATATATTGGTAACTAGATAAATATATCGACGTTGAATCTCCCAAACCAAGTATCTCGGTTTGGAACGTTGCAGACTTCCTGTGTCACTTTCTTTTTTTAATGGAAAACCACCCAACGGCAATTTTTAGAAACTGCCATGATTTTTCTCCTCTAAGAAAACAGGATTCTATGAAAACTTGAAGGAATGATGTTGATTATTTCTTCAAAAGAAATAAAATAGGAGCAAAGATTTTAAAACACTACAAACGAGATAGTAGTTTAGAGAGTTTCACCGAAGATATTGACTATTAGAATATGAGCTTTCGTTAATATTCTTCTTGATATGCTATTTAAGAGGGATAGAATGCAAGAAAAAAAAAAAAAAATAAAAACTATTACCCAAATAAAATTGAACAAGGTAACTACTATCAGTATAAGAGGGGTAGCAGTCAACTGTCAATAGCTAACTGATTAGCTTAAAAGCTAGATGAAGAGAGGTAGATCAAGTAGACCAATTGGATTAAACAATGGGGCAAGATGAAAGGTCAGCAATCAGCTGCTGATAAAAAAATACCTTCGCTGAAACTTTACATCATCAAACAGCGGCAGGCTGAGTATGAACCAAACCAAAGGTTTCTTCCCCCTTAAAATTTGACATGGATTACAAATGTATACAGATGGTAAAGTTTAGGGAACATTTGAAGTTTTGTTGGTCCATTATGAGAGGCAAGGCGATTCACATGCTTTAGGGCCAAATGCTCCTTCAAACACGTGTTTTAGCGAAGGAAAATTTTTGCTACTACTCTGTAAATATTGCATTTTTGAACAGCAGAGATACGAATTTAATTTTCAACTTTTGAAATTGGCTGTGTCTTTCTAAAATATTTGTTTAAGGAAATTCACTAGAATACTTAAACTTTTAGATCACTACTTACAGAAAAAGTCACTAATACATAGGCAAAAATATTGTTGCTGCGACATTTGAAAAATTAGCTTTCCACTGAATCGATAAGAAATAATTGAGAAAAATCATTTTTTATTCTTTGGGCGACTCCGGACAGATGCTTTCTTTTGCAATTTTTGAGTCAACACTAAGACACTTTTCACCTTAGTGTGCAGATGTGGCAATTCAAATGATATAGCAATTCTAATTTTGTGCAAAGTAACTTGTAAATTTATCCCAGAAAGACAATTATGTAATCCTGTTTTGGATAAAAAATCGACGGCACATAATGTAATTAACTGATAAGAGACCAACAGAATTTCTTGTTCCAGCTCCACATGAATAATATTTAGAGGGCCAGTAAAGGGCCAGATAAAACTTAAGCTCTCGTTAAAGCAAAACTTTCGTCGACTTTTGGGGATTTTGAGGTTTGTATGATAGGTACATTTTACGGTTTAGATGGCATTCCTGGTACTGGGGGGTCTTTTTGGAATTAAGAAGTCTTAACATCCTGTCAAACTAATAACTATGACAGGTAATGTAGTGCTTGTCAAATTTTAACCAGAGGATACATCTCTGACAAGATGTGATCGAACCAGGCCTAAAAAGATCCAATCGGAAAGAGAGATCTTGCGTAACCATTGCAATTTTTCCTAAAATTGTTCATCCAAAAGAGGTTAATATCAGTCTTTTCAATACAGTTCTTGATATAATGAATGGGATAAACAAATGAGGGATGTGATACTCCTATCGTCAGTCAGTAAGGTTGACAACACCAGCTGATTTAACATTCAATTCTGAACAAAAAGTATAACAGTCAACAAAATCGTCTCTGGTCACATCAGGAATTCAACAAATCTAGTCAGCGAACAAAATCAATTCATCCTCAAACGTAATAACCTGTGAGCAAAAAGTAAAACCTTACAATCTCAAGACACTTAAGCATTAGGATCAGTAAGATCCATTGTGATGCCACCTCACTTCCAAGAAAACTATCAGTGTACAAGTCAAAACTAGGCCAAATTATGTAACGTTAGGGATGTAACTTGAGATCTTGGCAGGGGTTAGATTACCGATGACTCAAATGGGATCATGACAAGAGTTCAAAATTCTTGATACGCAGAATTATGAGATTTGGCGATCTCAGTAAACCCAATACTGTTTCAGCTTGAGTATGTGTTTGTGGCCAAGTAATAGTAATGGTGCTGACGCGTAAGTCGTCCACTGATCGCAGGAGCAATGTCTTCCGCTGAGCTTGGTGTTAGAAGAGTGAGAAAAGAACATTGCAGGACATCAAGACAATTGTCTTACATAGTTTGATTAGAATTAACAGAGAACATAGGTAATAAAAGGAGGATTGCTATGTAGTCCGGAATCTCTGTTTAATGGTACTAATTGAAAAAGAACCATGGGCTCAGAGCGAGCATAAAGCAGTACCTGTGTTGCGGTATACATGCAAAGTCTAGTCTTTTAAGAAAAACAAAGCTGATCTCGGAGGGTTGGTAGGTGAACAGTCACATAACCTAGCAGTCACAATTTAAGAAACAAATGGTTCCACTTCACACACTACAATCCAAAACTACGAGACTAGTATGAGATGTTCTGCAGAGATTAAAGGTGATAGAAGGATAAGAAAAGGAGAAGAGAAGCATACTGAAGAAAGAAAATTCGAGTGATCAGCTGATCCAACAAGTAGTAGTTAGGGTGCAACGCGGACAGATAGTTCCTGGGTTAAATGCGATGGGTAGAGTGGAAAAAGTTTCATTCCAATACATGGTCCTGATAAGGACCAGGAAGAGGCCCTCCTGCACGGAGGTCAAAGACGGAAAGAGCAGAATCGAAGATATGTATGTGCTCTTAACAGGATGAAGCGAAACGATGAGCCAACACAGTTCGGAAGATTCAAAGGGTTTCCCATTCTCCTTTCCAAGTTCTTTTCTTACAGAATATTGATGTATTTGATTCTAATTTCCTTCAGGCATAAGGAAGATTAATGATACATAAACGTACCTGGGTCGCGTGTTGAAATGATTGTTTGACAAATTTTAAGCCCTTCTAGCGAGGACCACGCGAACGTAGCGGGAATGCGGCGACGTTGTGAATATGAACACGATCACAATTTTAACTGCACTGGTAGCAGTAGCACGGGTTGAGTTCAATTTCGCAAAATTTGACCAGATAACAAATTAGCCGTTGATGGCATTGTTTGGATCACAAAATATGTATCAAGTTCGGACAAGAAGAGCTGAAATACAAGTCATGAGAGCGATGAGCGATAAACTAGCCATTGAGATATTTTCAGCTCAAGTAGTAGAGCTTTTTTTGGTTTTTTATTTTTTCATTCATATTATCTTTGAATGCAAAAGTAACAACTTTGAAAAAAAAAATGCATGAGTTCTCGCAATACCTTTTTGCCGTTACTTCAATTTCCCATGAGTTTTCCAAACTAGAAATTCAGACTGAAAAATATTGAGCATAGCTTTAATTTTATAGCGTAAATATGATTGTGCTAATGGCTAATAAAAACTGAATTCGCAACGCGCGGGAAAAATGAAGGTTGGCAAAATGGTTTGTATTCAGTCCGTCTCAAAAACATCCAAATTTCAATGAGGGTGAAATTTAAGATGGACGGGAGGGGACTAGAGGGGACAAAGGGCTGAAAAGGAAATTCTCTTAATCCATGCATGTAAGCCCATAATTTTAGTTTCTATAGGAACTTGTGAGTGATTTGGCTGCAATTGAAAGTTAAGGGAAATCTCATCTGTCTGCTACTTCAGAGTAGCTACCTGCGCTGAGAATAAAATTCTCACTTGGGCACTCCTCTTCCCTCCGAAAAGAGTGTAGCCCCACAAAAGTTTTGCTGAAAAAATTATTCCGAGTTCAAAATGAGTATCGGGAACTAATAACACTCCCAATCGCAATACCTAATACTTCCTTTGATTCCCATTGATAAGATCTGCACAAATTCACTTCAGAGTATATGTACCTACTACGTAAAAATCTTGCAGTCAAAATATCAATTCCATTCACAATTGGATCTCTTATTTCGAAAACGACACAATTCCGGTTCCTCACCATGTTCATTTTTTTTACGTTGAAACACTCTCTTCTGGCTGTTTCGCAGTTAATATCACCTCCTGAAAATTTCATTTTTCCGAAATGGGTCGTTTTCCAACTGAGAGATTCAATTCTTCCCAAATCAATGATGACTATTGTATATAATTAAGCTTTGTGTCCATAGTCTAGAATGCCTCAAAAGTTGGAAATGATATGAATGGATATTTTAAGCGTAGATTTGAAAAGTTTCACATACTTGCACTTGTTTCAGCCTTCACAGGTTTTTTTTTTTTTTTTTNNNNGAGGGGGGGGGGGGCATTCATTTCTGCTGGCAGATAGAAGAGTCATACTTAAGATTAATTTTGTGCATGCTCCTTTGACTTTGGATGGACTGGATTCTTTAGGTACCTTGTATAAAATAATATAATAATGAATTGATTTAATATATTGTAATAGTGAGAAAAAGGAATGAAAGATGATACGCATTCGTTGGTTTTTACAGAAATGTTTTCCACATCAGACCTAGAAAAGTAGGTTTTGGAACAGAATCTCCCAACAAGACAGAAAATTACATTACACTATAAAATTAGGGTTTTTCATTTTTTATTCCAAAATAAGTTATAGGAATTCCAAATAAGTTATCATTTAGTTAGTGGTGAGGACTGAGGAAAAGGTAAGTGGCATCAATAGTTTTTTTTCTTTTTTTTTCTCTACATATCTTACAGTTTGCATGCTTTGAAAATAAGTTTCTCTAGTGTTCGTTATTAGTTTTTATTAGCGGTGTGACACAGATTGTATAGCTTATTTGTACAGTCTGGTGATTCATTTGAAAATTAATAGTCTAAGTATGAAAAATCTTAAAAGGTGCTCAATGAATCATTTTATTTGAAATCTCTTTGAAGCTTGAACCGCTTTCTTCTCCTTGAAATATGATCTTTAATTTTGAGACAGAGCAAATTTGTTGCAGCTGATTCAAATTAGGATAAGTTCAAAGAGAATAAAATATAATTATTAATGGAAAGTTATGAGAAAATTTTTTATACACGCCTAAAGATCAATTTAAATAAATTATAAGTACAAAATTTTGGAAGCCAATTATACACAGATAGAAAAATACTTTCTTCAAAAAATATTACAAAAAGTGTATCAACAAAACAACAATTACTTTCCGTGTAAAACGGAACAGGGACATTTTTTTACAAAAAAAGAAACAAACAAACAAACAAATGAACTCGTCAGGAAATCAGACAGTGAAACCAACTCATAAATACATTTGATTGCCTTTTATAGATGGAGGAACCTTGATTATGACATTAAAACTCTCCTTCTAGGGTTGGTTCTTGGTGTTTTCTGTGGTACTTTCCTAGGTGGCTCCTCATCTGAAACAAATGAAAATTAAGAATAAAAGATTAAAAAAATGTAATCAAACAAATTTTTAAAATAAAGTCATTCTCTGAAATCTAAAATGATGAGGTGTAAAATTATTCGAGTATCCCTTTCTTCAGCTGAAATATTCAAAAACAGTTTCGCAAATTTTAAAAATAAGGAGTGGGTACATCTAGCTGTCCAACTATTTAAAAAAACTCTAGATTCACTCACTTCAAAGTTTACTTGAGTTTTTTAGAGAATTTGGCAACTGGGTGTACCCATTTTGCTTAAAATCCACTGTTTGTAACTAGTTTCATCTCTATTCACAGTATGGTTTGATAGAAAAGCACTCACAGACAGGGAGCAAAAATTTCTTTCGTTGATTTTCAAATTTTCTCATGATTTTTGTTCAATTACAGTAAGACGACTGCGAAAAATAGGAACAAGAGATGAAATTGCAGCCCTGGTTACCAATCACATGAAATTTCAATTTTGCAGCAGCCATCTTTCGAAAATATTTGACTTTCTTACCAGATTCATTGGATGATCCAGAAGACTCCTCAGGGCTGCTCATGACGATTTTCTTCAGACGCTTTGGCCTTCCACTCTTTTTAACTGTAGCTGGAGAGAAAAAAAGAGGAAACAGAAACATTCAATTTCTAACATTCAAATGAGATCAATTTCGTTTACAGAGCGCAGTTTAAATTATCAAAATGAAAAAATTCAACATTTGAACTGGTTAATGTAAAAACCTAACAAATCATGACGCGAATCATTGACTCCTTCTGTTTTGAAATCCTTCCGTTTAATCATTGTAAACATCTGAATAAACTAATTAAACATACTTCCTTGTTACGCAACAAACCTTTAGTGCCTGAATTTAGACAATCCTAATTGAGGTGCATAGATGTCAAAAAATTGCAATTTGCCTGTTTGGTTGGTTAATACCTTCAGAGAATAACTTTGAAACTCACTGTCACGGACAGTGTGTTTAGTGTTTGGCTATCTAATTTAAAATTCATGATAAAACTGAATATTCTTTTCAAAGAGAGAAAGAATCCATTTGAGCAAAATTTGGGATACAAGATAATGATTGTACGGTCATAGTTGAGATGACAACATGACTTCGCACTGAACGGAATATCTTCGGTTTTGAGGGAAAGTCGCATTATGAGCACAAAGTCTCTCTTGGGGCAAAAATGGAAACGTTTCAGGTCTGATTGGATCCATCATCAGTGCAGCGCAGCTTTCTGATTCCACTTAAGAAGAGGTCTTCAAAACCAAAACGAGATTGGACAAATGCTTTTTGATTTGACCTAACAAGTGTTGCACCGAACAGCGTGACTCTAAGATGGAATTTGTGCTTGTGATGAGACTTTCTCTCTATATTCTGCATGATGCAGAGTCCTGATGTCACTTTGGCTATGATCAAATGCTCATCGTCTTGTGCCTTTTGACTGGTGGAAATCTCTCACCGGATCTGTTCTTCGTAAGTAAGTTGTTGGACATCTGTTGATATATTTGGGTGGGTTTTTCCCCTCATACTCAATTCAGGTTCCACTCATTGGAGTGGAAAGAAAATAATTAATAAGAATTAAAATTTTTGATCGGTGAAAAGGACGATATTCAAGTTCATTTTACATCAGCTATACTATTACAACTCCTTCTACAGAAATTACGATTTGAACGCATGTTTGAATCTTTGAACTCCACTACAACAGAGAGGAAATATATACATGATTTTGTTGTATCCTAGCTAGTATCGACGCTCGACACCGCTGTTTAGCGTCTATACTACAATTTCTTGAACATAGAATTTGGATTGAAAGAAGACTACATCAAAAATGTATGTCAGATTCGTTTTAAAGTCTGAATAGATAAGGATGCAAAGAAACAAACAAACCTGGAGTCATGGAACTTGATCTCTGCGATTTGCCACCAGGTGTGTCCGAACTGGAGGATTTCTCTATTGGCTGGAAATACGAGTCAATACCTTTCGTGCGAACTCGCTCAATTTTCTGTTTGAAGTTCGTGAGGAGATCCTGTTAGACACAATGGAACAAACAATGAGATCATGTTTCTGGTAAACATAGTAAGCATTCAAAAAAGAACCCGTGCTTTGAATGAGATAAATAGTTATTATCCTATCAACCTCTTAAGGAACGGTGTCAATGAGGGCCGTTTTTGTACCCACCCTGCCTGAATTTCCTCAACTCAACGATTTTTTGTTCATTGAAGGTCTATGTTTAGAGGAATGCATCATGATTTGGTAAAAAAATCGTAGAGTTGACATAATTCAGGGTAAGCCTAAAAACGACCCTTGTCGATGCCGCTTCTTAGTCAAATTTTATAAGTACACACACTTCAATTCAACTAAAAGATAAATCTCTTGCAACGCGTTTTGATAAACTATTATTACAGATGAATGGAAAAAATTCTGTTTGCAGATAAGAAATCCTTTGAGAGGGTTCGATTGAATTATTTGTTGAATAGAAAATAACTCATTGATTTTTCAGGCTGAATAAATTGTTGTGAAAGGTGCTTAAAAAGACAACAATCACTTTCATTATCACCATAGATTAATAAAATCAACAAACTTAAAATAAAGTTTTAATCGAGAAGAGTGATGTTGCAGAAGTAGACTCGAGTAATGCTCGAAGTGAAAATAATAGGTGTTTTAAGAAATGAAAATCTCATCGTTTATGATGCACATTGAGCATGAGAAAAAGTCCAAAAGAAGCACATACTTTGACATTTTGCTTTGAATTTTTATTGCTGACATTCCCGATGACAATTTCAAAGTTTTTGTGAACCGGAGGATAGGTGAGTTTGTCTGCGAAGCAGGAGAAGTTGTCAATAAGCTTAAACAAGCTACGTTCGTTGATAGGCATCAATGTGAGGCAGAAGGACAGATCGCGCCACTGACGTTCGGAGTTTGATCCACGGAAGCGGTGGCAGAGTTTTTCGACTAGTGACTCTACTTGTTTTTCTTTGTTAATGAGCTCCATCAAAAACCTGAGAAGTATACAAAAATCAGTAAATATTAGCAGTTGGCATTTTCAGGACCCCTTTAGACGAATCAAGGGGCGCAAGAGAATCTTGGAGACCCTTCAATTGAGACGAGTGATGTGAAAGAATTTTTTGACCCAAAACACGAATGCACACAAGCTGAAGTCCAAGAGAAGTCTTTTGAGATCTGTTTCATTCACAAGTGTCTTTTGACCCCATGAATAAAAACAATCAAATTTCGAAACCAAATTTTGAAGGCAGAATTCTCGACTATGCCTCGATTGACAAAATACAAACATACCCATCTTCTGCTGTTAATCCTGATTTCAAAACGTAAATTAAAAAAAGTCCAACAGTCCTGTCATTACTCAAAGGATAGATATTGTGATTCCCGAAAATATACTAGCAAAAATCATCACCTGAGAATAATTTGGAAGTTTTCTTCTGTGACTCCTTGATCCGGATTTGACAGTCGCGAGATGATATCAGGCATAACATTATAAAGAGTGTTCCCTTTTCCTGATAATTCCGTGAAGAACTGTTGTGCTTTATCTGAAATCAAATCAAAGGGATTGAACATCGACACTCAATATCAAGCAAACTGACCAATCACTTTCACTTTCCTTATGAGCTGCGTTTGTACACCACCAGATCACTTCGGATTGGAAGCTAATGATGTTGGGAATTTAATACTTGGGACTAAAAAATAATTAAGTGTAGTTAGAGATAAATACAGATTTAAAATTTTAGATTCTACGATAAAAATTATGAAATAATCTTCACGTGGTGCAGCCTGAGTAACTAACAATAACTCGAAGTTAAGATAAATAGTTAAAATCAAAGAAAGGTAAAGAAAAGTAAAGTTAAGTTAAAGGAAATGGATCACTAGACATGGTGCGACTTCAAGCATTATGATAAGTGTTATCAAATCAAAATTTCTCAAAGAAGACGATCTGTTACAGACATTAAATTAGATCTCTTAAGTTTTTACCTTATCTGTTGGTCCATTTTCAGGAATCTTAATGATTAAAAACAAATAAAAACAACATACGTACATACAATCATATATGCATGAAGATAGGAGAATACATACCTTTGATGATTGGATCCTCATCCACCATGCAAAGAGCTACATCTGAGATCTGACCCTTGACTTTGACCATTTCATTTGTGATTAAATGAGAGAGGACTAGTAGAGTATTTAACCTTACACTTGAGGATTCATCTCGAAGCCTGCAGAAAGATAGGATTGATTTACAGTTAAGCAAAAAAATGAACTAACTTGATGTGTTGTCATTTTAGAGAAAAAAAATTCATCGAATTGGATCTACTTAAATCAAAAGAAGCCATCTCTATTTTGACATGGTCTCTGTGGTACATTACAATGTGGTACAATAGCGAATGGTATGGATCATTCTGGATCAGCGAAGTCATGAACAAGCAGGATACAACATTTCTCTGTGTTCATGAGAAATTGCAAAATAAAATCTTGACTGTGCCCATTCTCGACAATGCCAGTAGAATAGGAAGAAAAGAAATCTCAAGTCCACTTCTTTGAGCAAATTACACCTGGAGTTTGATCAAGTAAATTTTCAAACATATTAAAAAGGCTCCAAATACTGGGCAATAATACAGATTAAAGTAATTTCAAGAAGCTGATCGTACCTTGCATAAAGATGATGAGTCCACGGTTCTATTAGGTTAGGAAACCTGAACAAGAAATCACCAAAGGCTAAAACTAAGTTTGTACGAACAGCAGGCTCTGGAGATCGTTCCAACATGGTGACAAATAACTGGAATAGAGAAAAAACTCCTTCAAATATCATTCCAAAGAAAGACAAAAGCAGGCAAAACACACCGATAAAATGCAGTCACATTTTTCCCATGCATAAATGCGTTCCTGCATACAAATTCCAACGAATATGTATAAAAACTTTCCATTTGCGAACTGTAAATTATGTTGGTTTGAGTTCCGGAACTATCAACAGATATTTGTCAGACTTACCTGGGAGGAAAATTCAGTTTTTTTTTTGTTGAAACAGATACTCTTCTAAGGATACAAATCGAAGAAATACTGTGCACTACGAATACAATGAAATTAAAATTTTTAAAATTAAAACGCTAATGTTCACTATTTAGTTGAAACATCGGATGTGGATTTTAATCTGCAAATGAGCGTTTTTAATTTTAATTTTATCAGCATTATACAATCTAAATAGGAGTGCCAGGCGGAATTCCGCTAATCTTGGGAATAAAGAGAGGCTTTATCTACTCCAGATAATTTTTGAGACATATCTTTCCTTCAGGACTATCGAAAGCCGAATTATTTGAAATTTCTTCCAAACGTTAGTGAAAAAAATACTAAACCATGCCAAAAAAAGAGGGAAAAAAAGACTTACCTGAATTTGATCCTCACAAAAAGTGGAAGATACCATCATCAACTTTGACAGCCCTGCAGAGGCTACTGATTTCAGTATTTCACCAGAGAAAACTTGAGGATTCTGACAAATGTGGAGAATCATCGGACTGAAAGGCCAAGATAAAAAATTTTTTATTAAAAAGAAACTCTTCACCAAAGAATTAGCAGACTTCTTATTACAATTGATAGATGTAACTATAGACAAAGAGAACCAAAAGAAGGTGGACAATCCTATTGGTTGAAACAAGAGGCTGCAATAGACAAAGGAGGTAAGTAATAGACTGACTGACACCAACCCACAAGAGATCCTATTTTCCATTCATAATTACTGGCAGATTTTTAAAGCTCATCTCACTCAGGAGATAGTAAGAAACATCATACCTAAAAATCTCGAAATTTAGCCAGCCCCTAATTTCTTAGTGTTCCGTGCACAGTCCATTTTAAACATACTTCTTCATTTGATGTGATTAAAATCTATGAAGTAACCTTGATCCTGCTGAACTTACCAGAATACAGCAAGTAGCCCTTTGCCGGTAACAATTTCAGATTCACAGACTTTTCTTATTAGCTCTTGGGCTGCATCGTCTGCTGCTGCAATTCCTTCTCCTTCTTCACAGGTTGATTGGTCCTATTAACAAATAAATAAATAATTAACATATTCACAACCAATCCTACCTTAATGAAAGCTTCATTTGCGGTCACATTAAATGAGGACACTCTTGGTAATCAGGCTGTCCTACAGCTTGTTCATGGCATTGTCACAACGAAAATCAGAGAATAAAATCAAAGGGAAAGTTTCTGAGAGATATCATGTGCAAAAATTGTGACCGATAAAATTTTGCCAAAAAGATGTTTTATCAAAATTTTCTCAGCCCAAAATAGTAAATTGTACCCAACTCTACTTTTTAGATTTTTCTTTACTCTTCCAGAAAAATAGAAAGAGAGAGAGAAAAAAAACAGCTCCTTAAAAATAATTTTAGAGACATGATTTAAAAAAGAGAGTTATTTGTGTTTTGTATTCTATTTTGCTGAGACCCTTTGCACCAAAAATAATGCAGATGATAAATTTAATTAAAAATGAAATTAAAAATTCTACGACAAGTCATTCTTGAGATGGGCTTTGAGAACAAGGTGCATAAGTGCAGTTTTGGAAAAAATTGATATATTAATGACTAAACTAAAATTAGTCTCAAAAAAATCACGACTAAAATCCAAGTTTTGAGCATCAAAAAGTGATTTTGAACTTTTTTTGCCATAAGGCTCCATGTGCTTTTGAAACTTTAAAGAAGTATCTTGTTAAATAGCAAAAACTGATTCATGCGCCTTGTCTTTCAAGCCCCTCATATATTTGTTGTTAGAGAAAAACAGAAATGGTGGGTGCCAAAAAAATTTGAAAAATATGCTTATTTAGGTAAATGAATATTTTAAGGACATATTTAAAAAAAAAGGAAAAATAAGTCAAGAGCACTTTCTGACGGAGGATTCTTTAGTAGAAATGAAGTGTATTTTTACGTTCGCCTATTTGAAAATTAATATACACTAAGTTAGCAACAGTTCCTATCACTTTATATACTTCAAATGTTACTTTCGATGTGAATTTAAGATTGAATTCACAGAGTCGTTCAGTTTTCGATTAGTGAGCAGCAAACAACAATAATCTGCTTTGTTTGGATTCTTGTCAGCAGCACAAGATTGTATGATTCCTGGCAAACTGTTTCCTCTTACAAACATGGGTCACACATAACAGTACTGAATCACTTCAATTGCAGTGGGTGTTTGCAAAGTGTGTTTTTTACCTTGGGATCACTGATACTGCTGTCACCACTGGGGGTTAACACACTTTTGTTCCTATACTTTTTGGATTTACGTTTTTTCTCCTCTCGAATGGTGTTCCTATACTTCAGCTCTTTGAAAACATCTCCATCTAAATACTGCCATTGCCTGAAACAAGGATGTACAAGGAATCGATTTGTTAGAGGAGTTTCTTCAGATTTTCATGGGTAAAATTAAGAGTTGATCCACAGCAGATACTCTCATTTTTGATACTTTTAACATGATGCATGTCTAGGCAAGCCCATACACCTGGTGCATATGGATCTTATGAGCCCAGCTACTGATACCAGGAAAATACACTTCAGTAATACTGTATGGTCCCTCATGAATTAAAGCTAATCCAGGCCTGGTGTGACATCCTCTGAAGAGAACACCAAGGGGGAGAGGGGAGAGGGAAGAGTTTGTTCCCACAGATCCATTCAGAAAGGGAGGAGGGGGGGGGAGCTCTGGAATTTTAACAAATAGTACTTTTCGACCTTGCATTAGCTCTCTGAAAACACAAAAAAATCCTCCAGAAATATAAATTGTATGTCCTTATAATGAAATATAAGAGAGGTCTCTAAAATTCAGACTCAATTTTTATGTCTTAGCCAAGTCAATCAAAATTAATTTTTGAAAGTCGTTGAAAATGCCATGAGCTTGGGCGCTATTCTGACACATGCTAAAACACCACAAAAAGCGACATGTTAAGTGCAATATACGAGAAGCATGTAAATTTTCACACAGTTTCATGTTGCAAAAATACCAATATTTTACTTCGAAACTTTCATGGGAAGAATCTTTAAATGCAGCTATGAAACTAAAAAAACAAACGGTCATTCTTTATCATTTAATAATTATGGTTCATTGTCAAATTTCCACTATCTATGGGCATTTTTTTTCTACCACGGGCAACCAAGTTTTCTACAAGAAAGATATAAAAACATGACCCACACAAGGAAAAGAATTTGCAAGCAGCTATCAATCTTTCATAGGCATGACTTGTGACTCAGAAAGATTCTCTAAATGAATGAAAAACGATTGAAATCATACAAAATACAGATTTGTGAGATTGTTTCTTTAGATATGTAGGGCAGAATTTCTCACATGCCTTTTCCGGAAAATTTGATGACAAGTGTTTAAGGAAAAGTTGCCAGAGGAAGGAGGAAATACAGCAAAATACGAACTACAACAGTTGCACATCCAGAATTGTACTTAAGACTACTATTGTGCTCGACGTGATTTTTGAGTGGTTTCACTCCTGCTAAATTTACCCTCTTGGCTGATTCTCTTGATCTGCGACAGGCCCATATAAGTTCTCACTCACAAAATCTTTCAAGGATAAAACAAGAACTATTTTAAAAAGAATATGTAAAAATCTTACCGAAATGCAATGTGACAAACTACTGCTACTAATCTTGCTACTAATTTCTCACTGTATACTGGTTCTGTGAATGTATCATAAAATTCTAAAAAAGTAAAACAGAAAGAAATTATGACCAAAGAAAGACTCAAAATGAACAACTTAGCGATAGGCCTTTTTCTGTAGAAATAATTGCGGGACAATGTACTGTCAGTCACCAAAGACTAACGCATCCTAAAATCAAGTTCCTGTTCGTTCTTCAACTGATTGTGAGATCAGACATCAAAGGATTGTTTGAAGAGGAACAAGATAACTTGTTCCTGGGATACTTTCTTGAGTTATAAGACGATAACTTGTGGACGAATTGATACACAGTATCAACGTATAGTATTGATACAAGGCATAGTTTGATATTTATCTGTCAGCTCCTGATGATTACTTAACGCTACCCAAAAATTACGAGTAAAATCGGTTACTGATGGCTAATGGTATCGCTGTCAGCCATATACCCAACATGACTTGTGAGTTGAACTATCGAAAGGAATGGGTAAAAAATTATTTTGTCTTGAAGAATGGTCAAAGTTTTACTGGCAATATTCTTTGATTTGGAGTACCAAAAATAAAAATTAAGCTGATATTCCTAGTTTTCATGAGAGAAAATATTTTGTGTCTCATGTTCTATACAACAAGAGAAAATTTAAGAATGATTGAAGTACTTGCCATCTGGATTCGTGCCTTCTTTGTCTTTCCCGAAAGAATTTTTCAATTTCTCACACATGCTCTTCACGATTGTAGAACAAGTTATATCAGGAGTATCCGATAACTGGAATGACAAAATCATAAAACTACAGTAAACTTTAATGGCTAATTATTCAGGACCTACAAGAGGTTTTTGTAATATTAGTTTGTTAATATTTCATAAAAGGTGTGCATTTTTGGGTACATATCGTATTTTCCGCAATTAAAACTAAACTCATAAGACCCAAAATGTCCATGGGGTCTGGAGGACCTGCTGTGACCTTTGCTCTTGCCCCACTTTTAATTCTGAGCAGGGGACATAAGAGCATGTGCCCATCTGATCAAAAATGCCCCACACCCTTCCTCTGAGAGAGTGAAGATAGTCATAATTTTTCAATATTCTTCAGCCAGGGACACTTGAGGCACAAATTTAAAAAAAAAATATGAAACAATTTGAGGGAAATACAAGCAGCACAATAAGACAACTAAATGCAATATAGTGCATTCTTAAAATAGGGCAATGTCTTATCTTGTCATGTTGACACGGATTCAATAATTGGGCCGCTAGGTGGACATGGAGGAACAGAAGATTTCAGTTGTAATATGAAATTAGAAATAACTAATATTTACCTCATAGATAACATTTAGCCCTTGAAATACCATTGGTGTGTAAAATTTGTTGTCAATATCCTCAAAATCATTCAAAATAATGGTAGTGAGGTTGACAAAGATTTCATGATCGGCTGGAAATCTGAAACGAAGAGAAAAATCAAAAGAAGTGATGAGCCCTACCAAAAATGGTTGGTGAAATGAAAAAATGAAGTTGATATAAAATCTTTAAGGCTGATTCTCTTTTATGCTTGAGAGAAGAATGAGCTATGAGAACATGAGACGTCGATATGAATGTATCAAAATATTCAGTGGAGCAAAAAAGCATTAATTGGGTCAAACTTCGTTGGACAGCTATTCTTGAATTTCAGTACATTCAGGCTTGGTCTAAAATATTTAGATGCGTTTATTAAAATAAGCCTGTATGCAATTAAAACTTTAATTAGAGACATTTGCTTACATGTTTTTTTGTAAAGACGTCAGTGGCAGCTTTTCAAATTAGAAATGTTAAAAAACTGGTTTTGCTCTTTAAAATTAAAACAATCTGAATCGCGAAACATTTTTATTCCTGATCAGATCTAAATTATCTGGAAATTTCAAGAGAAAATATTTATAAATCTCCTCAAAAGCGAACATTTTATCATCTTAGCAAAGTAGAATACCTTTCATCAGTCATAGAAATCTACGATTTTTTTTAAAAAAAAAAAAAAAAACTAAATAAACATAGTAGATAGCAAGTTGAAATAAAAAAGATCTCTACAGGAGAAAGATTGTCAAGGAAATCTGCAAAGGAACTGACCTTGGTTGTTTATTCTTTCCTGAATTGAGTTTCAATAGCATTTTGCAAGTGTGCATGACAAGCAGGAGATCTTTTTGCCGTTCTTCGTGAGCAAGGCACTGGCTGATAAGGACATCGATGTTGCCTCTCACAATTTGTACCTCAGCGCTAAAAATATGACAAGAAAGCTCCAGTGATTCAGTGCATAGAAATAAGGCTGAACATTTTAGGAGAAAGAGGTGTGAAAAAAGGACTGGGGGTGAGAAACACGAACTATTTATAAGAGGGATGAAGTCCTTCTCTAGGTTGATTATTGCAATCAATGGACAAAGCTATAGATAAAGAAGACGACAGAAAAATGGAGCGATTCTATTGGTTGAAACAAGTGGTTGTTACAGACTAAGGGGGAGACTGAAAAAATAACTGCTGGTCTCTTGAGGAATGCCATTGGTTAGCCTAATAATAGGCTATTATTTACCCCATTAGTCCACTGCAAACACTCACTTCCACTAATAGGATTCCTCTAGTTTCTCTGTCTTCTCTGCTTGTTGCTTCATGTACCGATTTCAATAATCAGCCCACAGGTTTTATCAAGCAATCCTAAATTATTAGATAAAACTACATAATAGTGTGTAAATGCTTCATGTTAATGTACTTAATTTTAATTTTTTGTTGCACTCCTTACGTTTTTCCTCTGCTGCTACCTCTCAGTTGTGGTTTAGATATTCATTTTCCAGGTTCAAATTTTTCCTCATCTCCTGAATAATTCAGTATATAGGATTCACTGTTATTCCTAAGAATCAACAAAACAATTATGAAGGAGAGAGAGCTCATTTTTTTGTAATAATTTTTATCACAAACATTTACCTTGCTGCCATGGTCAAGAGTGCTAGAGCTGCTCTACTATCATCATCGCTCGTGTCTTCCAATTTCTTGGAAAAACGCTCCCACATAACCTAGAAAATAGAGGAATTAAGGTGTAACATTGAAAAATATTTCAAAGCCATGAGGATCGAAATAGCGCATTTTTGAACCTACTGATCTAAAATTCCTGTGAGAGATAGAGAAAAATCGGCAGAAAAGTTGATCCCGATCGTGTTTATTCTTTCGATGGTGCATACATGAATGCCATCACATGACGGATACGATACATGTTAAGAGGCAGGCTGCGTAAAACACATCAGAATTTAGAAAGTCAATCATCTAAGAATTCATTTAAATCATAGTAAGTATTGCTAAGAAGACTATTTTATTGACAGAAAAATGCTACCAAGTTACCTTCACAAGGTGATTCTTAATTTCATTGAGAACAGAATTATACATCTTTATTCCTGAGTGCATTTGCAGTGATTAGAATCATTTAAAAACAATGCTTGATCAGTACAACAAAAACAAAACTTTTTTCATTGTTTCTACAATACAATGATTTAATTTGCCAGTGCAAATAAATGTCGTTACAATGACGTTGACTGAATGATTGCTGAAAAAACGTCGCTCAAGAGAATTGGTTTGCTATGATTCTTAAGCATTTATCATAAGCTTTAAGCTGATATGATTCTTAAGTCTAGCTCTTAAACCAACATCATTTTTTCTCAAATTACTAGGGTCATCCCATGGAGCAAAGGGAATGGCACATTAATTTAACCAAGATTAATTTTTTTTTTTTACTTTAAATCATTTTCAAAGAGAGGGGGCACTTCTTCAGAGTCATAAAACTAGTTGGGACTGATAGCTCACCATGATACAGTTTTTATCCAGACTTCTATCCTTGACCCACTCTTTGATGAATTCTTCCAAAGCAAATTGTTGTTCTACCGTTACTGAACGAAGTAGGTCACTCAGCTTTCTAACAATCTGAAATAAAGAGAGAGAGAGGATTCAGTCGACATAAAAGTGTCAGAAAATATGAAAAGAGTTCAGGAGTGGAATACATTGACTACATGTTTTCTTTAGGGTCATTTGGAAAAAAGAGGTGACCTTGCACAACGTATAAAAAGTTTTACAAAACCCTTTTATCTGAACTAACCCAGGATCCTAGGATTTGCTTTCCTACTTTCTTTTCATTTTGGGGAATTTCACAAAAATGGTACGAAATATGCATTTACCAAAAATTAAACAAATTTTGACTATGCTTCGAATGTTTAGAGTGAGAGAAAGATTTTCCCTAGGACACAAAGTCAGTTGCGTAGATTTGAAGAGTTTCCAAGTTAGGGCACATTGTTTTATGGATGGACTTTACCAAGAGTAACAAAAATAAACCAACCTCTACAGCTTTGGTTCTAGGATTTTCAGCTGGCGTATCTAAGTAGAGAGTTTTGTATGCTTTCGTCACAGCTTCCTTGATGCCCTGCTCTTTGGAGTGAACCAAGGCAAGCATACAGCAGACGCCTTTTTCTGCTCCATGGAGCCCGAACTGCTTGGCTGCTGTGAAAAAGTCAATTGCTTCAAGAACTTCCGATGTTTGCTTTCCCAATAACAAACGGCAGATGATAGGAATAGCTTGGTTGATACACTTGACGAATTTGATGCAATCCTGCAACATGAAAAAAATTTTCTTGAAGACCCATCCTTTTTTTTTGATCCTATCAGCAAAATCTTTGTGAGATTATTGTGAGTTTGTGTCAATATCACATTTGATCACCTAAGAAATGGAACAGTCAAGTGACTTCTCGGAAGTAAGGATGATTTCAGGGGAGCGGAAAGTGCCTTTCGGCCGAATATTTCATGCGATCTGGGAATTTTCCTTCCTAAACATTTCCTTACTTTTCCAAAGTAGTGGCATTTTTTTCAGTTCTTCACCTTTGGAAATTCCATCAGGAATGCTCGAAACCTGTCCTGAAAAGTTAAATTAGGTCGTGTGTCAAAGTGTCGTTGCCATAAGTTTCATCTCTAACCCAAAAATTTCCTCACCAACCACACAGATGGCATGATCAGGCAGATTTTCCACTCTTTGGTAATTCTACCTTTAAAAACGCACAACTGCCTTGTTCCTCTACATAAGTGAAATTCTGCAAGACAGCACAGCTGGAAGAATTTATTTTTTAGATGCAGTAACAAATGTCTCTAATCGATTGAGATATTGTAGCGGATATTATTGCTGGAGAAGTTGTTAAAAAAATGACAGACTCAGATCAGTTTGCAAGGATACTAACCTCCAAATACAAGACCACAGCTTTCCGATTTTCAGTATCGATGTCTGCCTCGTCCAGTTTACCCAACCAAATTAGATGCATCGTGTGACAGAGGTAATCTACTTTGTCATCAGACTCCAGATCTTGACTGTAAAAAAAAAATATTTGTAAATTGAGATTTATGAGAATGTTTCTTCCTTGTTTTTTATTCCAAGCGCCATTGAGCTTAATAATATCCAATTTATAATTAGGAACCCTTTGGGATGATATTGGAAGGCTGTGTTAAAAACTTCTCATGATGGATGTACAGAGATGATTTTTTGGTACTTCAGAACATAAGTATGATGCAAATTGAAGATTAAGTATATAACGGTTGCTTATGAAGAAAATAAATAAAAAAATTAAAAAACAAAAATAGAAAAAAATGATAAAATAAATGGATAAAAAAAATTGACACCTAATTCCTTCCTTTGAACATCTTTTTATAAATTTGCTTTTATGTTCATTTCCTTTTCAACATTTCTTGATTTTGCAGTTTAAAGATATGTAGGCAACCTTTTGCAAATTTTTCCCAAAAATAAACACTTCAAATACTAAACAATATGTTCAGATAGTAAAGTTTTTACATTGACAGATCTTTCTCAAGTGTATGATTTTTTCTTTTTTTTCGGGGGGGGGGGGGAGGAAATCGTTTTGTATGGGGCTGAAGGGCCTGAGAATTTTATAAAAATTTGATTTATGAAAAAACAAACTGACCTCTTTGTAGCAAAAGTATTTAAAAACTTTTCCTCAGCGAATTTAAAAATAGAATAGGCTTTCTCGAAGTCCCTCTCTTTAAGACAAGCTTTGATGTCTTGGATTGCTTTTGACAGAACTGCAGTATTGGCCAGACCATCTTTTTCACCAATGTACTCTGCAACAAAACATTAAGGAGCTTGAAGAAAGAAAATGGAAAATTTCAGTATCCCATTTTTAAGAAAACAAAAACTATTCTTTCGTAACGCAAAGTTTCTTGTTTCAATTTTGCAATGTCCCATATGACAAATTCTTGATTCGAGCACCAATTTTCAGAGTTTTTCCTTTAAGTTTAAACAGCTATGGATGAATGCTAGTTACATTATTCATGGCAAAAGGGTTTGCAGTCCATCACTGTTTCAAAATGGTGATAACACTTTGACACAGGGAGTACATCTGACTCCTTGTCAAAAGCTGAAATTATTAGAGTGGTTGTCTGTTGTTCCTAGGAAATTTTGAAACACAGCAATGGACTTTCATCCTTCTGTAGAAAATTGATTTGACATGATTAAACAGACAACTTTGAAATTTAATAATCGAGAGTCAAACTATTTGATAAATACTAAATACAGACCTTTTTTGGTCTCTTCTTTGAGAAATTCTGTAAGGTCTTCTTTAATAGTGTCCCATTCCTTTTCCAGCTCAACAAATTTTTCATCATTTTGCTTTTCACTTTCCTGCAAACGTTGTTGCTCCTCATCATACTGTTTTTGCAATTCTTCCAATCCAAGCTAAAATCATAGACAATGTAATTAACAAGAAGTCAAACAAGTCGAACAAGAAATTTTAAAAAAAAAAATTCATTTGAGACAGTCAGGGTGTCTACTTAGACAGGCAGGCCGAAAATCAGCAATTTTACAGTACTTATTCTGTACATTCCCAATAAATTCAGTACCTCCTCAACAAAAAAACTCATAATCAGTACTTTTTCAGTACCTCCATTTGACGGAATTCGAAAAAGTTTGAGAATTTGAGATTCTCCCTCTAACTGCGACAAAAATGACGCAGACACAAAATTTCATTCTCAAATATCATACTAATTTTTCCCTCTGAGTTACTTTTTATCTTTATGTATTCATTTTCTTTTCGGATCAGCAAGAAACAAACACAGTGAAAGTTGTTTCACCTTGTTTTAATTTGTTTTGTTTTTTAAATTGTTCGCGCTCTCACAAATGGCACCGATTGAGGTTGCTGAGTGGATGCACAACTCCCAAAAATCCCTATTTTGTCTCATGAATTTCCTGACTTTCCAGGTTTTCTAGACTGCCGGAAACCCTGCCTGATAACAAGTAAAGAGAGATTTTGTATGGTTTACCTTGGCTGCAAATGGATTCCTTTCCAGCATGATTTTGATGAGCTGTATTGCATTCTTGGAGACAAAAACACTTTTATCGCTTAATCTCTCAATGGCTGCCTCTAGAAGTGGTATGGTTCGATGTTTGGGCAAGGCATTGCTTCGGCAGATGTCTTGCCAAAGCTGCAGCACCTGTAGAGAAATCAAGATTGTGAGATACCTGATACTTTGACTTGGTCAAATGAAAACAGAATGGTAATAGAAATAGACGAATTGACTGTTTCATTCTCATGCAGACACGTTTAACATCTCTTTTCTACAGTTTCTGAGATCGAGGGCACTTTCTGTTGTTTTGCACGGAGCTTGATGTATATTGCGAATGTTGCTATTATGACAACAACGTCTGCCACATTAGCTTCTTAAGTTGACAAAATGTAGACATCTAATGGAATTCTGTTACTCAAGACCAACGGACAGCGTGCACAACACATACTACATATCAAATAGACTGTGTCCATCAAGAGAGAGCTGACTTTCTTTGCTCATTTCAAAAATAATATTTCTATTTGCAATTTCTCTAGACGGGTAGACGATTTTAAAATTAATCATTTGTTTGCGGACCAAGTCCTAATGAATATGCACATATTTTTTGACCCAGTTCAGTTTGGATTGGTCTGTTTTTCAATATTACTCAAGGATTTGGTATTCCCTAGTTTTTTCTTAAAATTTCAGGTCTTTCTACTCAGATCATGTTAGCCAAATTGATCCTGAATTGCACAGTATACTGAAAGGTACTGCAGGGAATAATATTTCAAGAACAAGTGTTAGACCCTCTTAGTACGTAGTTTGTACCCTCTTTAAATGCTGCGGAATTTGAAATTAAAGACATGAGAATATCATCTTAAACTATAATAAACTCTACTTATGCCAAAAGGCAACAAAACACCTAGAAAAGTTAAGAATAGCAGATTGTTGAAAAAGTAGATATAATACAAACCTTGGACCTCACTAATGCAGCAATATCGACAATATGTTCCATGAGGTAATCAAAAAATTCATCACGCTCTTCTTTGGCCTCTTCGTCTAACTCTTCACCTTTCAGTACTTTTACGAGCAGCTCGGCAAGGATTGTGAGCACACAATTCCTCATGGTGTACGGCTAGTTATGAGCAAACGAATACAAAATTAATATCACTTCTGAGGAAAAGATGAAACAAGATGATAAAATGAGTGGCAATTGTTTCGTTGCCCTTCTGACACAAGGACTTTACTACACTCTGTAATGAATCCTGTTATCTGTACACTTTAAAGCTTTTTTGGGCTCATCTCATCCTGTAGTTACGTCCATTTATTAGCCGCGCAACAATTAGAACTTCAAACACTGATGTTAAGGATTCCATACTGAAATATTTTAAATGTATATTGTAAGTGCTTGCAAGTATTTTGCATCCTAATTTCCATCCACCAGGTAAAGACTCACTCTTGATAAACGCGCTAAAAAAAGTTCTATGGATAGCTGGCACTGCGATTTTTGATTCCTTGAAATTGGAAAATTGGCACAGGTTATCTGCAAGCACCAATCGAGCAAAAAAAAGCTTGCAAGACTGAATGTAGTACTGTAATGGAGCTTCTTTGATCCATCCTTCTTTTGAAAGCAGCACATTCTCAGGATTGGAACATGCTAAAGAAGAGGAAAATTAAATGTTTGGAACAACCAAAGATTAAAAAACCAACTTTAAACTTCACTGTTCTCAAAAGAAAAGACAGGTACAGAATGGACCACTAAGACAAGATGCGGATTTAAGAATTATGATACGTTTTCTCATCAAAATTGCACTTCGTAGCCAATTTGTACAACAAAAAAAATCACTGAAAACTCTTTATAAAGTTATTAGTGTTTGTAAATGCATAGATTCAAATTTGAAGACCAAAAAGACTGAAAAGTGCTACATGTTTTGAGAGTATTCTACACAAGGCGCAGGAAGAAAATATAATACATCTTAAGGATTATTGGTACTCACGTCTGATTCAAGATGTTGCACTAAATTGCTCATAACAGGTCGGATGAGACTGGCATCACAGCTAGCAATTGCAACGAGAAATGCTGAAAATGCTCTGGTTGTGCTTGTGTCTTCGGCAGATATGGAGTCTTTTGAATCGGTTATTTCCCTCACAATCTCACGGACAAGTGACTTACAGCCGTAGCTTGTGACAAACATAACGGTGGCATGCGCTAGTGGTGTGATTAAATGCTCATAAAGTTTGATCAGCTGAAAAATGATTAAAATTTCATTTCAGAGATTTTGGGAGAGTTTTGTAAGGGAAGAATTCAGAGAGAATAGGATGACATAATTTTATATTGTAGTAATTAACTTGAACATTTTTTAAAAGTTGAATTAAAGTACTTGCAATTCATCTGTGGAAGCTGAAAATTGAGGTTCATTGTAAGGTTAAAATAAATGCCAGAAAAAAATCGTTGATTGGTTCCAAATTTCTTGATTGAGTAGTTGCTTAAAATAAAGATTCCTCTGCAATTATCTACTGAGATAAGGTTCAATAGGACCGCGCTAAACAGAAAGGAACCAAGCCACATCAGCTGTTGCGAAATTTTATCGAGCAATTCAAATGTTTAGATGAAAACAGTTGTACGGATTTTTGTAATACTTTCAGTGGGTTTTCTGTATAGTGCGAAGCAAATTCCTTAAAATTTTCAAAAGAATCTGCACAAACGTTCTCTTGTAAAAAATTACAATCTCCTGTTAAATTTGGCAATTGCTGATGAGACCTGGTTCCTTTCAGCTTAACGCGGTCTGATTGTCAGTTGGCTTGAATGTTACATACCTGAACGATTTTAACAGTACAACTGAGTCCGTGGTTGTACTTTTTGATCAACTGGGCGATGACTTTAAACAAAATATCTCTTAATGGCTTTGATTTTGCGGCTGCAATTGTGGGGTCCTCCAAAGTTCTATAACAGCAGTTGGCAATCATGCTAAAATAGAAGAAAATTCAAAGATTACATGTTTGAAATTAGAAGTAGGCCTTACAGACTGAAAAGCTTGAAAGACCATTTCTCAAAAAAATTTAGTAAGTATTAACAAAAAGTATTTTTTACTATTTTCATTATCAGAACAAGATCCTCTCCACTGTTTGAAGTGAACATCATTGTGCAAATGCAAAATTCAGTCCTGCGAGTGTGAAGTAAAGATCAAAGTTAAACCTAAGAAAAACAATAAATCATAAAACTGTACTGTTTGCATACTGAAGAAAACAGTCTTAAGCAACTGAGTCAATCTCTGCTTTTTTAACCGTACCTTATTCTCCACACTACAGCAATTTAGAGACAACAGTTGCCATTTTCCTAGGATTTCCCTCATTATCAGATCAACAAAAAAGGGACTTTGCTAGTGCTCATCACTTAAAAACCGTTTTCAAAGTGTGTTTGCATTACATATCTAGTGCCCCCTGTTTTTCAACAATAGATGTACTTAGATTTCCTTGTTTGCACTAGGGCCATTCTACTAAGTCATTGACACACCAATAATCTTTTGTACTAGTGTATGACAGTATAGTGTATTAGCAGGGCAGTATGAGAGATAAAAAGTTTGGAGTGATGTAAGAATCGGCTATCAATATCATTTTTTTCTGCGCATGTTTCTAGAGAAAAGAGGGCAAGATATATGCTGTAAGGAATGAGAAAGATAAAAAATAGTCATTTTACTTGACAAACTCCTCATCAGCCACGGGTGGATCCCATAATTTATGGATTGGCTGGGCTAAAATTTCATGGACGAGTTCAAATCCCTCTCTCTGGTCGTCCTCCCAATACCAATCGAATTCTTCGGCCAGCTTCGATACTGCTGAGGTAGCTTTCTTTCGACCCTGCAAAAGTGACAAGATTTTAGATTGACTAGGAAGATGAAAAGTAGAAAATAATATACATTAGCATTTCTTCATCTTCTTTTTCATACCTATTTGACAATATTCAAAGTCTCTTAAGTGAGAGCTCTTTTCCAAATCCGATTTTAATTAATTATTTTTTTATTTTTTCTGTTTGTATTTCACAGACTTTAAGTTGTTGGTTCAAGTTTCTTTTTTGATGACTGGTTGTTTTTAATTTATATGTATTCTTGTTTGTTGTCGGTGTTGGTTGCTTTTGTTTTTTCTGGCCTTTTGGGAACCTTTGTTTGTTCTTTTAAAGACTCTGTTTAACATTAATAGAAATTGTTTCTTTACCCAGATGATGTAAACAAATAAATGAAAAATTAAGGTTTTTACCTTTCCTGTTTCCAGCATAGAGGTGTCATAGCATTCAGTGATTTTTTCGCTTAAACATTTTACAAAATCGGTATATACATACAACATCATCTTAGTGGCATTTAATGCTTTGAGATTCTCCTCCGTGGATCCTGATTCCAGATAGAGTTGCAGACCACTTTGAAGCTGTTTTAAACCTGAAAAGAAACGATAAAAAGTGAGTGGAAAATGGGCGGGGGGCCTCAAAGGGTCGTAACATCAGTAGACGACGTAAGATATTTTTCCTCTTATTCTTCTTGACAGATTAAGTACACTTGCATACACCAATGTATCGAAAGCTAAAATCGAAAAATAACTATCTCAAAGTGCTACTTTATGCTCAAGTCTCTGCTCATGTTTAAATTTTTCACAAGAAGTCCAACCAACCAACAGTCTCTACAGAAATTTTCTGTGAATTTTTTTGAGGTTCTCTAAAAAAAATGACATTCAATTGCGAGGAAACATCCTGATTACTTTTTCTTAAGGAGAGAAAACACAATAAGATATTTTAAAATGTTGGAATACCTAAAGATGCACATTTTCTGCATTTAGCCATCGATATGTTAGAGAATTTACAAGGGATTTTAAACAAGGATCCCGGTTATTGTACATCTTAATGAGAAAAAGTTACTTTTATATTTTTTTGATTTTTCAGGTTTCAGCATGAAATGATGGAAAAAAAAAATTCTGATCAGAATCTGGGTTTAAAAATTTTTCTTGGATTGTTAAATTCTTTTAGAAATGCTGGATATTATTACTTACAGTTTGTCACAGAGACAAAAGAAATTATTGTAAGGACGGTGAACTAAACTGAAAAGAAAGTACTTTGCTGCCTCTTGATCAATTATAAAATCAGTTTATTCAAAGAGTAGTTTTTTGCTTGATTACAGAATGCTTGACTTTATTGCGAAATCTTAATGATTAAAAGATAATAACATCTTTCTAGGCTTTCTTTTCTTTTTGTGGAGATGCTGCTCTTTGAAAAACATGGTAGATGATTATCATCGATTGCGTTTTTCAAGGAGGGAGTTTATGTTCTTTTGGGCATAACTTGGTACTTGGACAGAGTTCCTAAAAATTCGCTCAGAATTCATTCGGAATTTCCACTGCTGAAAGAGGACCATAAAAAAACCTTCCTAAGGCGTGGCTAATCCACTATTTTACAAGATAGGTACTGCATAAAAATAATCTCCATTACAGAGACTTTTAGTTCTCTAGCAAGTCTTCTTCAAACATGAGGAAAGTTTCTAGGGAGGTTCAACTACACGACAAAAAATATACAAAAAATGAGCATCCATATGGCTACCAGAGAGGAACATTACCTCTTATCAAAACATTTTTGAAGAAGCGCTGAAGAACAGGCCATTTCATGTTACGGAATGTTACCAGCACTGTATACAAGGTATCAAAGTGGTCAACGATAAAATAAAAGCCTTCTTCTTGTATTGCTGTTCGGCATTCTGTAAAGTTTGAGATTTGTATGAATTAGAAACATTGTGATCACGTATACTTATTCAGTAAAAATTCAAAATTTAAAAATGGGAAGATAGGATAGCCTTGCATGTCTTTAATTCATGAATGTTTCACATCTGAAAAGGTGAAGCATATATAACCACAATATGAGAATCTTCGTCTTTTTCATTCCTCTCATTTAGTCTCCAGTCAAAAGAGTTGATGAGTTATTTCCAATGGTTGAAACTTTCAAAAAATCTTAGACACCATTTAGGCGATCATTATTCATTTCTAGAGCCAGCATCTGCTCTTAAAAGCTAGAATAAAAAATCAGTGTGATTTAATTGACTGAGCTCATGAGGCCTTTCTGGTTAGAGAATCCTAGACTGGGGTGCAAATATTCCTGATTTCATCATCCAAATATCATTTTAAAAGGTAAACTTGATCTTCAATCACATACCATAATGATGCTATCTTGAGTATCAAAATTTCATGACTTCTCGTTGAGAAAGAGGCTGCCCTATTTTTGAAGAAAACTGGGCTATCACTTAAGACCAAAAAATCATCAAGATAAAAAGTGTCACACGCTGCCGAAAAGATGGACTACTTATGCCAGGTAAAAAAATAACGGTACTTGATTTAAGGCACACAATGTGCCAAGCGAGATGCGACTTCCAGTTCACATATTGGAGCCGACATTCAGTTTCAGACTCGCAAAGCTATCTTAAAAGCCTTAAAAGCTTGGTGTGTCTAGTCTCCTCGGAAAATATATTATCGCTATCTTCAGTTGCCAACTCCGGCAGTACTCATTCTGTGCCTCTATCCTACCTGAAAGTGGAACAATTTTTTCACAACTTCATCTGAACTTTACAAAGACAGCTTTTTAATGACAAAATCCTTTGAAATCTAATCTTAGACTTAAAGTGGTGACAGGTTTAGGAGAAAAGGCATAACTTTGACGATATACAAAATCAGCATCCTCACCTTCTATCTTCCTGTTAAGATCTCCAGTATCAACTAAGTCAGAGACATGGTACTGACTAGGATCATCTGCAGTTCGGAGGTCTTCTTTGTTCAAGGGTAACACGAATTCAAAATGAGACATATTGGGATGAATATTTCTACCTTCCTAAGAGAAAAACTGAAAAAACAAACGCATAAACAAATGATATTAAACAAGGATTTCACAACTAAAGATTGTAGCGCAGACAAAAATTTGAAATTGAACGCTACAATTACCTTGGATCAGGAGAAAACTGCATGCCGTATTACCAACTTTGGAATTAACAATCCCTAACAATATAGAGAAAAACCGACTACTTACCTGACTACATAGTGGCAGAATAAATAAAATGAAATAATATATATACACAGTCCACGGTCAAGTCTGACAGTCCAAAATGTACTTGACTGAATGATTTAGTTTCAAGCTGGGTGATAATGGAAATATTGAATGATTTTAGCATAAATATAACGAGAGCGAGCTCAGGTACTAACCATGACATTTCTCTTTCGCTTCGTGGATTGCATTAAACTTCCTCAACTTTGAGGGGGATAAAAAGTAAATAAAACATCCCTGATAACGTCGCCTAAAAGAAGCAATAGTTGCAAAAGGCTTCGACCCTCCTGAACTCGGTAATTTCCAATTGTTATTGGCAGCGCTGAGGTCTGTTCGTAATACTATAGCGTTGGTTGTAAAAGACAGCTGCTCTATTATTAAAGTCTACAATAAAATATGCAAATGAATACAGTGCTCATTTTACTATAGATACGCAGTAAGCATATGAATGGCCACAGTCTGATTGAAGAAGCAGCATCGGAACCACAGAACCTGACGCTTCGGCATTTCGACCTCTCTCCAAACCTTCAATTCTTGACTATCAAGAGGTTTAAGTGGCAAAACATAAAAATGACCAACCGTACCTGTAAATTTAAATACATTTTTAAAATTGAATAAGGGTAAGCATGAGTAAAAAGCAAAAGTTCAATAAATTTGTCTTCAGTAAATTGAATAAATAGAACACAACTCTTCAACTCTTCTTCTCTAAACTTCCTCTGAATTGGCGCCAGTTCAGTGTTTTGATGTTTCAGTGTGACGTCATGGATTAACAATGAGTCGAAATCGAAAGTCTGGTTGATAGTAAATGGAGAGTTTCAAACTTGCTGAAATACCGTGAAACAGTTTGAAAGCTTTTGAAAGATTCGAATCATATTCGTATATTCGCCTCGAGGTTTTCGAAATCGCAAGATTCGAATATTCGCTTTGAAGCATTCGAAATTCCAAGATTCGATTTCTCAAATAATCGCAACAATCGCAATCGAAAAGAATTAGATGTGCCTCACTGAAAACCCAACGTGCTCGGTCTCTATTTGTCTCTGCTGTTTTCTAGCGTGCATGCGACGCGTGGAAGTATCATCAGTAGCATTTACCGCTATCTTGGCCTTTTAAATCGGGTAATTATTCTGTGTATTTTATTTCTAAGGTATTCAGTGTTATCCCAAGTGAATTTTCATTGGGAAATGTTAAACTTTCTTATCTAGAGGTATTTCTTTCGCATCGTTATCTTCACACATCTAACCTCACTTTAGCGGTACCATATTTGCACATATTTGAGACTTATCAACGACTTAAAGAATAAGTCACTCATTTACAATTTTGCTCCCTCTGCATTCTATTTAACCCACCTACTTTTTGTTCCAGCCAGTTCCAACGGCCAGTTGCATTAAAATTTCATCATGAGTAGTCGTTTCTTTGCGACTGGCTCCGATTCGGAGTCGGATAGCGGGTCGGACGAGGAGCAGGTAGTTCGCGCACCAGCAGCAAACTTTGCCGTAAGTACCAGTCGATAATAGTGTCTCTTTACTCGTTTCTGCACCAGAAATTTCAAGCATTCTATAAAATTACGTCTACATACCAGGCGACGTGTATACCTACTTCTCTCTCTCCTGTATCTCTTGGGCGCATGAAAACAAATTTTCTAGGGATGACTGACCTTTTTCACATTTAGCTAGTATTATCTAAATGTTTGAAAGTTCCATCTTAATGGCGTGCAAATGTGCATATCAAGCTGTATTCAGTTTTGAACCATAGCTTCATCAACCTAATTTTCATAATGATGAATTAGATTGTTTTGATGTCCTTCTGTTTTTTAATCAAGAAATATTCCTTGTCAATTTCAAATCTGAAACTCATCTCTTGTAAGATTTGTGCTAGTCTTAGCTTAGGAGTCCTATCACAACTCACTTTTAAATTAATCTATGCACTTTTGAATTTCAGTTCAGCGATGATGAAGAAGATACTAAACGTGTTGTTCGTTCATCAAGAGAGAAACGTTATGAAGACTTGATGAACATAATCAAACAAATCAGGAACCACAAGAAAATCAGGGATATGAGTAGCATGCTCACTGGTAAGATGATCATATTTTCATGAAATATTACATCCCTGTCCACGCTGAAAAAGTTTGTGAGCATGTCCAAAAAAATGCGGCAGAAGATTGGCTGTCCTTTGTCGAGTATTGAATTTGAATGAAATAATCAAGATAGTGGCTCCTCACTTTTACTGTAAAAGTACATCAAATGTTTGTGGCATGGATTCTAGCTCTTACTTTTTCAACTTGCCTCTATTGTCAGAGTATTTTTGCCAAAAAATTTCCTGCCAGGTCAGAAAACGTGCTTCTTTTAAAGGGTGAAGTTGGAATGCTTCAAACCTTTTCCGTGGATTGGTGTGACATCAGAGCTTCTAATTGGTTACGGATCAGCATTCCACAATAAGTCCCTGAGAGGACTGGCAGACAGTGCTCTATTGTAGAGTAATGTGATAGTAACGCACTTGTCACACCGCCAGTCATCTTGAATGAATAAACAGTAATTATGGTTGCCTATCATTGAATTTGTTTGAGGTATTTCAGTTTTTCATCAACGATAACAAATGAGGTTGGATTCAGGTCTTCATGCAGCAGGTTCAAATCTTCAAAAATTAGGAAACTTAACTTTTCATGTAGAATAATCAGAAAAAAGAGAAAAAGCAAAACAATTTTGTTCTTATAAATCCACCTCAGTGAATTTCTTGCTTCACTGATTTCCCTCTGGGAAAATATATAATTTTTTTTTTTTTTTTTTTTTTTTTTTTTAAATTATCGATTTATCTTGACGTTTAAAACTTCCTAAACAGCTTTATGATTTCATCCTCATGTGATACCTACTTGTGAGCTCAAGTATTCTCATCTTACTTTCAAATGGGCCAGGAAAACAAAAACCTGACACTTTCACAAAGCTGTAAAGGACCACATGCTCCAATAAAGTACTTAAGATGGTCCACAAATCTGTTTGAAAAATGCTGTGGAAAGAAGTGTCAAGAAAATCAAGAGTTCTCTCTGTAGGTATCTACCACAATTAAGTTTAGCTCGTGTAAGTACAGAATATTTCATGCGTAGAAGACCCCTGAGAGTGAAATTATTGAAAGAATGCAACGTGAAAGTTTTTCAAAGTTCTCATCCTGTTCATCCCTAATTTTAATTTAACTAATTTTTGCTCCGTTTATTCAATATTTCAGCTTTTGAAGATCTTACGAAAGCATATCAGAAAGCTTTGACTGTTATTTCAAAAGAAGAAAATGGCCGTACTCCTAGATTTTATTTACGTATTCTCACCGAGATGGAAGACTTCATCACTGAAGTTTGGGAAGACCGTGAGGGCAGGTAATTTACCTCAGTTTCGTTTTGATGTCATTGTTAAATTTTCTTATTAAGGAAAAGGTGTCTAAACTCTGAATAAATGTTAATTTTTTCGGTAATGCCCCCATAATGCCACCTTGCCCATGTCAGAAGTGGATCCTTATCTTTTGACATTTGTAAAAGTCTTAAGGAAGACTAAATTAGGGGAAATATTAGTATTATGGAATAAGTTATGCAAATGCTAGGACAACATTTTTCTCACAGAATTTTTTGTAGGTGCAAGTAATCCTGAAAAAAAAATTTCATATTTTTATGTGCATGAAGCTCAATAATGACTCATACGAAGACTTTTTTAAATTTATGTTACAAAAAGATATGAAGTGAGCTATAGGCACTGATTTATTCTGATCGGTCAATTAAGAATCTGCAAACCAATGTCAGATTGTCAGAAGGAAAAATACTTTTTTCATTGGCAGTTCTTCTACTTTCTCAGCTGTTTATCTGTGAAATAGGTAGCATTTTCCTGCCAACCAGTGCTCATTCAGAAATCCTTTAGAATTGATTCTGATACTAAATTGTAACAAGATCTCATCCTCTCTCCTTATACTGTTTCAGGAAAAACATGTCAAAAAATAACTCCAAATCCCTCTCATCTTTGCGACAAAAATTGAGGAAGTACCTGAAAGATTTTGAGGATGAAATCGCCAACTTCCGTGAGAAACCAGATCTACCCGATGAAGATGATCAAGCTGACGAACCAGAAGGTAACTCATTTTGTCTCTCATGACCTCATTTATCCGTATTCCAAGTTCATTAAACACCTTGCCTAAAATGCATCCAAAAATCAAGCTTTGGCGCCTTAAATTTTGGCGTGACTCTAATGTGTACTCTAATGTTCACGATCCTTTATAAAAAAGCCTTATGGCTCCAAATTCAGACTTGACAGTTTAATGACACTCAACATCCTAAGATGAATTCAGAGGTGCAGAAACTTCCAAGGGTTCCCCCAAAATAAATTTAGGTTCCCCCATTTTAAATTTTTGCAGAACTTTGCGCAACACATAAGGTCGACAGTTGGGTTCCCTCAAAACAGCGCGGTCGACAGTTTGGTTCCTCCAAAAACAGCACGCTTGACAGTTAGGCTCCCCCTAAATCCTTTTCAAGAAAATAAAAAAAAAAAAAAAAAAAAATACCTCCTAAGGCTCCCCCAATTTTTTCATCCTCACATGGATTCCCCCATTTCGCGCGAACGGCCAGTCGAGTGGTTGGGAAGTTTCTGCACCCCTGGATGAATTTTGCTTAAACTGTCTTAAATCTAATAACCTTATATGAAAGTTAAGAATTCGAAAAAGTTTACCAATATTGCAAGCCATCAACTTCTGTCAAATAATAAATCATACAGGGTGTCTACCATCAGTAAAAACCTGAAAATATCAGGAAAATTCAAGTGAGTCTAAGATGTTTCATCTAGGTACCTACAGTTAGCACGAAAGTGAAGAAGTGAAGCATTACTTTAATTCTTAAAATATGTTAGCTTGCAAAATCAAATGATTGTCAATTTATTTGCAAAAAAAAAATCAAGAAAATCCCAAATGAAGTTCTATTAGACACCTTGTAGTGTACCTTTATAGTTTTAAAGACTACAGGTGAAAAAATATGGCTATGTAATTTAGGGACAGTTATTTTTCATTTTTTGCTGATGCCTTAAAATTAAAGCATCAGTTATTCGCAGTTATTATTTAACGCAATCGTCCAGAAGTCTTCACTTAAGTGGTTTGGTTTCAGATGAGTCAGATTCAGATGAGGACAAGCCTATGATTCCTGCAAGTTTCAAGAAACCAGAGACGGCCACAGAACAGAAACCAGCCAAAAAGGTAGCAGTAGACACTGGCGATGACAGTGATGATTCCATCGATTGGGGATCTGATTCTGACAGCAGTGAATCCAGTTCGGACGATGAAGGACAGTACACCAGTATTCGAGAACGTTTTCTTAAAAAGTATGTCAAATCCTCTGTTTTGCCTCCCATTACATCTGAAAACGTGGTGTCTAGTTAGAAAAATCCGGGATTCATCAGGGAATGAAAAATTTCAGGGAAAAATCAGAGATTCTGTTCCAGAAATCAGGGATCTCTTCCTCCACTGTTTACTGACTAATTCCTCCCCTTAACTTCATTTGAATTTTCTCCTGGTCCTCTTTTTATCTGAGTCAATTGCAGAAAATTTATGAAAGTAATACTGAGTTCGTTGGTGTATAAAAAGAAATTCTGATTGAACCCTTAAATCATCAGAATAATAGAAAATCTTTCATTGACTAGATAACATAAACATCTGTGGGCTGATTATTGAAATTTTGTGTGGCGGACATAGGTAAAGCGGCAGAGCGTGATTGGTCCTATCAGGACCAGTCCTATGTCCTATCGCTGCTTTGTCGTGCCTTTGTCAGGTGGAATAGACGACATACTGTCAGGAACTCAAGAGGTGCCTTTAGCTTGTTGTGAATTTCACCTGACAAAGGCATGACAAACCAGCGATAAGACATACTCGACCAATCATGCTCCGCCGTTTAACCTATGTCTGCCAGACAAACACAAAATTTCAATAATCAGCCCGCAGAAAAGCTTTTGAAATTAAAAATTGCGCCAGGCAATTGGCTGAAATATGGAAAAAACGGATATTTACATCTAGAACTCCGGAGTCATATCGCTCCTGCACCGGGAAAGTCCCGGCTAAGAGGGAGAAAACTTTGATTCCTCATCAGAGAATAAGCTGAAAATCAGAGAAAATTAGGAATTGAGCATGGTCAAGAATTCTTGACACCGTGAGAGCTCTTTCCAGGGTGTCTACAAGTCAAGAATTTCCAGAAAGTTTCGAAATAGCACTATTTCTTAAGGGCGGTCTGGAAATACCGAAAAAGTGCGGAAATCTGCAAGGAGGTCAGGAATTTTTGTCGCACTTTGAGTGAGAAATTCCAATTTTTCGAATTTTGTCCAAGGGAGGTACTGAAAAAGTACTGAATTTTCTTGTGAATGAGGCACTGAATTTCTTGGGAATGTACTGAAAGAATACTGTAAAAGAACTAATTTTTGGCCAGCTTGTTTTAGTAGACACCCTGCTTTCATAATTCCAAGTTCCCATTATGGCTGCTGGAAGAAAATTAAAGAAATCTGTATCATTTCTTGAACTCAGATACTGTAGTCTCTGTCCCCTTGGATATCAATCTCATGATATTCAAGAAGCCAGAAAGATAGATAGCAGCCAGACAGATAGACAGATAGTAGCCACACCAATTCGCTTCTGGAACCAGGGAAGATTTGGTGGTTTTTTTAAATACTTTTGATTTGCTGCGTAAGATGAAATAATTCCATACACCTTTTCAGACAAAATTAGTGATCCACTCGTAGTTACTTGACATCTCCGCAGGTAAAGCAGCTGCCAGTATGTTTAAACGTTTCCAAATCCTTTGAACCCTTTCATTTCCTTTTTTTTTTAGAACAACGGATCGCGAGGAAGAAGAGAAGAAAGAAAAGAAAAAGGAGCGGAAAGAAAAAGAAGGTCGTCGTAAAGCTAGACATGATGAAGAGGAAGACGCCGAAGGAGGAGGATGGGAAACTGTCAAGGGCGGAGTTGCCATCGCTTCTGTAAGAATTTCATCTTACATTTTCAAACTTTTCTGAAGCTTTGGCTTCAGTGGCGAGAACTATTTGCTCAACTTGCATCAAACTTATTTTTTACGGGCTCTCATGCCTAGTACTTTCTAGTCAGTATTATTCAATTTGTGTTAGCTTGATTCAAATATCGAAAATACTTTTAGCTTTCTACTGGTTCAGAAGTAGTTAAAAAGTTTAAGCATCAGCAACTTGTACAACTTTTTGCTAAAGCCTATAACTTGACATTTTAAATTGACTTGGTGAGCATCAAATTAGTGCAATTAAAATGTAATAGGCTTCATGTACCTTCTCGGTCCTAACCATACCCATCTGTCGGGGGTTTTTTTTTTTTTATTATTGTCCGTTACACATCTTCTCTTTGAATTTTTGAAAGTGTCCGTTAATTTCTCTCTTTTAATCTTTAAAAATTGATTTATTAAATGCACTATGGAAGAAAGCTATGGTGAAACTTCCATTAAACAATGTCTACAGTCGCTCAGAAAGTAAGTTTTGCTGATTCTTTTCAGAACTATAGAAAGTAAACCAATTTCAAGTGTACCATTATTATGAAGCTTACACCCTCATCTTCCTGATGGTTTATTGGTATGTGTTATTTGACCCTTCAAGATGTAAAAATCACATTTTGCCTTAGTTGTTCTGAAAAATGTCCCACCATCTCTTCCAAAGGGTTCATAAAGATTAAATTCCTTGTGAAGTTTGCTCAGCAACTATAAACTCCATGAGAGAACAAAATCATTTTTAAAATTGGAAGCATTTGGTAGCCCTTCATTTGATTGAAAAGCAAATAATGCCTAAAAGAATCTTCTATCATAATAAGGAATGGATGCAACTAGATGTCTCAAATTTTAAAATGGATTGCTCAATAAAAAGTTAAAAATATTACCTTTTTAATGAAGTATTCGTTTTTCTTAGATTATGAATAAAATACCTGTCCAGGCAAAAACTTCTCTTATTTTTTTCTGAGTTAACTTTGTTACACTACTAACACGCAATATGCGTTTTCCAGATCGTATTCTTCGTATTTAATGAATGAATTTTAATCATGAACCAAGTCCTTTAAGGTGCTCCATATCCAAGACTATATTTTTAATAGATTATAGAGTATATCACTCCTAAACTTACGAGAAGTTAACTTTCTTATCTTCTTCTATCATTGTTACTTGTCTACAGGAAAAACCAAAAATGTTCGCCAAGGATGCAGAGATTAATGTTGATATTGTCCTGAGCAAGCTTGGTGAAATTATGGCAGCACGTGGTAAGAAGAGAACAGATAGGAAGGAACAAATAGAGCTCCTCCATGAGCTGCAAAACATCTGTGAGCTGAAAGGACTGGGCGTGGCCATAGTTATTAAAATCAAGTTGGCCATCGTCTCCTCGATTTTCGATTACAACCCTAAAGTGTCCGATCCAATGAAGCCTGAGTACTGGGCAAAGTAAGTTCTGATTAATATAGCTCTACTCCGATAACTACACACCTAGCCAGGAATTATTATTATTTCTTCCTTTATTTCCTTTTATTTTAATTTTTTCCTCTTAGTATTGCGTATTTTAATATTTTTCATTTTTTTGTATGGTGTGCAAAATTAATTTATCAGTTACATTTTATCAATTATTTTGATAGGACCCATTATCACACACCTTCAGTGAAACCACTCTCCTTGCCAATAAAGTGATTAAAATCCAGGTTTCATTTTAATTTCTCAATATCAACTTGTTTCCTTTTCTCTAAATTTTGTCCTCTGTTTTGCAGGCTTCTAGACCGAATCAATCAAACGATGGATCTGATTCTAACTGTCAACGATGTAATAATCAATGACACCATTCTCGAGGATGATGAAAACTTTGAGAAGGCACCGTACAGGATTCGTGGTTGCACACTCACCATTGTTGAACGTCTCGATGAGGAATTCACCAAGTTGTTGAAAGAGTGCGATCCTCACTCGAATGAGTATGTTGTGCGACTTAAAGATGAAAAGCGGGTTACTCAGATCATCGACAAAGTTCAAGAATATCTCGAGAGGCAAGGTGTTGCCCCTGATCTATGTCGTATTTACCTGAGGAAAATAGAGCACTTGTACTACAAGTTCGACCCACAAGTATTGAAACAGAAACAAGTAAGTATTTTTGCCAGAAGTTATGGTTCAATTTAGTATAAAGGGTTTATCACATGCCTGTCATGAATTATTTTGTACATGCCAAGAAAAGTTAGTTTGTCAAAAGGAAGAATGGTTAGTATAATTGTTACTCCAGATTTCTAAGGTTCTAATCAATCTGCTGCAACAATGGTAAAAGAAAATTACTTACACTATAGCTACTATCGGTACTTTTTTTTCTGGAAAATGAGCTAAAAACAGGGGTGCTGGAAAGTTGGAAAATTCAGGGAACTTGTAACATATCTACTTATCATGAAAACATATCACTGATCTGCTAACTGTTTACCTTTCCTGGTTATTTTTAAAGCTAGTCATCTTTTAGCCAGTTGCTGAATGCCTTTTTTCATACTTTAATTTCTCAGCTAAGAAATATTGCCCAAAGTTTAGCGAAAGTCAGCGTATTTATTATACAGGGTTATTCAAAAGTTACGCACCACTGGCCATAACTTTAGTTCTAATTATGATATCGATTTGCGGTTTGTGGCGTCCTTCCTCATATCGAGGGGGAAACTTTTTGAGGTACTTTTCAGTTCTTCACCCCCCCAGGGGGAGGGGGGGCGGGGGGCAACTCAAAAATTTCAAATGGCAACCCCCATCATGTGATACATCGTTAGAAAGAGCATGAAAAAAGAAAATTTTTGGCGCAAACCGGAAGTCAATCTGACCCCCCTGTCAAAAGTTAGGGGGGTCCAAAGGTTATTTAGGGGGTCCGTACCTTCATTTTTTAGAGTAGCTTCGGCGGCTCTTGGACATACCGTTTCTCTTTTCAAAGAGTCCTCGTTTACTCCAAGTCTGATACCGAAGTCTTCATATTGCCCCCGGGCCACCACAGCTCCCCCGTAGGGGGGGATGGGCCTAATACAATGAAACATTGCATTAAAATGCGAAAAGTCACAGGAGAGCTTCTAACTTAGCATCAAATCCGAGTGGAACTTCTTGCCAATGTTAACGCAAACGCAGCCTGCGACTTTAAAGTGAGTTTTCAAAACTCTTATTCCCCTGCCCCCCCTCATTTTTGGTTGCAGAGCGGGTAAAAACCGGGACATTCACTACAAATAATGCCCGAAACTAATGTCCAACTTGAGGAGGACCCTTGAAACGTTGCGATCAGTCGGAGCATTGAAAAACAAGGACTGCCACCCCCTTAAAGTATGGAAACATCCAAAACACCCCCGCTGCCCCCCTCATTTTTCGTTGCGGAGCGGGTAAAAACCGGCAAAATCGCCAGAAATGATGCCCCGGTTCTTACCAGCTCTGCAACGAAAAAAGAGGGGGGCAGCGGGGGTTTTATGGATGTTTCCGTCCTTAAAGTGGGCGGCAGTTCCTGTGTTGCAATTCTCCGACTGATCGCAACGTTTCAAGGGTTCTCGTCAAGTTCTACAGTGGTTTCGGGCATCATTTCTGGCAATTTTGCCGGTTTTTACCCGCTCCGCAACGAAAAATGAGGGGGGCAGCGGGGGTGTTTTGGATGTTTCCGTACTTTAAGGGGATGGCAGTCCTTGTATTTCAATGCTCCGACTGATCGCAACGTTTCAAGGGTCCTCCTCAAGTTGGACATTAGTTTCGGGCATTATTTGTAGTGAATGTCCCGGTTTTTACCCGTTCCTGCAACCAAAAATGAGGGGGGGCAGGGGAATAAGAGTTTTGAAAACTCACTTTAAAGTCGCAGGCTGCGTTTGCGTTAACATTGGCAAGAAGTTCCACTCGGATTTGATGCTAAGTTAGAAGCTCTCCTGTGACTTTTCGCATTTTAATGCAATGTTTCATTGTATCAGGCCCATCCCCCCCTACGGGGGAGCTGTGGTGGCCCAGGGGCAATATGAAGACTTCGGTATCAGACTTGGAGTAAACGAGGACTCTTTGAAAAGAGAAACGGTATGTCCAAGAGCCGCCGAAGCTACTCTAAAAAATGAAGGTACGGACCCCCTAAATAACCTTTGGACCCCCCTAACTTTTGACAGGGGGGTCAGATTGACTTCCGGTTTGCGCCAAAAATTTTCTTTTTTCATGCTCTTTCTAACGATGTATCACATGATGGGGGTTGCCATTTGAAATTTTTGAGTTGCCCCCCGCCCCCCCTCCCCCTGGGGGGGTGAAGAACTGAAAAGTACCTCAAAAAGTTTCCCCCTCGATATGAGGAAGGACGCCACAAACCGCAAATCGATATCATAATTAGAACTAAAGTTATGGCCAGTGGTGCGTAACTTTTGAATAACCCTGTATAAAGAAAATAGGTGGAAATTTTGTTCGAAGGTCAGGAAAAGTCAGGGAATTAGAAAATTTGGGAGTCAGGAAAAAGCAAAGAAGGGTAGAGAAGAGTCAGGAAATTTGAAGATGAAGAAATTATGGCAACCCTATAAAAATCAAAGGAGTGCAGCATCTGCGGGTAATAGCTCCTCTTGTAAAGAAGGTAGGCAAGCACCAAGTCTCATGCCAGGCTAGGATCACCACTTGCTCTCAGCCCTGCTTTGGTTCTCCCAGCTACCAGAGTGGCTCATGCTTTAATTTATGATTGATAATTTTGCGTAATTTTTTCCAGGGTTTAATTCCTCCTTCAGAGGTTACATCGCTACAAGTAATGGATCGTTTGTGCAAATATATTTATGACAAAGATAATACAGATCGTTTGAGAACAAGAGCCATTCTTTCCCATGTCTATCACCACGCACTCCATGATAATTGGTTCCAAGCCCGAGATCTTATGCTTATGTCTCATCTCCAAGATACAATCCAGCATGCTGATCCGGCAACACAGGTATGTTGGTTGGATTCTCATTTTTGGTTATCAAGGTGTCATTAAGCAAGAGCATTCCAAAATGTAACACATCGGTAACAGAGGCCGGTGCCACTCCCCTTCAAATTAGTGTTTTGTGATGAATTGCGGATGAAAAATTGCCACCTCAAGTCAATTTTTTATCTTAGATTGTTGAAAAACAGCTTTATGCAATGCAGCCCTGAATTTCCCCTTTCTTTCCCTGGCGATGGACCCGTAATGCGGAATCAAATCCTTACTCTCTTCCCAACGCATTACGTATTTTATGAACAGTCCATTGTGTTTTTTTCAATTTCAGCTTTTTCTTTGGAATTTTTGAGCCTCATATAATAAAATACTCAATATATCCCTACAGCTCAAAAAAGTTGACTTTCATCACTGGCATATCTTTCAAAGTGATTTGTTCTATGTTGCTGCATTACTCGAAAAGAAATTCTGGAAGGTCTTCCTGCGTGTTAAGAATATTTCCTTCTAATTTTTAAGGAAAGAGTGAAAAAAATACTTAGAGAATTTTAATCAAAACAGCCTGTTGTTTCTTTCAATAATTGCAACATGAGTAAAAATTTACTGCGATCTGAGGTAGTGAATCTAGCCATCTATATCATTTATACTCAACGTTATTCTAGGTTTTTTGGTCAGATTTTATACCCCAGATCTTGTATTATGTATTCACTGCTTGTAAAATTCACCACATAAAGAGTCATTTTCCATCATTTATCTAAATTACCACGCAAATTGTCTAATCACACAATGTGTTTTTTCCATCACCACAGATCTTATACAACCGAACCATGGCTCATCTAGGTTTATGCGCTTTCCGTCACGCCAACATCAAAGATGCGCACAACTGTCTAGTAGATTTAATGATGACTGGTAAAATGAAGGAATTGTTAGCCCAAGGTTTACTTCCTCAGGTATATATCTTTTACTTTACAGCATGAATTTTTTTAAATTCTTGAAACTTTAATTTCTACCAATTTATCAGATCTGCTCATACAATGTGTAATATTTGTTATTGAGTCATCAGGAGCTACTACTTTGCCGAACAAGACACAAACATCATTTCGCTTTTACTGCAAGATCATGAGCTTTAGTGCTGCCAAATCAATAGTGTGTATACATTATTTTCTTCCCAGTCAGTTTCTTGAGTAAGGATTTAGATCTATGTCTCAATTTTTGACCCTGGAAATTTTACATTTTCGTCCAAAAGCATTGTCATTTCATGAAGACAGAATCATACAATTTTCTAGGGAAAAGGAGACAAGTGAAAGCGGTAATACTTTCCCAGTAAAGTTCATGGGTGCTGAAAGTTGAAAGCCTCCTCCTGAACTCAATTAGTCTCGCTTCAAGTCTTTCGTCCCCAAAAATAGGACTTTTCTGACCGCTAAAATGCTGATTTAACAACAATATTGTAGAAATCTAACAAGGCTTCTCTATCTTTTCTTGTTTCCATCGCAGGTGGTGCGGGAAGTTTCTGCACCCTTGGTAATTAGTTTCTTTAAAATACTAGTGAATAATGTCTTGCAATTTTTTCTAATTTTACTACTGTAATGTTTTTAGCGGCAACATGAAAGGAGTAAAGAGCAAGAAAAAGTTGAGAAACAACGACAGATGGCATTCCACATGCATATTAATTTGGAACTCATTGAGTGTGTCTACTTAGTCTCTGCAATGCTCACAGAAATTCCATACATGGCGGGTTAGTAACTTTATATTTTTCTTATTCAAGTTTCTTCAAGTCAACAAAGACATTTGGATTAGAGGAAGGGTTTTTAAAGGTAGAATTTGTTTTATAATGACGCCTCTCTGCCTGAGGTTTAACTGTGAAATATTTGGGACATACAGCACAGCAAAGACTTTTCTGCTAATCACGGTAAGCGCATCGCGTACCAAGAAACGCCTTCCTGAAATCATTCAGGAAGTAGTAATCTTATCTTTAGGAACTTGGGAAATATTTTGAAAAAATCATGCAAATTTTACAAGGGAATCGCATAGTTCAACTAAGAGAGAAAAATGCCCTGTGTCAACAAGAAATGTGCATTTTCTGCCGGACGGAACCTCTTGCACCCCTGCAGGACCGAAGAAGCCATACACCAACACTTCCGAGCCCTGGCTGCAACACTGAAACCTCCACAAAGAATTGTAAATGTTACGGTTTTGTTTAGCTATCATTTTCATTTTTTGTATCCTTTCATTCTGTTCCAAGGAAGCCAAAAGCACGCCCAAACCATTATTCTCATATTAAATTTTGGTTTTCACTTTCAGCTCACGAATTTGATGCCCGTAGACGCATGATTTCAAAAACATTCTATCAGTTACTGCGAACTAGTGAACGTCAATCACTCATAGGACCTCCCGAGACCATGAGAGAACACATCATTGCAGCTAGTAAAGCCATGCGCAATGGAAATTGGCAGGCATGCAGAGATTTCATTGTAAACAAGAAGATGAATACAAAGGTAATTGTGGCTACTTGAAGAAAGGAACTTCTTTCTCCTTGGTCTCTCTGCTTTGATGCTAAAATAATCTGCATGAGAAATATTGCAAAGCAACATCAAAAAAAGTTATAGCTTGCAGAAGAAGTTCAAAATCTCTTTCATCTCAGAATTTTCATAACTGCAGAAAAATAATACAATATCTACGAGCTATTTGGACTGCATTTTGCAATTTGGAGCTATAAATTCTGGCTCATCTGAAAAAACACTTATGTGCATAGGGAAACTAATCGCACATATGTTGTTTCTAAACCGGACCGGAATTTACAGTTCCTAATTGCAACATGTAGTCCATTAATCAACCAGGTTAGGAATGAATAAATCATGACTGTCCAGATTTTTGAGGAAGTAAAGTTAATTACTTTGTGCGACATTGTGTCCTTGTATAGTTTTTTTTGCTGTCACGAGTCTGTGAGAAAGTAATAATAACCCTGCTAGCTCTACAAAACAGACATATGATTTGGTTGGGAATTTGATTGACGAGGCAGATTCTTTAACCATAAGAACTTATTTTGTCTTAAATGGTTTCTGGTAAACTCCTGTTCCAAACTTGAAATTGTTCATTGGGAGCTCTCATTTCTAGTGACACTATTTTGTCCAAGTGCCAACCAAGGCGTCTATTTCATGTTTCTAATGTTATTTTAATACAGAAGACTTTTGATTATCCGATCCAATGTGCCAGTTGGGGATGTATGATAACAAAGACTGAAAAAATACCGTTTCAGGCTCTGTTGGTAAGCAGAAAGCACAAGTTTGGCCAATTTCTGTCGTATTTGTAAAACCGAGTCAATTAATTAGAAAAAACGATGTGTTTAAAAAACCAAACATTCACTCAATTTTTGCCCAAAAATTCGGTTTCTGTCATGTCGTGTCTGGAAATGTACATTTTAGTGGTGAAAGAATGGTGTTGGATAATCAAGAGTCTGCTGTATTAACGTATCTTTGTTTCTTTCTACTTTGATTTGTTTTTACAAGTTCTATACCGTTTTAATTTGTATTGTAGGTCTGGGATCTATTCTATGAAAATGACAAAGTGAGGGATATGTTAGCTCGACTCATCAAGGAAGAGTCCTTACGAACGTATCTTTTCACTTACTCACATGTCTACTCGACGATTTCCATGCCGACTCTTGCTGACATGTTCGAGCTAGGTCACTCTACTGTCCATTCAATCATTAGTAAAATGATCATCAATGAAGAGCTAATGGCATCTCTGGATGACCCAACTCAAACAGTTGTTATGCACCGAAGTGAACCAACTCGCCTACAATCGCTTGCGCTCCAATTGGCAGACAAAGTTAACAACTTTGTCGATGCTAAAGAACGCATCTATGAAATGAAGCCTGGTGAGTTACTTACTCATGGAGTTCCTCCAATATCATCATTTTTATTTCCCTTTTAGGAATTCCCCTTATTTTCACAGCTTAATTTCACTTCCAAATGCTGATTAGTGGTGTGAATAACAAGAAATTAAAAACTTAAATTCCTCTCCACTTCTTTTTTCTGACAGTAGGGTCATTCCATGCCAACTGGTGCCACTTTGACTTTGATGAATTTTAGCCTCCCTAGTACCTACTTAGCGTTCATGCACATCCAAGTCAGAATCAAATTTTTCCAAATTTTTTTGATCAAGAACAATACTTAAGGCATAATTATTTTTATATCTAAGAGTGTATTGTTTATAATATTTACCTAAAATCCATTTTTCAGCATAATTTTATGACTGGGAATTGCAATAATACGGAGAAAAAAGAAAACTTAGAAACTTGAATTTTCAATACTTTCTCTCCCATTGAATTGATCCTTCTCAAGTGCTAGGAACGAACATTCAAGAAAAATTGTACAAATTTTATTCATCGACCCATTTTTATCTCAGATCATGTAATAATGTCATTAATCAATTAGTTGCTTTAATACTTTGAAGCCATGAGCTTTGGAAAGGGTCGATTAAACAGTTTTTTTTTTAATTTAGTTTTTCTCTTATTTTCATTTCTGGCGCTTACATCTATTTCAGAATGATAGATGCCTGTTAAAAGTACCCATCTGAGTATTAAATATTTCAATTTTTCACTTTTAAATATTCACATAATTTTTGATTCATAAAGAAATTCCATTCGACACATTTTGTGACCTTCTTGAAAGTCATTTTAGTCCTTTGAATTACATGAGACAATTTTTTTTGTCATACTAATGCTGATGATATCATTTCAGGATCGTTCTTCCCTCGCGGAGGACAACAAGGAAACTACAGGCAAGGTGGATACAACAGGCAGGGCCAAGACTGGAACAGGAACCGCAAGGATAGACAGGAGGGCCGTGCTTATTAATCATATACATTGTTTTATTTTATAAATAGTGAATTTTGCAATTCTTCCTGAAGTGAGCATTGTGAAGCCTTGAGGAACCAAATTAAGTTAAGCGACACCTTTTCTACCTAGCATTGAACTTAATCGCGAGTTAATTGTTCGTGACAACTCTGATGATTTGTTTAATAAATATTTTGTATAATTTTAACAAGCTTTCTTTCATTTTATTTTCTTGATTTTTGAATGAAGTCTTTATCATATTTTAGAATTTTTTTTGATATTAAAGTATGATCTATGATGAGACGTACCCTAACAGCACCATACTTGAGTTGATGAAAATAGACCGAAAAAGGTGGGGATAAAGCTGAAATAACACACAATAATTATTACAAATTACGGTACATTTCGACCGGTCTGCCGGTTATTATCAACCGTCCAAAAAAAATTAAAAAATCTAAAAAAACAAAAGCTTGAGTCGAAATACCAATAAAGTTTTAAGGCGATGGTTGATAACAGAGTCTTATTCTGCCATGCTAAGGGAGAACGCCGTATTAACATTCGAGAGTTGCCAAATTTCCTTCAATTAAATGTTTATTTCTGAGAAAAGTTATGAATATTTTTTCTTGAAATTTTCAGACACTTTAGATCAAAATACAAACAAAATTATCTGAGAAATTGGCAGAAAAATTTAAAAAAAAAAATTCCTGGAAATTAGTGATTTGCCATAGGAAATTTGGCAACGCCTGAAGACTCATACGGCATTTTTCCTTAGCATGGCAGTATTTTACCTAAAATACAGACCCTCTTTTTCTTCGAATTTTACTATCTCAAATTCAAAGAGCTCCGTCATTACCAGGCACCCTTGACGGTCTTCATAATGTGCCAGTTTCACTACTGTAATTTTTTTTTTTTTTTTTTTTTACGAGAAAAACATTTGGTTGCTTCATTTAGAGAAAAACAAAAAAGAAAAGAGAAAAAATTAATATCCCCCTAATTCTGATCCATATTTTTTGGAAAAAATGTATAACTAAGGAGTTTTAGGGACGCTACCAAATGTGTTATAAGCATCTCTAATCTTATTGGCGTTGCATGTTATGGTATTTGCTCTTATCATGGCTCAATTGCAGGCCAGAAAAACCAAAAAATGATGAACCTTATTACCTTACATTCAAAGGAAAGTGGAATCGAGCCGAATATGAATTGATCGGGGATCATCATTGAATTTCCTTGTAAAAATGTTGCTTCTTCATAACTATCAAAAAGAATTTCCCAGAATGCCAAATAGTTTTGGCTTTCCACCAAAAAATTGTTTATTTGAAAGGGAAATAATCGTGTAAATTTTAATTCTGTTCTCACATATCAAGTATTTTAAAATAAAAGAAGAAGTTGCACGATTTTGAAAACACCGTAATCGTGCTGGTTCCTTTTTGCCAAATGTTCTAATTATGAAGAAGCAAAATTTAGCAACACTGTAATTAAGCTGGTTTCTTTTTACTAAATTCGATCCAAATATTCATTGCATAAGTTTAAAAAAAATCAGAAGGGTAGGAAAAACGGAAATTGTATTCCGGTTGATTATATCGAGAAAAATGGACTTTTCACTCAAGTCTATTACTTCAAAAACTTAACTTAACTCAAGGTACATACCCTCATAAAGTTTTAGTTGGAAACTCTCAAAAACAGAGATTCTTACAGACTTTGCCTGAAATAATGTAAATACCCAAAATTCTGTGAGAAAGTTTATTGAAAACACATTATAGAGAAAAGAAGAAGCATAACAAGAATATGACATAAACAGAACCGTTGGTTCCGAGTGGAGTTGTTAAAATTTTGTGGGTCTTGACCGTCCAGTGAATTTTGAGAGGTGCTCTCTGACTGGTTTTCCTTGTTTCCGCCGCCTCTCAATTTTTTCTAGAATCCATTCTTTGTTACTTTTTACATTCTTGCGATTTCCCTTCTTGAATTTTTCCCTGTGAACAAACATTCAAGGTCAATGGTAAATGTTTCCTTTAGTTCTTGACAACAGAACACACATGTGTCAGATTTCTTCAGGTACTCATGAACTACAATCAAAGAATCAATAGGTGCAGGAAAGACCTTTAACATTTGAAGCTTATAGAAACAGGAATTTTACTATATGAATGGATTGGATTTGAAGATGGAAGTGTAGTGGTCTGGTAGGTTTGACATATTTCTATGTACAAGCACTACCATAAATTATGAGGTACTCAAATCTTATACAAATAAATGAAATTGCTGCATATCGATGGCTAAAATCGGGAAATGCAAAACTCCCTTTGAATTTTAATTTTTTAGAAGACTGAAAGACAGTCTTCCTTGAATTTTTCTATGAATTTTCTTTACTCATTCAAATATATTCACAGAAAATTTTGAGGCGATGTTATGGTTAGTTCCCTCCTAAAAATAATCGAACAAATGCAAAAATTTTACTTGAGCACAAAATTCAAATTTCTGCTCAAAACTCAAAATTCTGCAATGAGATATGCATTTTTCGACTAAAGTCATCAATACAATTGAACCATTGGAGGAGAAGACGAAAAAATATTATTATACACGTAAATACCTCTTAGAAGTGAACTGGGCTTGTGTCTGCGGTAGACTTTCTTCCACACCTAGCGCTTTAGGCAGAGGTGCTGAACCACCAGTCATTAAGACTAGGAAGAATTTCTTTGCTTTTGTACTATTAGGATAGTCTATAACAATGCCTCCATAGAATCCTGCTTTCATTGCTTGAGCTGTGATCAGTTCTACTTGCTTAGAGTTTTCTGGATAAAATTGAAAAACTGCTCTTGCTGTTCGGCTCTAAAAAAGATTAATTCAAATTTAAATAAATCAACATAAACGCCTTTCACAACCACTATGAATCAAAGGAGGTCAGTAATTGTAAGAAGTACATTTTTATCATTAACTTTAATTCTTGTAAATTATATTATGTCTTTGATGAAATCAGAGTTAATTGGCTGAGAAGTTTTTATAAGACCAGTCTTTGGGGTACGTCAAAGGGAAGATAATAATTGCAGCTCCATGAGTCAGATATTTCAAGCAATCTTCACTTAGAGAGTAAAAATCAAGGCAGTTCCCAAGGAATAACATTGAGCATTTTTCTAATGGGAAAATAAATTAGGATGGAGGTCTGCAGCATTAGAAACTAAGGTTCACATTTTTGCAGTTTCACTGACAACATGTTGGAAACTATATGAAATAGATTGAATTGAATAGAAAAAAACAAAGAATAAAGGACAAATTACCAAGCAGGCAAAAAGTGAGCTGAAGAATTTATAGAGTCTTTTCTGAGGATTGTGATTGACTTTGTCCGCATTGCACAGCCATTGTAACGCACTAATGCTCACGGCTCCATCAAAAGCTCCGGCTCTGAAAGGAAGGCCATCGCCCAGGTCCCCTAAAATGAGGTCACCTTCTGTTTCCCTTTCTTGTGCGACGTCTATGAAGAGAACAAAAGAAAACCGTTGTTACTTCAGAAACAGTAAATGATAAAGCCACAGCTTTGGCCGTTTCAGAAGTCTACTGGTGATATGAGTTTGAGAAAATTAAAAAGAGAAAAACAAGTGCTTATGTCCATGGCAAGCAGTAAGCAGACAAGTTTTGAAGACTTCAGTTCGACATTTTTTTAATTAATTGCTACGTCAATATGAACTCGACCAGCAGGTCAAGTTTTGAAAGAGCCTGTTCATTACAAAAATGTATAACCAATGAAGAAAGAGAAAACAGAGCATGATTTTTGTTGAAGAAATCTCATTGCATGAAACCTTTCCCTTGAGAAGGATCCTGTACGAAAAGGAAGTTAAATTCTTTCTTAAACATGGAGAAAAAGGCAATTTTGGGGAGAAAGTATTTTAATTTTATGACATAAAAAGAAAAAACAATTAAAGGCCAAATTCAGTGGTTGATGGAGAAGTTCATGGCTGCCAATTTGACTGAGCCATATAATGGTAACTTCAAAGGGACAGGGTACTTTAAAACAACACTTGCCAGAGGTGCTGAGCAAAAACACAATTATTTATGCAACTATAAGTACATCTCCTGACTACATGATGCCGAAGAAAGTCACTATTATCACTTCAGTTGACAATTGAACTAAGACAAGCATATTTTCTCTCTGAATCGATACTTGTGCCGCATACTGATTTTTATCAAAGTTTACACGGTGGTCCAAAAATCTTGGACCACCCCTGTAACTTTGGTACAAATTGAGATAGAGACTTGAAATTCTCTGAATGCTCCTAGGCCGAGGGAAACGACTATGTAAACCCCCTAAATTTTGGAAGGATCTTCCTGAAAAGAGGCGAGAATACGTAGGTTGATAGGGCAGTGCAGGACTTTCGGATTACACTGTCCTTTTCTTGAGAGATATAACTGTTGACTAAAAAACTCACCAAGCATAGCTCGAGAGATGTCAACACCAACCCAATAGTGACCATTTTCTTCTAAAACACTTCCACTTAAGCCAGATCCACAACCAAGGTCCAAGAGAAAACATGGCTCATCCTCCGGTAAGAGCATCAATTCCATTGCTCGCTCACACATTTGGGTTTGAATCTCGATCATTCTGGAACTGTAAACAAAAATATTTTTTTTATACACATTGAGCGGTAAGAATTTCTCAAAGAATAAGAAAAGTGTTGATGAGAGATATATGGCTCTCCTTTCTTTTCTCAAAAATAATGATAGAAAAAATAAAGTATTACCATCAGGGAAGTTGAATTTCAAACTTTTGACGGCTTGTGTTTTGATACATGACTTTGCACAGATTAGCTGCTTGAGAATTTTAATCTTCATCTGCAGTCTTGACGGAATTCTTGCTACCTTACCTAAGATAACCGATGATGTTATAACTTTCTGTTTTGTTTTTCCTAGCAGCTCTTGCAGATGTAAAAAAATCGAAGTCCTATGGCTTGAGAGATAACATTACTAGCTTATTGGAGATTTAAAATATACCAACATTAATAAACTGATTTTTCTTATTCATAGTGTGAAATTGATGAATTATTTTTAAAACACCGTAATATTGATACATATTTTTTAACTCTCACGAATGTTAAGATTTACAATCGTCATAATACTTACCTACCCATGGGTAGATTGCAATTTTAAAAAATTTAAGAGAAAAACTCATACTCACTTTCCGGTGTATTTCTGAGCCTCTTTTTCATCGTAAAACTGAAATAAAAGTTAACAAATAAATCAGATTATGACATGAAATGATATGGATACGTCATCAATTTGCTCAAGTCAATTCTTTAAAAAAGATGTTGACTTGAACATTGACAGACAGATGGCAACTTGCTGCTATACAAGGTGATCCAAAAGTCCCGTATCACCAGCACTCGGCTTGACCCTTGTAAATTTGAACAAATTGAGATAGAGACTTGAGATTTATTGAGTGCTCCGAGGTCAAGGGAAACGCATTTTGGGAGCACCCAAAATTTTGACAGGACCATTTTAAAAAGGGCAAGAACCAAAGGGGTCATGAGGGTGATGCTGGACTTCTGAATCACCCTACATAATACATTTTGTGTGGAACAAGTAACAATGAGGAGTCATGGTTTTGGAAAATGAATCAGGTTTTTCAATATTGCAAGATGAAATCATGGATTATCTAATACAAACAGCGAAAGTTCATATTTGCTGAGGTTTGTTATAACAATCTATAAGGCTAGTATTCATAATTCTTGTGGCTATCAACAGGCAACAGGCAGGGGTTACTTTCTGATAGGCGCTCTTTCTTGAGTTTTTTTAAATATGACCTAGGAAAGAGCCCTTTGAGAGTGCGAAGCATCCTTAGGGAGTCAGGCAACATGGCAGTCAAGAAGCATAAGCCCTGCTTTACTCTTATTAATGTTGGGTGTAAAATTATCATTCCTTCATAGCAGCGATTCGGAACAAGCAGGAGCACCATCATAACGATACAGGAGGTTCCCTTCACATATTAGTATCATGGAGGAGAAGCTCGCATAGTGCAGCATGTTGGTGTAATTATGGAACCAGTGCATGGAATATGTGAGGCTTGCCTGATACAGACAGTTACCATGTTTGAAAATTTACCAAAAAATCTGGCTGAACTGCGTTTGAAATTCTGCCAAAATGTCCTACTACAATGAACAGAAGAAATTAGAAGAATATCAATAAAACTCACTAAATCAGGCGGTGCTTTGTGTTCAGGTCTTGTTCTTGAAAACATGACTCGAATAGGGAAACAGAATCAACTGAACTTGTGGGTGTTTTTGAAGATAATTAAGATTTTCAATTTTATTCTCACAAATTCCACAGGAGGAGTACACATGGGCTAACCTATAAACGATAACAGGAAGCTGCTAGTGACGTCACTAATGTAAACAAAAAGTGAAGAGTGCTGCGCTCTTACATGACCTGGTGGAACCTACATGACAAGAGAATAAATTACGTCATCAAGTCAATGCTGATGGATGCTGATTACTGAGCTCCGCTGGCTGGCTCCGCTCTGTGATGTGAAATGCTCTTCACTTTTTTAGCCAGTTCGCCGTCGCGATTGCATATGTATTTATTATAATGGTTGTGGAACTTAAATATGTAGTTCTGTGTAATCCCAGTATAGTCGTGAAAATTTAAAGATATCTACCCTTTACCCATCCACAGTGTAGTGATACTTTTACGAATTTTACAGTGGCAAACGCATCAAAATTGCTAGTGAATTCTACACTTTCCATCCGGATTGAAGGTACTTGGTTGAATCTTAACCTTCCTGCCTTCTTTGCTGATACTGATAAAGCTGTTAATCTCTTCCTGTTTGTGTAATTGCTCTTATTTCCTATACTTTTTAAGGAAGCAAAAGAGTTTCCTCAAAGGACTCGGGCTCTTTTGTTCTGCTCCAGTAACTTCTCCTCTCATTTGATATTCAGTCTGTCAATGAAGAGTTTAGAAAGCTTGTGAAATCAACACTTAACACATTTTCATAAGCCCTCAATTAGATGACCATGGAGATTAGAACTGTAATTCCTGCTGTTTACCAATTCTCTGCAATGTAGTTTCTCTTTGTCATGACAATGGGCTCTATTGTGCAGTGGAAGAGTCTTGCTGAAATTATGATATTGCGGAGCATTAGACGCAAGTGAGGTCATGATTATTTATCTGCATTATTTCCAGTAATGGATTTTAATCTAGTCGCAGACTTTCAGTACCAAATTTATTTTCAATAGCCACTATGGTTTCCAAAGGAAGATGTACCTCTATAAATAACTAATGAAGCGGAGTCTTTAGTAAACATTTACTTGGCGAATCAAAGACTGTCAGCAAATGATAATTTCAGCTAAAATACTGCAGGTTATTGAATTTAGCCTGCGTTGACGAAGGCACAATTTCATTTTCTCCTATCAGTCTGGGAACTCAGCAGTACTATTGACACAGTTTCAGCTCTTTAACCGCTTCACTGTAGGATGAAAGTTAGTTTTACACTGATCCAACTCTAAATTTATTTAAACTAACATACTAGTTTTGCCTTTACTCAGAGATTAGACTCAATGTAAAGTGCAATAGCTACTTGCTCTTACTAGCTAATCAAGCTAAGTGTTCTCTTTTTACAATACTCCACTCGAGAAGAAATGAAAGTTATTCTAGAATTTGCACTTAAGCACCTAAAGTTTTTAAAGCTTCTAAGGAGGATATTGTCTACAGAATTCGTGTTAATTTTTAATTTATAAGAATTTCTTGAACTTTTACGTTCGAATTAGGGTGTATAGTTTTTGTTCTGTCGTGTGGACTCCAAGAACTCATGATTTTGCAACTCTTCGTCACGTGAACAGATATCTCTAAGTAATCTTCGATATTTGACTAAATTTTTTTTTCAAGTTTTCCTATGGAACTCTTTGCCAGCATCCATATGCATTCTCCACAAATCTCTCGTCAAACTTTTACCATTTAACACTTGCTCTCAGCAAGTAGCTTGGAATAGTATGTGCTAATTTTGACTTTAGTTTTCGGGAGGGGGGGGGGGGCTCCAAAAACTATCATTGTACCATCATAAACTTGCATTTTTCATAATATTCTTCATAACATTTCTGACAAAATGAATTCTCTTCTCATGCAACTAATGTCAGTTTTTCACAAGCTTGATGATTACTAATCCCTTTACTTGACTAGTTAAGAAGATTGTGTATTGAATCCTCTCAAGTGCTCAGGTTAACATTTTCCATGCTGAATACCTATCTATCTTTGGATTATTCCTACCCTTTTTTTAAAACAGAACTTTGAAATTATGGAAGAATGTTTCTCTCTTCTTTTTTTCTTTTTTTTTTGCTAAAAAGAAAAAGGAATTTGGGTATTAATGGTTTTGGCATTCTCTCTTCTGTTTTGAGTCAAGAAGGTAATTATTACTTTTAAGTATCAAAGTTGTGCTGAACTAAGCCGGAACGGTCAATGAAGAGTTTGTTATAGAATGGCTTAATTTTGGGGTCCCTCTACATATTCCTGAACTTTTGTATAAATATCTAGATTAATGATCATTCCTGTTTCGCCTTGTTTAAATGTAGTTCCATATTGCATGAACACATCCAATTGGCACTTGAATTCTTTTGAGTCTAAAGAAATGTATTATCTGTACAGTTGAGGAAGTATAGCCAGTGAATATTTTGCTCTGTTATTTTGCCTTCAGGCCTTCCTTCATACGCATTTTAAAATGAAGAGCTCTTAATCGCTTTATCAGTTGCCTACTTGTGGTTTCAAGCACTTCATTTTATCTTCTTTGTCAGACAAGATAATTCCTGAAAGCCATGAAAGTTCCCACACATTGATACTTGTTAATTCCTCCTGCCAATCAATCCAATTTCCCTCCTAGAAACAACGGCGATCCCCCTTTTGTTTTTAATTAACAATTAGTCGGATCTGAATTCCTCGATCCTCGATGTCATCCTTTAATACTTTGTTTTTTTGTGACTCCTCGCGGCAACGAGCCAACTCTGCTACAATGACACCCCCTGTGTTTGTAAGGTTTAAGCATATAATTAGTTGTGTATCAGTTTATTGAAGCTTGTATTTTTTTCACAGAGACAGTGGAAATAACAAAAGTATACGGTCAATTTTGATTAGTCTTGAAGGCCCAGCAAGGAGATTTGCAAAATGTTATTCATGATCCCCCAGTTTTATAACTATCAAACAATTTTCATGTATGCCTACAAGCACAAAAATTACTCAAAAACTCTTTGAAGTGCATACTTAATATTAAAGTAAAATAAAATTTTCAGTGCAAATACAGGTCCTACTGTCAGTTCCATTTTTTCCATGATGAGATTTCTGTTATCATCTGAAGTTTTTCCCACATACTTAATGAAGAGCTCTCTCACAATAGAAAGAAAACGAGGAACTAAGTTCGGACTTCATTCCCCTGTTTCTATTCTTCTTGCTGGATAGTTTACACTTCCTGGTGTTATTAAAAATTGTTGACTTTAACTTTGTTATTTTCTGCATCTGTTTTCCTGCTATTGTTTCAGATGTTGATGTCAATTCACTGCTTATTCTATATGTTAAAATCATGAATATTTCATGGATAATTGATCTTAAGTACTCTAGGGCTATTTTTTTGTGGCTGTTTTTTTTTTCTCTTTTAACAGAGCAGCACTCTAATTTTCATCTCAGCTCTTGCAGCTAATATGAGTATCCACCATCACTTTTTCGTTTTTTTCCTCTTCAATTTACTGATATTTTGCCTTTCTTTTCTTTTTAGATGAAGAAACAGAGAGAAGACATACAAGTTAATGTTGCTGGTCTTAGGCGAAACTTAAAGAATCTTGCTCACAATTATTCTGATGCTCAGGTAACAGTCTCTCTTGATGTCAACAAGATTTATTCCCTCTAGTAACCTCAAAGGTTGGATTTTGAGTGAATAAAATTCAATTGTAAATATTGTTAAAATAATTTTCATAAATTTAAACAAAAAAATTAAGTGACAATGAAAGGTAAAATATTGGGGGGGGGGGGTTAAGGGGGGGGGGGGGGTTAAGGGGTGTAATTTTTTAGGGAGAGTACTTGAACGTGCATGATAGGGGGAGGGAGGGGTTGAAAACCTAATTTTTAGCATGACTTAATATATAAAGTTTGATTAAAAAATAAAGTCAATGAAAGGTTTTAACTATCCTCTGTGAAATTAGTAAAGACCAAAGACACAGTAAGTAAGTACTCGGTAAGTAATTTCACAAAGGAAAGGTTTTGATATTGGTGTGAGCTGTAGTAAACAAAACAATTACCCTGAAGATTATTGTTTTTATAAACATAAACATCTCTCCTTTGACGTACGTATGTTTTAAAGCAAACAGTGCGAACTGTCAGTTGGAGCTCCCTAAATCGCTTTTGAGAAGAGGTTTCCTGAATAAATGCTAATTTTTGGAAATTGTATTGAAACTTTGTATGTTTGCAGATCAAAGTGCGCGAAGCAACAAGCAATGATCCGTGGGGACCAGACAGCAAATTATGTTCGGAAATTGCTGACCTGACATACAATGTAGTTGCATTCACAGAAATAATGGCCATGGTGTGGAAAAGATTGAACGACCATGGGAAAAACTGGCGACATGTTTATAAAGCACTTGTCCTCTTAGATTATCTCATCAAAACAGGCACTGAAAAAGTGAGTTATCGTCTTGAATAACCAAGAATTATTGACTTTCAGTTCCATGATAAATTTGTATTGCTGCTGTAAGGAATGAAAATCAATCACAAAGTTTTGATTCTTCTCATGTCAGGTTTATCTTCGTCCAGAAAAACTAAAAGAGATTTATTCCTTCTGCAATTTCAGATACTTTTTGAGAAATATATATACTAACGGAGACTGCGAGGAAGCAAGTCCTAGAAGCTTGAAGTATCTTGCATTTTGTGTTTTCTCTCAAACGAGCTTTATTTTGTCTTTATTTTTTACTAATTATCTGTTAAATAGTTAATTGACAGTAATTAATGAAAAACTAAAAGAGATTTATTCCTTCTGCAATTTCAGATACTTTTTGAGAAATATATATACTAACGGAGACTGCGAGGAAGCAAGTCCTAGAAGCTTGAAGTATCTTGCATTTTGTGTTTTCTCTCAAACGAGCTTTATTTTGTCTTTATTTTTACTAATTATCTGTTAAATAGTTAATTGACAGTAATTAATGTAAGAAGTATGTCCCATTTGAATCAATGTAAAATCGGTTTAACTTCTGGTGCATTTCTCTTATAAACTTTAAGACCAACAAGCTTAAAATTTTGCAAGCATGCAACTATGACTGTTGGCTACAACTGGAACCAGAGATATAAAAATCTGTTTGTGTAAAAGTTCATTTTTGAAAGTTTTAAGTTTGACAAATTATTTTGCAGTTTTTCTCAGCTATATTTTGTCATGGAATAAAAAGTTATGTGGCAAAACTTATAACTGTAGTTTCACTCATAGCCGTGATCTCAAGGAAAATGTTAATGATAGATTTATGAAGATAGCATGTTTAGTTTCCAAAAAACATGCATCAGAAAGTGGAAAACACTTTTGGAAAACATGGAAAAGAAAAAAAAAGACTCTTACCTAGATTGACTCAGAGGAATGCTTTTTATTCTTGGAAAATTGTAATTAATAGAGTGATTTTCTAAAGTGCACAACGGTAGATATTGTTTTGAAGCTTCGAAGTATCCTCTATAATAGCAGATAGAAAAAGAGAAAAGTTAAATTGTTTTTATTTCGAGCATTGCTCTTACCTGATGTTTATTTGTTTCCTGTTATCACAACCTACATGTTTTTGAAGTTTCAGGAAAAGGTTAGCCACCTCACTTGTAAATTTCTCTTGTTGTTTGTTTTTAAGGTGTTTTCTAATCAAAATGTCTGTGCTTCAGGTTGCTCAACAGTGTAAAGAAAATATTTATGCCATTCAAACGTTAAGGGACTTCCAGTATATGGAAGAAAACAACAAAGATAGAGGACAAAGTGTTCGTGAAAAAGCAAAACATCTTGTTATCCTTTTACAAGATGAAGAGAAGCTGAAGAGTGAAAGAATGCGTGCTATGAAAGCAAAGGAACGACTTGCCCAAAATGCAACAGGTTTTGGAAGCGATGGAAGTTCTGTGAGTAGCACAAGTTTTACTTCTGATCTCAATTCTCAAGAATTTGATCATTTCTTGTGAAGAAACATCTTGGTTCTAATGAATCAGAGTTTACAATTTATTTCGAAGTTGAAGATAGTCGACGATTTTTATCTTGCAAGAAATATTAAAATTTAATAGTAAAAGTACACAGAACTATTTAGTTCTGTGTATTTTTTAAGAGAAGTGTTGAAAAAGTTGGGAAGAGATAAATTTCGGTTTTGTTTCTGTTCGACTACAAAAGAAAGCGGTTTTCATCATTCTTTTCCTTTCTCTTTTCAATGGTGGATTAAATATAAGGAAAATATTTAATAACCATTAGTTAGAGAGAAGTAGAGATTGAAGAATGTATATAATAACCATTAGTAGTTTAAGGAAGATATTTTATAACCATTAGTAAGAGAGAAGTAGAGATAGACGAATATATTCAATAACATTTAAGTGCTGCACTAATAAAACAGCACTTAAATATATTTAAATTAATAAATATAAGGGAGATATTTAATAACCATCAGTAAGAGAGAAGTAGATAGAAGAATATATTCAATAATATTTAAGTTGGTAACTCAAAACATCTCTTGACTTTTTTTATTGTATTATTCTATTTTATTTTTAAAGAAAAATTCCATTTTTTCAATCAATGAAGTAGATTTGTCGTTTTTTGAATGGACTGAATAAGAGTTGAAATTTTGAGGTACATGTTTCGAAGTTTAACCATCCATACTTGTTAATATAATGTTCACTTTACCTAATTTTTTATTTGTCTCCTTGCATTAATGTCTACTGATGGATCCGCAGCAATTTTTTGCAAGCTGAAAGTATATTTGAGTTTAAGAATTTTATTCAGTCAGCAATGGCTTAAAACTGTACAGAAATTCATAGAAGTTGAAGTTCCAAATCAGCTTAACGGTGGTAGTATTTCTTTGTAATTAAAAGATGGGACGCACCCTTTCATTTTGCTTGTCGCTGCTTCAATACTTTTGGTGTGTTGTTTGCTTCTTATGCCAATTTGTCTTCATTTATGTTTCTGTTTTGTCCCTCAATATCTCAGGATGCTGTCTCGCCTTCCAGTCCCAGAGTTTTATCGGTGAGTGTCTAATCCTCTTTTTCCCCTATCTCTGCGGACTGATTATTGTAATTGATAGACAAAGTTATGGGCAAAGAAGAAAAAGGAAAGTGGAGCATTCCTATCGGTCAAAACAGGTAGCTGTTGTAGCCTAAGGGGGAAAATGATGGATTAACCATGAGGACCTCATGGGTTGTTGTTCGTTAGTCAACCATACAACAACCTTCAACATACCTTCTTTGTCCATTGTAACCGCTTTCACCCTTAGGATCGCTCCATATTTTCTTCTTCATCCATTAATTTCAATAATCAGCTTGCTGCTGCCTCTCCTTCTAACGTTGTACGAAATGGTCAAAGAAAAATCAATTCATATTTTAACCAGCAATATCGAGCAAAATTGAACAACTAAATATTCCCTAGGCTCCTCAATATCATTAACTTCTTAGTAAAAAGGAAAAAAACCCACAAAGTAAAAAAAAAGTGTAAAAATATCATAGAAAAAAGGGGATTGCAACGCTGAACACCAACCCATGGACATCATGTTGTGCTCGCTCCTATTGTTCTAACATAGAAAGTGTGTTTTTCTGAACTGTTCTGATCGCACTGTACATCAGAAGATGCCTCTTCAATCAGAGAACCCCTTAGTGCTTGTTTTAAACGAACTCTACTGTCCCTATGGACGTAAAATGTTAAGAAGTGAAGTGGTCTAGTGCTGGGATAGCGTTGTGTAACTGTCAAAGTTGCCGATTCTACCCAGTCACTGGCCAATTTTCGCTTTGAGTGCAAATGCGCACAGGGAGGGAGAACTGACAACTCTGTATTCAAGTTCTTATTGTCAAGATCTGATGAGCTGAGTGAATGAACAGTGAACACCCTAATCACTCCGATCGCACAGTAATAACTATTAGGTGTTCCAAAAGCATAGAAAAAAGAAAAATGTTTAGGTACTCAAAAAATTTGAAAGTGGACAAGCGACTTATTGGTGTCAGATAAATGCTTTTATCACTGAATTGTTAAAGAGTGAAAATCGTTGATTTGGGCCAGAATTATTTTCCTTCAATTTTGAATGCAAAAGAATGCTAAATAATATGCTAAATATATGTATTATGTATTCCCCGATTTTATGAAAAAATACAGCCACTTTTGTAGTATTTACGTGTAAAATTGCCCAAAGATCACATTAAGAACAGGACATGTATTCGCCTATTTATGCGAATAGATTAATTTATTGGAGTATAATATGACAGTCATTTGTGCCTAAAGAAAGCTTGCATATATTTAACTCTTTTTTAAAAAGATATTTTTCCTTTCTCATCAAAACTTATTCTTCAAAATGCGAAGCATGTCTTTGATAATTTTCATCTATTCTATGCATTGTGTTGTTGTTCATTTGTCTAAAGTCTGCACATTTTTCTCACATTTCAAGCACCTATTATTATTCTTTCTGTCTTCACCACCCGAGATCATTGCCTGCCATCACGTCAACTTTGTCTTGATCTTTAATACCTGAATAGCTAAGTCGAGCCAAGATGTACATGAGGCCTTTGCCTCTTTCATAGTCAACCAGCGATTATTCCTGTCCATTTCATATTTTTGAGTGGATGTTTTTGTAATCATCATGCTATTCCTTTAAAACTAATTCAAATTCATATTTATATTTAGGTATTTATTTATTTTTATTTTTCTTTGATACATTAGTTAGTTTTTTTTAATGTAATTCTTATTCTTTTTTTTCTTCTAAACCTGTAGGTACATGCCTGGAATACTTGTGAAGCGGAGTCTCCTAAGAGTAAGTCATACTTTCTTTGAAACTTCTTCTTTTTTAAATTCTTTATCATTGAGTTGCACGAATTTTTTTCTCATATAGTACCTTTTTTTTCTCCTTCATATTGAAAGAAAAGTCAATAACTGATATATATTTAGGAGTGTTAAAACAAATTCTCGCCAGTAAGCTTTCTGTGAACTTAGTTCCAAAATCATTAAACACTCAAAATTGTCTGTAATGGTCCTTCCTATCTGAATTGCCTAAAAACTTGGAACTCTGAGTCATAGTACATTGTATTGTTTGTCTGTCCATCGGGTTGCTTGTCATGCAAAATTGTTGTGCATGGCAACAGCTCATTTTTGTGAGCTCTGAAAACTTGGCTAGCTATCGAAAAGGGTCTTCTCATTGTTACTATTTGTTAATGGAACCATTTTGATAACTTGCTGAAAACTAAGTATTAGGACTCTCCTCTATACTCATGGACCATTCTTGATGAATGTCAATAAGCTATCTCATGTGTCCTGAATCTAAGATATCGAAGAGTGTCTCGGTGTAAAGTAAATTTTCCAGTTCTCTAAACAGTTTTTCTACGTATAATGCTATGCTTCGATTCTCACCATTTCTAATGATCCATTAGACTTTTAAATAGAGAGTGAGAAATGTAGGTAAACTATTCCACACTAAGCTATCAGGAGCTGTTCATAAAATACCAAACGCTAAATTTCGGATTTTTCGACCCCCTCCACCCCTCTTGTGAAGCACCTTTCCCATTTTTTAAAGCAGAAAAGCAGAGTGGCTTAATACTCTTCTTGACCCTACTTCCCCCCCCCCTTCCAAGTGTTACGCATTTTATGAACGGCCCTTCAGAGAAGGGATTGTTGTCACATTATTTCTGTCTATGCAGGATTTTGTCAACAGAGGAGAAAGTTCTAAAATTTGATTGTTTTTTAGATGACCTGGAATGCGCCCGACCTCAGACAGTGGGTGAAGAAGAGCTGCAATTGCAGTTGGCAATCGCAATGTCGCGAGAAGAGGCGGAGCAAGAGGAGCAAAAAAAGCGTAGTGATGATGTTAGGTTACAGTTAGCGCTTTCACAGAGTGAAAATGAATTCAAGTAAGCCATCATGCAACATTATCAAACTCCAAGGGTGCTTTAATCAACTGATCTAGCAACCGCACAAATTTTGCAATTTTTCATGTAGAGCCCGTTTCAGATAATTTTGCCTTTTTTGCTGTTTTTGTGGGATAGGGATTTCCCTATTCTATGCATACAGCAAAAAGGGCGAAGTTATTTGAAATTAGCTCTATCAATGTTCACAGAGAAAATATCTGCAATCTCAAATTTTACATACATAGTATGCAAGATGTTGATTTGTTGCAAGTTTTTCATGAATAAATCATTGATCAATGCATGGCTCATCAAATACTAGAAATTTCATTGCAAGAAACACTTGGACACATTTGACCACCGTAGTATACTTATGATGAGGTTTCGTCTCTGTTGATATTAGAATCACTAAACAGCAATTGTATGTCAAATTATGTAAATCAGCAATCATAATTCATAATTCAGTAATCATAAGTCGTAGTTACATAAATCAAATATGTTCCTGAACTTGATATGAGGGTCATCCCGAAAAGCTTGTGCATTTTTTTTTATTCGAAAACTACTAAAGGAAGAAAAAATTCAATTATATTTGTTGATCATATTATAAACTTCTAGTAACTTTAATTTAAGTCCAAGTTTTCTAAATTTTAAAGACAGAACACTCTTATTTTTGCACCACTGTTGGTGCATTTTCTATCACCGTTAGGTGCAAAATTACCTTCATGAAGAAAATTTCAAAACCAATAAGACCTCCTTTTTGAAAGATAATATTAATCAGCCGGATACGCATGCACTTTCTTAATCTGAAAACCATGTTTCAACGCAGCAACCATTGAAATTCTTGCGTCTTGTAAATTTAAAAAATGGTTTACCAGCTTCCCCATTCTCAATTTTGAAATTTTTTACAAGAGCAAAGGTGTAGATTGTATACAAGAAAATACGTATAATTATAACAAGCGTGTACCTACAATTGAGTTGTTGGGTGCAGGAAGGGTAGTTCATGGTCACTGTGTTTCAGAATCTTCACTACTAATTAATATTTTAGAGAGAAAATTATTAGGTGAATTTTCTGAAAATTTTCGTTTTCAGCATTGTAAAATCATAAGGAAAATTCGGTAAAAAATTCACACATCCTGTCTGGTAAAAAATTCAACGAATTTCATACATTTGCCTTAATTATAAAGGCATGAAATGTTAGCAAAGATTCTGAGACACCGCAACCAAGATATGCCCTTTTTGCACCCAATGCTTCAATTACTGTAATCGTAATAAGCTGAATGGACCGCGTTAAGCAGAAAAGAACCAAATTTTTTTTGAAATTTTCAAAAGAATCCGCACAAACGCTCTCTTGTAAAAAAATTCAATTGCCCACTTAAATTCGGCAGTAGCTGATGTGGCTTGGTTCCTTTCTGCTGAACGTAGTCCAAATGAGAACTGTTATCCGAACTTTAATGGGCCTGTTGCAAACTTTTGCTAGAGCAAAAATAAGAGTTGTTTCTTATAGATAATGCCTCAAAAATCACGATGAGCGCATCGGCAAAGTCTGAAATGCACTCATAACTTCACAATCTGGGTAAGAAATTTGCGTTCTTTTGATCTTCCCGCTTCAGAAACAATACTACGGCATAGGTGAACATTTTGTTAGAGGAGTCGTTCCATCGTCGGCAATACTCATCATGGCCGACGACAATCCGCCAAAACACCTATGATGAGACGAGATAACACCTGAACAGGATTAGACCAGATAACAATCGGCGTGTTTACGTTCATATTTTCCTCACCCGCCTTGATTGACCTTGAACTCTCCTCGAATCACGCGCGGAACTGCGCAAGCGTCGGCCATAATGAATATTGCCGACGATGGAGCGACTCTTCTAACAAAATGTTCACCTATGCCGTAGTATCGTTTTTGAAGCGGGAAGCTCAAAAAAACGCAAATTTCTTACGCAGATTGTGAAGTTATGAGTGCATTTCAGAGTTTTCCGATGCGCTCATCGTGATTTTTGAGGCATTATCTATAGGAAACAACTCTTATTTTTGCTCTAGCAAAAGTTTGCAACAGGCCCATTCTCCAGGATTGCAGCCCAAATTTTTGTTGCTTGAATTCTCAATACATTGTATGCCTCTCTCTTTTCCAGACAAATCCAGAAACCAAGTCAATCAAGTCACATGCTTGATCTATTAGATGTTGCAATAGATTCTGTAAATAATGCTAATGCTTCGAATGTTGATCCATGGGGAATGACAAAACCAACAGCATCTCTAGGAAACCTTCCAAAGTCCCAGGTAATCTTCATTAGAACCCTTGAAAAATTTAAATCTCGACGACCGAAGTGCGAAACCACATATTTACATTTGCAGTGTTTCGAGATTGCTGCTGTTATTCTACTATTTTGAGGAGAAACAAGCCAGCTTCATAGCTTGAAATTTATATAAAATAATCTGCAAATAGAGAAGTAAAATCAAGGGAGTTTCCAAGAAATTGCGTTGACTAGCTTTCCAAAGAAAAAATGAAGTCAGTGATGCAGGAAGTCTGCAACGGAAGGTATATAGTTTTGCACTTTGTCCATCGATCTGTGTTTTAAGAGAGTGAACTTTGTGACAGTCAACAATCGTATTCTTCAAAAGTTTCTTTTATGTCTACGTATAGGGTGATCCTGAAATACCGCACCACCCTCGAAACCTTTCGGGTTCTTGCCCCTTTTCAAGGTGGTCCCTGTAAAATTCTGGGTGTTCTTAAATATCGTCTCCTTTGACCTAAGAGAACTTGCAAAATTTCAAATCTATACAAATTTGTTGAAAAGTTACAAGGGTGGGACTTTTGGATCATGCTGTAGATTTAGGGGTATCACACCATTGAGAAATGTAAAAACATTGTCAGGTAGTGAAATTCCAATACATGAATTATTTTTCGAAAAACTATTTGCAAGATTTATAAAATCTTGATAAGGTCAAAAAGAGCGTTTGAGCACTTCAAGCCATCATACACTGTAAATTTTTTTAGATTTCGTGAATGCAGCAAAATGTATGAAGTGTTCAACATTATTCTGTCCAAATTTGATTTCGATAGTTGACAGTATTGTTGAAAAATTGACTTAATTTTACTCTCTAAACAAACTTCATAAAAATATCATGAATATTTGCGCTACTCTAATGGGTCAAACGCTGCACTAGTACTTATTCAAGCTGAATCTTAGAGATTAGAAAATCCTTCATCTGAACTCTGCATCAGCCCTTGTCCAGTTGCGTTGAGTCAATAGCATTGTAGTCTTGAAATAGTAATTGAGACAGTACAGAAACAGATATTTTCTTGACTAGGGATGCCTCTCTCTAAAAAGAAAAGCCCTCTAGTTATCCTAGTGTTCCAGCTTTTTAATCAACCAGTTTACCGCAATATTCATGCTTTAATTTACTTTTTTCATGTCTTTTTAAAAAATATTTTATGCGTAGTAATAATGTTTTTACTCGGTTTCAGAATGATTCTTGGAGCTCACCTGGCGCAGGAGCTCCTGCACAAGATCCATGGGCTCCTGTCTCTGCACAGTCTGTCCAAAAACCTGGTAAGACGCATTTATCTTGGATAAAACTTTCAAGTTTATTGCCAAAGTGTGAAACCTCGAAGAATCTTTATTATGATGTTTAAAGTTTCCACTCCGATTTTTTTTTTTTTGAAGAGAAACAAGCCAACCTTATACCTTCAAATTTTTACAGAATATTCTGCCAGCAGAGAAGAAAATTCACGGAAGTTTTTAAGAAAGTACGGTCTTTAGTCTCCCTAAGAAAAAGTAAAGTATATCAGGAAGTCTGCAATGTGGACGCGATTTCATCAAAATGCTACAAGGAGGCTTTATTGGGATGACAATCCCTTTCGACAAGTTTCAATGTTGATTAACTTGTTAATAACTTCAATGAATGGATTGAAAAAACTGATTTTCTCCCTCTTGAGACTGGCTCTGTTCAACTTTCCTGTCAACATGCTTTTGTGTATAATGTGCTCATCAGGTCAGAAAATCATGCCAAAAAATGTAGTGACTGCATGTGACAGTTGTAAGTGATGGTCATAAACTAAAATTAATGGAGATTGTAACGATGCTGCCGGTTCCTCTTGGGTGCATCAAGAAAACGCATTTCATAATGAGGTCTGTGGTAGATTTGCAGATAAAGTTTCGTCTATTGCACAGCATAAAACCTGCCATCATAAAGACTAGTTACCTTACTATGACCTTTTTTCATAGTCTAAGCAACATAGAGCGGTCATTATGATTAGTTTGGCACAAACACATGTCAATGAATCTCCAAAAATGTTAGGTTCTCATGTTCTCTTTTCTTCTCGGTTACAGATCCATGGAGTCCAACACTTCCACAATCAGCAAGTCGTCCGGTAGCAGCTTCTGACCCCTGGGCTGCTCCGTCTCTTTCCTCCCTTAGTCCTACAGATAATGACAGTACAATCGATGAATTTGCTGCAATTAGTAAAAGAAACGTCCACAACAATTGTAACAATATCAATAACAGTAGTAATAGTAATAGCAACGGTAACAACAACAACAATCTTATCCAGTCAGGTTAGTTCAGATTGCAATTTTTGTTCCTGTATGGGAAATCAGCAGTCAATTTTTTTTACAAACAAATTTTTTCAGTTTTTTTTTCCAATCGAATTTTACGTATCCTCAACTGTGATTCAAGATGAAGTTTTTTAAAGCCTGACCATTATGAAATAAGTTATGCAACGCTTTGTGATGCACAAAGTAATGCAATTTTCTAAGGCTCAAAACCTCTGGCAGGTTATTTGACCCTAAGGTATACTTTCCTCAGTATGTAACGGATGGATTTTCAAAATCATTTTTCAGTCTTTCTTCAATTATAGACGAGAGAATGTGTTCAAAGGCCTCATTTGATATTCTTTCTATCGTTTTAAAATTTTACAAAACGTTCAATTTTCAGAATTTTTAGAAAAATGAATCTTTCATTAAGGAAAATTTAGTTTGGTTCAAATTCTCACAGCACTCTTCCATAACACAACAGAATACTAGAGGTGAAGGAGCTTTCTCGTCTTGAGAAATTTTAGCATTTCAATGTTCGTCTTTCTAAAGTTTACTATTTATTTCCTTTTTTCAAGCTTTACTTCAAAGTGAATCAGAAATTTTGGTTTCAGGGCAAGGAAGAAATGAAAAGCAATTTGCCATCTCAACTTTTTATCCTTGAAAATTCGTCAATTCAATAAAAAAGAATTCATAAATCTGAGAAGACACAGGGACTCGAGGTTTGAATTGCTCAGTCAACCGTTCTTCTGAATATTGTTCCTTTGTTTTTTACAGACCCATTTGATTTAAATGGCTTGTCCGATGACCTCCTTTCAGTCTCACCTAATCAGCAACAGCCAGCAAGAAAAACGCCCCACAGTTTCCTCGGAGAAAATTCAGCTTTGGTAAATTTAGATAATTTAGTGTCACCGGCACCTCCACCAATTCCAGCTTTGCCAGTTCAAAGTCGGACTGCAAGTAAGTAGTTTTTCCCTCTGTTTGTGGGTATAACTGATACAAAGCTAATTTCTTTTCCTTCTTTTTAAATCTTTTTTTAGCAAACCCTTTCTGGTTTAATAATGCCTTGTCTCCACGGGACGCTTCACTGGATTTTTCCCGAGTTTGAATTGCAGGAATGAAACTTCTGGGCTTTTTTCCTGTTGAACAACACAACAAAATTTCTTCTTCCTCTTTTTTAGTTGTTCCTGGGACTCTACAATGAGTGTTCGTCGGCACTGTGATTAGTATTGACTAACTCAATATTTTTCCCAACCTCAAGTGAGATTTTCCCCTGGGACAAATCCCATGAAACGTCCCATGGAGACAAGGCCTAATGGTGTACTAATAATTGCCATATGATCCGCTGACTAATGAATTTAAAATGAGACTAAAGGTCACCGTTCTTAAAATTTGTCATCCTTAAATTATTGAACACTGTTTTCTCTAAAGCTGTCTTCATTATGATCGAGAAGTCAGAGGTTATTAATAGATGTAAATATCTCGTAGAGGTAATTGTAAGAGTCCCCTTTCTTATACCTCCATCTTATCCATTCACTCATAAATGTTCAAACCGAAAACATTTTAGACCATGCTATCATTGATGATGAATTTATGTGTGTACACTCAAGACTTTTCGAGAATTGCTAATTTTGTTTTGTTCTATCAAAAGTATTTGTAATTGTATTTTCCAACTCTAATCATATTGTTGTACAATTTATTTTTATTTTCAGGCTTAGTTAATCCTTTTAGCACTGTCGATAGCATCCAGCCTGGAGTGAACAATAGCTCGTTTCAACGTATGGGACCCAGCCCTTTGAGTTTCAATCAGCTGAGCACGCAACAACCACTATCCAGTGGTTTACCGCAGCCTCTAATTCCACAGCAGCAAGCAAACCCCTTCCTCTCTTAGGTGTGTTAATAATTCGGCTACATCCTTCCTTTTTAGCTTAACAGCAATTAAGATAGTAACATTTTGATGGTGAAACCGCAAAAATGCGCTCCTTGGTTGGGGCATTTCAAAATCTCCGCACCTATTTTATATTTTGAAAGAAGGCTAAACTAATATTGTTGCCTGAAAATTTTAGAATTCTCCTCACATAGAGATCAAAATTTATCAAAATCTAAAAAAAATAACGTTCAGTAGTTTTTTATGTAGAGAATAAAGTATGGCCGGAAGTCTGTAACACCTCAAACGGAAATACGCATTTCTGCAGTTTCACCATCAACCTAAGATATACATGACGCATGGATCGAGTTTAGCAGAACAGTTACAACTGCATTGCGGTCTTTCAAAATCTCTTTTCCTATTTTGAATCTGTAAATCACTGCAAATGATATACAAGGTTTGGGAGTTGTAACACCAATATTCAGTATGAACAGCTTACTGTTCATGAAGATGGAGTTATCACTCATTCAGTAAGTACAACAATATGATTGATGATTGGAGGATTGGTGATTACCCCTTGGAGTTTAATTGGTTTGATCCTAATATGCTCTTGGTTTTTTTATCTTTTTCACACAGTTCGCCACTTGTAATCAATCATACTCAGTTTTCATTACCAGCTGTTACATGTCTTTTAGTTAACATAGTGCTGATCCATCAATTTAGTAATCAATAAATTAGCTTAATGGAGGTAGCTTTTTTAGTTTTATTCATGATGTACTGTTGTTGTTTTCTTACAGTCCAAGCAAACTAAACTGGAAATTAGTCAAGTGTCGTTCCAACACAGTTTCGAAGAAGATATTGGACTTTGAATGGCCTTATACCATGTTTTTTCTACGTTAACACCAGCAAGTATCAATCAACAGAAAGTTTATAATAAGTTTAATCTCTACTATCCTAACTATCATTATTTTTATCGCTATCACTATCAATTTTTTTTTATTTTTTTTTTATTTTATTTTTATTATTTTATACACCTTGAAGATATATGAGGTTATGTTAAGTATTGGAAATAATTTTAATTTCAGAGTAATATAAACATGTTGCCTTTATTAATATTTATTATTCTTTTTATGCATTTCTTTAAGTTTTGATGTGATCTTTGTTTTAATGCTTTATACGTAGTGCTTGATGCAATGCTCTTCAGCCGTACGAACCTCTCAACATTGCTCACTCAACGGTTAGTCAATCACTGGTTTTATCCATTATCAATTTATCACAGGTATTATTTATGTATTTTTTATTTTTATTTTTTTTAAACATTTGATGAAATTGTTTGTATCAATTAATTCTAAGGAAAGTGATAATTGAACGGTGAAATTTGATGGATAGGAGCATCTAAAGTTTCTCAGATCCAGGTGAATTTACAAATAGTTAGTCATATGTTAAGGGGAGCTTACAACAGTTCAAATTGTTTCAATTATTTTCTAATCAGCATGTTTTATAAATTGATGTATAGGCCCTAATGACATCATAGCTTGGACTACACCACTGAGCATAACCATCAGTCAAAACTATTAATCGAATACTTGATTACACGCCCCAGAGTTTTTTTACTACTTTTTCAGTATTATTTTTTTGCGTAGGTTTTGCTGGTCAACTGGTCTATTTCTTTGTTTCCAAAAAATTTCCACTTTTGTTTTTAAAAAAAGCAAAAATGCAAGTTGGTAAGCTGAGCTGAGAAAGCTCTCCATGTGCAATTAATTTCATCAGATTTTACCACAAAAAAGAGAAAAAATCGCATTTATCACCAAAGCAAAATATCATTGGTGATAAATGCTCAGTATCAGTTTGTCATTTATGATAGAATGAAAATAATTTTAATCGATGTTATTTTAACTCCAAAGAATGAAAATCACTGGTGGACAGGTGTGAAATTCACTGGTAGTTTAGTGTTTTTTATCTAGGGGTATATTTTTGGGGAGTCCTTCAGAATAATATGGAATTTTTCTCTTTGAAATGTATTTTCCTTTGAGAATAGGCCACTTGGTATGGTGTACGATATTCCAGTTTTAGCCTGTGTGACCCAATTCCTCTCCTGTACCTATGTCCAACTTTTAGGAGCTATCTACAATTTTTACTTTTTAAAATTAAAGTTGGTATGATTAATGTGCAATCAACCCTCCCATGAGCTATGCACATGCTTCTTTTGCAACCATTTCAAATCACTGATGGATACAAAACACACTAAAATCAAAGTAATGCTGATTTTTTAGACGACAGTGGGGCTCGTGAAATTAGTTACATAATCCATAATCGCCAATGTATTCTAATGACCAATTAATGCCTTTTTGGCACGTATGAAATCTTGTGGTGCCTAATAAATCAGATTTACTTGCAGAATTAAGCTTCAAACCATTCCTTACTGCCTATTTATCATTATCACTATGTTGAGAATGATTAGTTCATTTTTCGGTCCCCTAAGCAGTTGAAGCTTTCAGGTCCGAGCCAAAGCTGCCGTGACAAGGAAAAATGTCGTATGAGAATTTCAATGTTGCCAAAGTTCCCTTGATAAAATATTTATTTGTGAGAAAAGTTATGTATATTTACCGTCAAATTTTCAGATCTCTAAGACTATATTCTGAAAAAAAAAACTCTCTGAAAAATTGCAAGGAAAATATCACAAGTTTCTCTACAAATTCTTTTTTATGGAGGGAAATTTGGCAACGTCTGAAGACTCATAAGGCGTTTTCCTTAGCTTGGCAGTATGCCCCAGTTGCTCCTCAGCTTTAACGTTGATAATCAACTATTATGTCGTAACACATGAATTATGCCTTTATATTTGTATGTCTCACTCATAGATTTTGATTCTGTTTTTTTTTTCATGATAATCTTTGTTGGGGGTTGTTTCGCCAGTTTTGAACGGTCTATAAAAAATAATCATCTTGAAAATAGATTGAAAAAAGAAGAAGAAAAAATCAACCATCACTGTTTTAATCTTAAAATCTTGTCATCAAACCGTTGAATCGTGGTTTCATTGTGTTCCATAACATATTCTTTATAAGGCATTTCTTTTTTATTTATTTATTTTTTTTTTTTACTTGTTTCCTTCTATTTTCATTAATCGAGTCAATTCTGCATTTTTTAAAATTTAATCTTTTACATAAGTCTCTCTTTGAAACTTTTCTCTTTTTCTACTGAAAAGGCTCAGATTAGATCGAAGTTTTTTTTTCTTTCCTTTTCTTTTAAAAAAATGACTTAAATTAATTACTTGCTTAAAGAGCACATCATGATTCTAAAGCCAAAAAAAAATTTTTTTTTAATGTTATGTTACACATATATTATGTGGTGAGCCAAGTCGCTATTTATGCAAAACCAAATGCATAGTATTCCTACTCTCTCAAGATTTATAACATTAGGTACGCCCTCTATCTATGAGCTTATTCACAACTGAAGTTGAAAGACTAATAAAGTAGAAAGACTTCTTTAACACTCCAGTACTATGTCTATAAGACTGAGTTCTCAGCGGCTTAGAGATTTTTTTTTGCTCTCTCTTTGGCAGAGTGGAAACTATCAAATTGTGATACTGGGAATACTTCCCTGTTTTTTCTCTAAAGCCAACGAAGGTGGAAAGAAAACAGTCACACTACAAGGAAGATTTTAGCTTCTCAACGGTTAATAAGATATTGATCTTTTTAATTTGAAGCGGCGGTTCAAGTGAATGACTCAAAAAGCCGTCTCTAAACAGACCCAGTTTCCATCATTTGGTCACTTCTTAACGGACCCATGATTCGCTTTCAAGACAATTTGTTCACCAAAACAATAATTAAGAATACACCATTAGAAAACTGAAAATGTCATCTAGTGTGGTTGTGTTTCCTGTAGTATTAAAATAATTGAGGAGTCAAATTTTTGTGCAATTCCTTCAACGGCATGGAAAATAAACTTACTTGCTCCAATAGAAACCGTTTTTTTGCTCTGATAGATTAACTTTAAGTAAAATCTGCGTTTAGCTACGTAAGCAAGTGGAGCGAAACACTTGTCGATTCTATCTTGAGTATATTGCTTACTTAGAGGTATGATTGCCTTTCCATCATGCCACATTAATTAAGTTGTCGCAACACTCATTCTTGCTAATAAAAAGCTGAAAACCCAAAACTTAATTCAAGTGGCATTTGCCTTTCAGCTCGTTATATTGATGAGAGGGCCTAAAAGATTCAAATAATTTTCTTAAAAAAATATAAGGTCTCAAAGGAAACGAAGTACCTTTTTATTTGTTATTGCTGGAACTCCATTTTAAATGTTGTGACGTTTTGAGACGGGTAAAGTTGAGAGTACTCTTCGAGTGAGGAGTATAGACAAATTCCGATAAAGAGTTTATTAGGTATGCTCTGTTTTGCATGAATAACATTATCTTTAATGTCCAGAATCAAGTTTTTTGTTAAATTTTTTAAAAACTTCAAAATGTATTAGGTTGCTTCAACTGTTCACCTTTTGCACTCAAGCTTGGCCTTAATGACCGAACATTATATCTCGGAACTTTTAATTAGAAACACACTTGAGAACTCTTTGCACTCTGAATTATCACGTTTCATGTTTCAGTAAGCTACCTGAAATTATTGTTCTTGAGCAAGTCAGAAATAGAGAGAGACATCTTGTTGATTGTGTACTTGTAGGTACGCAGCACTAAAACAAAAAGTGTGGAACTAGAAGCCTTTCTTTGCCCCAAAATGATCTATCAATTTTCTCTTAATGCGTCACAAAATGACTATAGTCCTGGAATTATTATCTGTAATTTTTGCTTTCCTGATTCCTCGTCATCTTTGATGACTTAAATGCAAGAAACCAAATTATTCGCACAGTTAGTCTTCATAAATGAACCAACTGGAAAGTAATCATAATCCTTGGTTAACTGGGTGCCAAGTAAACAGAATTTATCCAAATTAGCTGCCAAGAAAGAGTGCATAATTGCATAAATCTATGGTACAAATCCACTCCTTCAAACAGTGCATATGTGTAGATATTGCTTGCAAACGAAGTGATCCAAATAAGAGGATTTGTGGACAAAAAGATTTTAGTTTTAGAGAAGATGCCCAGGGTCATGATTAAATTATACTTGTATGTATCGCTCAATCTCATTGTTTTAAAGTTATGAAGATGTTGCGGTTCATAAATTGAATTCAATCGTTTTAGTTCGGTATTAAAAAATGGTGTTCAAAAATTGGCAAAGAAAACAATGGATATTAAATGAAAATTAATGAGCTGACTGAGCATTTCCTTTTATGTACTTTCTTTTAGGTTGGTTAATGGTTCTAAGGTTGACTTGACTCAATTTCTATCTTCCAATAAAACTAAAATGTTATTTTTCTCTAATATTGTGCCCCGAAACTTGCTTTAACAATCGGACTGTCATGATGTCATCTCTTATTTCTGCTTAAAGTTGTGTGCATAAACTGTGTATAATTATCTAGAAAATCTTTGACAGCAAGGAAATTATAAAGAATCATTTTCTGATCGGAATGTAATTAGTTGAGACTCTTTAAAACTCATCATTATGGTCAGAGCGAAAAAGTGCAGCTATCAAAGTTGAAGGTTAAATTATCGCACTATTTAAGGTATTTTATTAATCCCTCTTCAACCGTGAAATCACGCATTTTGAAATTTATCAACAAATTTTTTCTTGTGATGTGCTGTTTTAGCTCCAAGCTACCTACTTATTTACAACTATGAGAGAGAATTTAGCGAAAATAGATAAGCTCTTTGCAGAGACATGGAAGATTTCATTCTTGTACATTTGTATCAATGGTTCATGTTTTTCTAACTTTATAAATGCTTTGAGAATTTTTATGTATTTGTCCATTATTTATAATATTACTTACAAATCAACTGGAATGTACATATTTAGCAAACTGCTAACTGAATGTAACATTTTACTGTGCTAAGTAAATATATTTGTTAAGTATTTCACTTGTGAGACTCAGATATATTTTGAATTTTTTTATTCCTTCATTCTTTTTGTCCCCTTTATAATCTTGTCTGTGTAGCAGTCGTGATACTTTTGAGCCTGTGATTAGTCAAAGACTCAAAGACCATTCACGATCGAACTAGTCAGGAGTCAGAATTCCTATACGTGAATATGAATAGACCACCGAACAGGGTAGGAATTAAAGAGCGACAAAATATCTCTCCCTTATCAAACTTTGATGCTGAACATGTTAACATGTTTAAAATGTCAAAAATCAAATTGTTTAGAGAAATTAGGTTTTATTGGGGATTATAAACCGACCCAACATTATTGACTCAAAGCATTCTAAAGAAAAGCAACGTTTGGAAGAATTTGCAGCCCGAATTTCAAAAGATTCTGGAAGAAAAGGCTTATTGGGGAGATTATGATCGTGTGCTCATTAAAGAGAGAATAATAACAGAATTCGTCCAGTTATCCTTTAAGCAATTTATTGATAAATAGGGAACTTATATTCTTGAAAATTAATGTTGGTTAATCAGTCTTATCGGTTAAAGCTTCGATTAAGAAATCAAATTTTATTAACAAACTTGTGAGAACTTCAGTAAAATGAAATGTTACCACTATGAGTAAAAGCGGTATTAAAAAAAGGGTAGGCCATTTTCAACAACACACCGGCCTCTAACATTAATACTACTGCTTGCTCAGCTTATCCTAAAAACTATGACTGTTGAGAAGAAGGAAGTTTTCTTCAATCATTTGTCACAAACTGAAAGAATAAGAGCGAGTCTTTGAAAATAAGGTATCGAGTAGTATTTACTGCTTTTTGACCCTCTGTAAATTCTTAAAAATTTTCAAAGACTACAAAATAGGAAGTCTTTTGCTGATCTCCCTCTGCCGATAGCAATTTAAACTGTATGGAACTCCTCTCACATAATAAAACAAATGTAGAATATAGGTCAGATATTAATTTTTCTATTCTTTGCGGTCACTTTTCAGGGTGTACATGACTTCAAAAAGAATAATTCCATGATATTTTCATTATTTTTCTGGCAAAAACGCTGAAATCCTCTGACATTCTTTTTTTTATCAATGTTCTATCTACTTGCATAAAAAGGCACATTATTTACCATTGATTTAAGAATTGATCTCCAAGTTCTTAACTCTCCTTTTCGGGAATTAAAATTTACTGAGAAAGTTGTAAAAACTTATAAGATTTAGAACGAGTATGGAGAAAAAAAATCTTGTTTTTAATGGAATTCTATGTTTTTCCTTATATTTTTAGATTAAAAATTTTCTTCTGTTGTCAAATCTTTCCAACCCAGGGCGTCCTATTTCTGCGGTAATGATTTGGTCTTCAGCACTTTTCAAGCAAACCTAAAAGAAAATATTTTAGAACTACTATGGGATCTTAATCGAACTGTCTAAGAGAGACAAACATGTAATACACTATTCTAGCTAGGATTATGAGGCCTGCTATGAGCAGAGAAGAATCTATAAAATTAATACATCTTGCTAAATATTGGAATAGTTTTCTGAAGGCCCCAAGGCAAAAGCGTGTAATCTTTTCCGATGCATATCTTTGGAATAATGACAGCATTCTAAATTTATAAGCAATACTTTGTAGTATGTCTCATCTTTAACTTACTAATCAGGATACTTGCCAAAAAAGGTAACCAACTTTAGGGCATGTTGGAAGTATACAGTTATCTTGCTGACACTGAAAATGAATGCAAGAAATAGGACCTCTTGTCTCATTCTAAAAGTCAGCCAACTTATTTAGTGCAGACTCTGTCATCTGAACTTCCCTATGTTTCATTTAGTTCATTTCTATAATTCATCATTATGAGAACTTAACAATGGAGAAGTTTCACTATTGTCATATTTTGGGTGTTCTCAACTATTTGAAACAAAGGCAATGCCTTTGCATCTTTAAACTACTATATTAAAACCAGAACAGAGGAGATTGACAGCTCTCGTGATACAACTACCTTTTCTTCATTTAGTTCCATCAATTTTCAAGCAATAAAAGAAAATAGCTTATAAATTATTGAGATTTATTACTACTCAGCCGAATATAAAAAATAATAAAAATAAACCAATTCCACAATAACAATGTAATAACTAGGTATTTTAGTGTTATAAGTACATTCCGTTGACAAGAAAATCTGCATCGTGGGAGTAGCCTGATTTTCCACCACGACGTAAACGCCGGCGTATCACTCTCATTCGACATCCGACAATAACGACCATCAGAGCAGTGACCAACAGACCTGAAATTAAATCATAGCCATTATCAGCATTTTCCTAGTTCCTGGCTGAACCAAATAATAACGGGAAGAAAAAATCATCAAACATTATCATGAAGAAAGTAATACATTAACACCTTAGTTATTTGCGAATTAAATTATCTTCCTCATTTTTCCTGAGTTTATTTTCTTAAATTTACGATATAAAGCTGTAATTTCCAGTAACTGACCTGTGTGTATGCACTCAAGGTCCATTGGATGGAATGGTACTTGGACTCATGTATGTAATCTGGGGTAGAGCTGCCAGCGCACTCAATGGGAACTAGTTAAACCCAATAAGGTGCGTGCAGAGGGGTAGAATTTGTAACTGACTCAATAATCGATTATTTTTGCTATCCACCATGACAGTTCGCCACAAAAGGGAAGATTATCGTGTGAATAATGACAGCAACAAATATTTCGAACCCAAAATGTAACCACTGCAGAAATAATTTGCAGGGTTCATGCTTTCCGAAAAAAACGAAAAAGTTGAATTGAGTTTATAAAAAGGGTTCAGAGAAGTATGAAAAATTCAAACTTGTTTAAGTGGCTATTTGAAAGTTTAACCCATCTGATTGTTAAAGTTTTGAATGCACCATTTCCTGACTCCTGAGGATTTTCTTCAATTGCAACAACTATGCATACAAACTTTAATTCGACATCATGATCACCAAAAAATATAGTTCATTGGTCGCTCCATTTTAAATCAGAGTAAAGACACTTCAAAAAATGTACATAATGCACTGTTGGATTCAACTGCGCGTAGATATCATGACTGGCGTTTTATAAAATTTAAACGCGAGTGAGTCTATAACAGTATGTAATATATGTTTTTTGAACTATTTTTATGCCGGTCTCCAAAAATTTTATTGTAAAGAAACTTACCCAATGTTAAAGATAATATTGCTCCACTCGGTACAGACTTCTCTTCCACGTCTTCTTCAAAAATTTTCAGATTTGGCTCTGCTCCAAACTTTTCCACTTTTCGATGGGAAGCAGGAGGCTTGTGATGGGTGTGATGAGAGTGAACTGTGGAAAACACGGACATTGATGAGTTTATTCTTTGAAAAAAATCGAAATTGAAAACTTCTGATCATTTATATGTATATTTCTTTAGCTTTACCATATGATAACTCCTACGGAACAAACAAGGCAAAAAGTCTTGAGAATTCGTTCCTCGGAGATTTCCTTTCTTCATCGTATTCCATTTTGATAGCTGAGTTGAAAAATTCGTAACGTTATATTTCAACATTGCATGTATCCGCTCATGCTCTTTTTTTTTTTACAGGAAAATCAACGAACAATTTCTTTTAAATTTTCCAGGTAGTTTCCTTTGTGCATACTGAACAAAATCGTACAAAACTAAAAAGGAAACATTTTGATTAGTTCTCTTTGAAGAAAATCACACTTAATTAGAAGTTTATTGCAAGAAATGAACTTATCTCAAATTGTAAAGAATTGATAATTCTTCAAGATTTGCTTACTTTTATGCTTAAGAGTAGTTGAAGAAGGCATTTCGGTTGTGAATAGGATATCTACAGGGTTAGCTTTCTTCACCGAATCAGCTGGGCGCCTTGCTGGCTTATAGATTGATCCAACATCTTGAGTCTCCTAAACAAGGAAGAAAAAATAAAATTTTAAAAATAAAGCAGACCAAAAACAGAGGAAGATTATTCATTCACTTTATCGACGGTACATCTAAAGTGGGAGTGAGCAAACATCGAGATATCAAACACGTTCTGCTACAATGTACTAGTTTATTTTTAAACTTTTGGCACAAAATACATCATCGATCGATTATACCTAGAAGCACATTTCAATTTTTTTTTTTTTTTTTTTTTTTTTTTTTTTTTTTTTTTTTTTTTTTTTTTTTTTTTTTTTTTTTTACGAAGAACCTATTTTGTAAACCATTGAACAAGGCTAAAAGGAAGCAAACACAAAAGTTAACTGTTCAATTTGACTGATTGAATGCAATATTTCATGTTTGCATACTTAGAGCTTCATTATAGGGTTTGCAAAATAAAGTCTTAAGGAAGAAGCAGCTGAAAGGCGTACTTCTTGAAGGCTTTCCAGGCGTACTTGATCTGTTTTGTTGGCAAGTCTCGAGATGGGAAAAATGGGGATGTATTATTACCGTTTGAGAGGTTGTCATAATCATAAATCAAACAGTGAAATTTCTATGTAATACTATGGTAGAATCTCTATTATCCGACATGATTTTTTCACAGCTAAAAGATGGCATTATCAGACTTGACACGACGCAAACCGGTTTTTTGGGCAACAATGAATTTATGAGTTGTTTTTGTATTTTTTTACCAATATGTCTTACAAATACAACAGAAAATGAAATTGGCCAGGCTTGTGCAATCTAGTAACAAACAGAGTCTGAAATGGCATTATTTAGTCTATTTTTGATGGTTTTGATTATCTGACATTTTCGTTATCCAACATCCCCGTCAAAAAGACACAATGCTGCTCATTTATAGATCTCAATACATTAAAGTCTTCAGAGGTTTATAAAAAACTAAATTAAGAAGTATATCAATTACACTTATAAAATGACTCCATTCATAAGATCTTCATCTCAAAAGATTTGAAATTTGTTTACAAAATTACCACTTAAACATAGAAAAAATTAATTACAATTTAATTATTGAAAAATTGAAACAATCAAGAGTCTACTATCGTACTAAATTGAATTTCGAGTGATCAGAATTCAAATTCTCTTTATCATCTTGATGAAAATAATCGCTTTTGACGGATCCAGTTTATCGAAAAAACTACAGTAAATTGAAACAAGCTAAAATGATAAATTCGCATGCAAATCTGGTACTTGATTCCTGGTGAAATTACCTGAAAATGAGCTGGCTGGTGCTGGAAATTATTGATGTTGTTGGGGTGAGCTTGGGATTGAGCTTGAGCCTGCTGTTGCAAACGAGCCCGCGGATCCTCGTAGAAGTAATCATAACCGCCCGCATTTACATTAATTTCTGTTATAAGAAGGAAAATTACACGTTAAGTAAGTACAAATTCAAATGCTCAGTTGTGCTATCCGCAGATTTATGTTTTGATGGCTTGATGTTTGTATACCGACAGTTCAAGTCCAAAACCACATATCTCCGTTTGCAATAATGCAGACTTCCTGTCATACTCCATTTTTTTATTTTTTTTTTCACTTCGAAAGCAGGGAGAAAATTGAGTTCCAAGCAATTACTGCTCCCATGTACCAGGAATAGGCGGCCAGCCCCACCCCCTGACTACCACAAACAACTGACACGGGGATCGAGAAGGCTACCTACCCGCACCCAACAATATTTTTTAAATGGAAAACCACTCAGTGGCAATTCTTGAAAACTGCTGCGATTTTTCTTCTCTGTGCGAAGAAAATTCTATGAAAACTTCAATGAATGATGCGGATTTGTACTCCTATAAAAATGTGATAGGAGCAGAGATTTTCAAACACTGCGAACAAGATATGTGGTTGCGGACTTACACCATTGATAGGTTGCCAGAAATTAAATCACGCATTTGATCAAATGCCTAGGTATAGAGTCAAATTTTGAAACTTTACGAAGTCTCGAATGTTTTCACAAAGAGCCCTGGAGTTTTCAATATTTTGAAAGTAAGAATTCATCAAAGTATTCAAAGTACAGACTAAGTACTGATTCAAATTATGGAAAAATCAAAGGGTGCACTCATCAAACTATCTGTTTTAAAAAAAACGCAGTAAAATAGTAAAAAAGAACAGCACAATTATTTGAAAAAAAAGAAGCTTACTAACCAGGCGGGATAGCTTTCCGGTGCCAATTAGGCTGCATAGGCTGCGGCTGCTGTTGTAAGTGATTGAAGCCGACATTATTATAATAGTTAATGTTAGAGGACGATATTTCACCATATTGCTGCCCATTCATGGGGTTCCTGTGAAAAGTCACCATTATGGTTATATTGAAGTATTAAAATGACAGAAAGCTGAGAGAGAGGGGGGGATCTGAACTGAAAACCAAATGAAGGTACTAGAAGTTGAAGTTTACTATAAAAAAACATGATCAACTGTAAAAAAGTCGAAACTATAAGCCTCAAACTTATGGGTAAAATTTAAAATGACTCGCATTAATACAAAAAATTTGTGTTGCATTTACTGTAGATTTGCTGAGCCTGATTTTAACTGGACTCTTGTTTTGTCAAATGAACGAAAATATGGGAAAAGATCGACAAAAGATTGATATGATAGTATCATTAATAGTATCTTACACTGACTCCGGGGGCTGATAGTTAGTCATGAGTCCTCCTTTGTGGGTAAAAATGTGCATATCTCCTGGAAGAGACAGAATCAAAGAAAATTCAGTAAATAATCATTTGATGCATCAATTTTACAAATAATACATAAAAAAACTTAGAGGGATTGCAAAAACGATGAAATAGATTTTCTGTGATCAGAAATCCAAAGCGGAGAATATGTTCACCTATTAGGCTTTTTCACCTTTTAACTATTAAAAGGACCGAGTTTGACAGAGATACACCAATTTGAACGCACTATCATTATTCATCCACAATCGAAATCCTGAGGATTAATTTTTGCATCCTGTTCCGAGCACATTTCGTATCACTCTAAATGTTTTTTAAAACAGATGAGGCAAATCAGAAATTTTGTCAAAGAAAAAAATACACTGAATCACAAGGAACAACCAGGAAAGGGTTTGGAACTTTTTACACTCTAGTAAAACATATTGATGAAAACTGCAAAAATGCAAATCTCAGATGCACCGTTCCAAAATCTCTTTTCGGTTTCAGGACATTGTGTCAACGATTTTTTGTCCGCGCACCTGTTTTGTCCAGTAGTTTATGTCCACGCATAAAATTGGCAACAGTGACTTGGTTCGAGTTAAATGTAATATCAAATCGAGGGCTGAGGATCCTTCATTCTAACAATTTTATCAAAAGAGAAGCTTAAAAACAGGATTTAATTGGTCTGTAGCTGGGTGATTAGCGAGTAAAGCAAAGCTACTAGACAAAAAATTGAATACTAGCCTTTTGGCATTGATTCTTGCCACTGAAAATTTTCACCTTCACGTCCGTAAGTTTTCGCTTGATTTAAGAGCTGCTCCGGAGTTTTTCCAATCGGCAAGCCTTGCTGTTCAGCATTGTTTGGCATCATATTCACATTTGGATTATCTAGGAAAACAATAAATTGATGAATGAAAACTATGATTGATTCAGCGTAAGAAAATTCACCGCAATCATTGAAGTAGCAATAGGTAAAACTTGCAAAATTTAATAAAATGGGTTCATTGATGAATTCTTTTGCAGTAGTGGAAATAAAGGAATGGATTCAAGAAAATGCATTCATCCAATCGGAAACATTAGGGTATTTTGTTAGTATTTTTGGGCTCTTGGTCTTCTTGATGATAACAATTGAATCACCTCCTGTAAAAACGTCTGATGTCCAATTCTGTGTTTCAGAATCTACATGAGCAGTTTTATTAACACTGATGGACAAAAGTTGGTTTAACACGTTAAGAAAGTAGAATAATTTGATCAAAAGTCCTGCAAATTAATTTAACATTTACTAACAAGATCGGTCTTATTAATATGTGTCGAGCGGCGAGACAAACTACTGTAATTCTGAAACACTGGGTTGGACATTAGACGCTTTGTATGATTCAATTATTAGACTATTCAAAACATTAAGATTCGTTGAACTTTCGAGGACATACTTACTTGGAGAGATTCATTACCGAGAAAAAATAGAGAAAGAAAACTCACTATACATTTGCTGCTGCCAAGCTATTTGCTGCTGATTCATCATGTTCATAGGACCAGATACGAATGGTCGGACAGGGTCTCCTGACTTATCCGCATGAACGTCAACATGTTGTGGCGCTTTGTTCGGAATGAACCCAAGGTTCTCCACTGAGGGCTGGGATTTCACAGATGAAACAACAGGAGCAGATGTTGGTGGAGCTGAAAAAAATGTAATTACACTCAAGTTTATTCTTTCAAATATTTTGTTGTGATTGCTGATCATTTTTTGATGGATATTAAAAATTTATATAAAAAAAAGAAGACAAACGCATTGCTGTTGTCTAAAGAATCAGTACAGGTGGAGATTTTAAGTAAATTTCTTTGAGGCATTTTCCCTTTTTTTTAAAAAATTCTTGAAACTTTTTAATCATTCAATTTCCTATAAGTTTTGGCTTTAGTTTAGAGCTATTGATTCTGACGAACTTTAAATGAGAAAAACATTATAAGAATGCACCTCTAGCGGTTTTCAAGTTTCTGTAGAAATTAATTTATCTTTTACTTTTGTCTTTACACTTTCATAACTACTAAAACATTTTTGTTATCCTAATAATTCTACATTGAAAAGAAGAATAAAATAGCAAACCACACAGGAATACGATTTCATTTCATTATTTTGAGAGGTACTGGTAATTTTCAACAACTTCACATTCGTATAACAATTTGAGAGTTTTTCAGATGCTTAACACTTTTTTATATGAAATTGGAAAGCAAAGACCAACTAGTCCAGTGGGCTGATAAATGCAATTGATAAGCAAAGAGATGGATGAACGAGAGAAAGGGAAAATGGAGTGATCCTATTGGTTGAAACGGATGGTCTTATAGACTAAAAAGGAAAATGATGGACAAACTAAAGGGTCTCTTGGAGGTTGCTGTTAATTAGTCTACTACATACCTTGTTTGTCCATTGCAACCACTTGCTTCAACCGATAAGATCGCTAAATTTTCCCTTTGTCTTCTGTGTCTATCGCTTTCTTTAAATTTCAATATCAGCCAAAACTAAATGTATAGGTGCTTTCATACTCACCAGTTGTTGGACATCCAAGTTCTGGAGCTTCATCACTCCCATCAGGGCATTGTGGGATTCCATCGCAGGCATTGTAAATGGCTAAACATTCTCCTGAACTATGACATTCAAATTGATTTCTACTGCATTTACTGCCAGCAACTGAGGATAAAAAAAATAGAATGTTACGAGGCTTAGGAATGGATCAAAAAATTTTCCGCTCACGGCTAATGAAACTTTGCTCCCCCCTCCCAATGATGATTCTCAAAGGAGGGTTTAGGGGACCTATGCCAGCACGAGAGATCTTTACAGGTTTTTTCTGGGAGAGTTATGAACTTTACAGATCTCAAAACATATTGTATGGCTAGTTTGGTGCAAATATCCGTAGGATTTTGTTGGTCACACATCTAGATTGACATCTTGATTGTTTAGAAAAGGAGAAAAGTGGAATTACTCATATCCCTGTTGTGATCACTAATTCAAAGGCTTAACCTTTTTTTCCCTTTTTTTTGACCGACAGTCATTTACACCAATTTTTCCTTCCTAAACCTCATATGAGAGCCGTGGAGGACAAGGCGCGTGAGTGCAGTTTTTGCTATTTCGAGAAATATATATTTGAAGTTTCCAAATTACATAGATCTTTATGGCGGATAGAAAGTTCAAACTGACTTATTGATACTTAAAAATTGGAATTCAGGGGTGAATTTTTCACGGAATATGCATTAAGACTAGTTTTATTTGAAATTGTGAATACCTACCTCAATTTTTTTAAAAACTGCACATATGCACCTGTTCTCTAAGCCCCTCAATTATAAAACATTATTTTTCCTTGTTGTACCTTTTCCTCAGTCTAAAAAATTTATTTTGTAATTAAAAAAATCACCCTGTATGCTTCGATGAAATTTTTCTCTTTGGTTGACTTTTGTTTGGATTCGAAAATATATAATTTTGGTTGCAAGAGAGCCCAAGAATTTACTTGCCAGACAAAAACTTCTAGAGACTGCTAATAAGCACGATTTAAGTGTATTTGTTTGAAAATTACCTTATTGACAATACTGCTTACCTGGAGAACCGAATTCAATAACAGTAGGAAGGATCTCTTTGCTGCCTTTCTTTGCAATTGGCGTCGTGGTCTCCACGATTTGCACAATTGGAGCTTCCGGTTTTCTGCATCAGAAAATGAGTCACTAAGACAAATTCTAATCAAAGAACATAGATGGAAAAAGCAAAATAACTCACTCTCTTAATTCTGCCTTATGGTTCAAGACATACAGAATATTTTTTTGGATTCATTTGAAATTTCTCAAGACAACTCAGGGATCGACAACTGCGCAAAGTCTTTCATTAACTTAGGAATAACAGTTTACTAAACCTAGAATCTTGTAAAAGATTTCATCTTTCCTTTGGGAAATCCCATACAGCTCACTTAGCAGCCTTAAGTACGCCATGTAGCATCATAAAAAGGACAATTTTTACAGAACTCGGGTAAATTTAATCAGTTTGACTTTAGAAATATATTATATTCTTACACGGGAGTAAAATTATTTGCCACTGCAAAAAGTATAAAGTATGGAAGAAAATACATTGCTAATTTTAAGATGGGTAGAGTCCGGGCCAAAAAAGTTATGCTTTCAGAGTGCTACAGCAGATCCACTACCTTGATTCTTGCATTTACCTCCAACACTTAACTGAGGACAAATGGTCTTCTGTTGCTGTTCGAATCGTCAAACGAATGAATTTTACCTGAGTTCCATGAAAATGATCGTTTACATAATGCTATCTTGAAGGCGTCCTTGAACATCCCTTGACCAAAATGTAAACTGTATATCAATGGCCAAAGTGTGAATACACATATCTAACTCGGTGACATTGCAGACTTCCTGTCAAACTTTACTTTTTTTTTAAAAAACTAGGGAACATTATTTCTTTAAATCTTCTTTGATTTTTCCTCTCTTTAAGCAGGTGTACATTTCCAACGGTAAAGTAACCTTGATTCTTTGTGAAAAAATAAAGTAGGAGCAGAGATTTTGAAATACCCCAAAGGAGATACGAAGGTTTTGCACTTTTGCCATGAATATGGGCCCTTCCTGAGAAAAGAAGCTACCTACTTGAGGAATGACACTGGATATAGCCCCGAGAATGGCAAGATAAATCTTTTTCTGCCCAACATTTCAGAAACTTGTCTTGCACACCCTGAGTTTCACAAAAAAGAGTAAAATTTACCATCGTACTCAAATTTTCAAAGGGAACATAATGGAATTATTGCGCACCGTAATCTGAGAAGTTCTTCTTCATGCTGGCTATGGGGAATCTGACTTTCAAGTTCAATTAATGGCCTGTTGACAGTGAGAACTGCACTACTGTAGTTGTGATGGTGAGTGAAATTGCATTTGAAATCATCAGGACTACCACAATTGAAGAGGTAACATGTTCCAGGAGTCTGTGAAAAAGAATCAAACATTAAAAAATTATCTAGAGAACACTATGGAGAAGGCAAATAAGATTAGTGCTGTAAAAGAGCACTGAGCCAATCTCTTGGAAAAAAAATTAAACAATATCACACTAAGAGAATGAGATATTTAAATTGATTTTGATAGAAAGCGACTCTTTTGAATAATCCCTCTTTTTGAGGGATGCAATTACCTTGTAACTATTGTTATGAAAAGTACCTAGCTTACTCCAAAATGTATTCACTGATTTTTTTGTAGCATTGACATTGGGAGAAGGAAGAAGCACATTCGGTCTTTGCTCCCATTCATTTTAGAGGTGAGCGGCGCACTTCTCTTGCTCACATTTCAAAACGTTGGGTACACTCTTCCTTTCATGGTAAACTACAAAGTGCCACATAACACTTCACAAAAATACAAGAACACTATTCAGAAAAAGCTGCGTGATTTTAATGTAAACATCATCGAATTGGTGATCAAGGATGACTGAGAGCACAACCAATGGAAAACCAAAATCAATGGCTCAAGTAGGTACAAGCCATCAAGCCAAGGAAACTTATAAGCGGGAACAAACGTATGAGAGATTGAACTTCCGGAATAGGTCTCACGATGAGTGGAAATTATGTTCCAAACAGTAAGCATATTATTCACGCGTAGGATGTATGATTCTTTGGTTGGCACAGATAACAAACAAAAACATAACCTCATTCTAACCACGACTCCGTGCGGAGACAGCGCCGCCGCGGCGCGGCGCGGCGGCGCCAGCTCGAAACGCGCACTGACGCCTGCAAACCTAAGGGGATACTTCAAGCATTGCGCAATGCGTGAGGTAGCCCATTAGGTTTGTAGGCGTCAGTGCGCGTTCCGCGCTGGCAGCACGCCGCGCCGCTGCTCTCCCGGTGCGCAGCGGGCGGGTAGTGAACGATTTCTTGCGGGGAGAGCTCCCAGACCGAGGAACTCGCAAATCGTATAATTTTTTTTTTTTTTTTCAATTTTTTTTTTTTAATTTTCGAGTTGTAAAATTACACAAGAGTCGGTCGTGCGCCATGCGCGCTGCGGGCGGCGCAGGGCGGCTCATGGAATTCTCCCCTGTGCTCTGGCGACTGCAACCCCATGAGTCCGCAAAATTACCCGGCATAAAAAGGCGCGAAACATCATCCAATCAAAGTCCGTAAATTCAATTTCCGGCAAAAAAAAAAGGCGAGAGGTATCGTCAAATCAAATTCTCTAGATTCAATATCCGGCAAAAAAGGCGCGAAACATTACTTATTTTAAGCCTCACGGTCTGTTATGGATTTTGAATTAGGTACGCTGGTGGATGGGGGGGGGGGGGGGAGACAAAAATGCTTTCGACAACTCCATTTCCACCAAGAATGTCTTTTTTTCAGAGACTTTCACACGTTTTCCCGTAAAATTCGAGTATTCGAAAACTTCCTCACTTCACCAAGAAAATTCCTGAAATTTTTCAGCGTAAACACCTTTCAACAACAACTGTATGCCAAACAAAATCATAAGATGTTCACAGAGATTCTTTTTCATGACATACAGCTTAGATCTACATTTAACGTCAGATCCAGCCATCTCGATCCGTTTTGACGATTTGACCCTTTAAATAGCGCTAAAAAGGAAAAAAATAAGAAAATGATCTTTTGAAGTTGAACATTATAAGGGGGCGTGGAGGCGTAGATGCGTCACATTAGACCGTAAACGACTCAATTTTCAATTTTTTTAAAAAAAAAAATTGGACGTATTTCTATCTACAGATGTATGTGAAGGTGAGAAATATGGGGTGTGCTCTAGAAAGCTGCATAAGAAACAATGTAGAATTGGGCGTGATTCCTTTTGAAGAATTGGAAAAGCGGGATCTTAAATTCAGCAAACAGAACTATGTGCCAACTGAATGCGAGATTCATGGGCCGCGGGCATGGCACGAGAGCGTTGTGGACAGGGCCCATGAGTTAAAGCGCCCCGACGGCGATCTTCCCCTCGCGCTCCAGCTCTCCATCATTGCCGCTGACGTCACTGGTAGAGTCCCTTTATACCCAGAGTTAAGACAACTCGATTATCAGCTGACTGTCAACCGGCCTTGGCTGGCCATGGAGGCCGAAACGAGTGCACCCAAACGAACGATATTGAGGGATAAGGATCAGGAATCCTGCGATGTCTGTCACACAAAAACAACAACATCAACAAAATTGATAGATTAAAAAGAAAATGAGATTGGTTTGTGAATAATTTCTTAATCTATTTTCATTTAGGACCGATGGAAATAACAATTTACTCTTGATAAACCACAATTAGGTAATATTTTCATTATTCTTGTTCACATTCGAGGTACCGCCATCTTGGTGCACTCGTTTCGGCCTCCATGAGCGAGAACCAATCAGAATTGGATTTTTTTTTAGGCCACTTTCAGCCCAACCAAAAGTGAGTTGTCTTAACTCTGGGTATAAAGGGACTCTAGTCACTGGCGCTTTATTATTCTCATTCATTCTTACGGCCAGAGAACTAACGAGCACAACCCATATTTCTCACCTCCACATGAATCGGTTTGATAGAAATACGTCCAATTCAGACCTATACATGCACGAGGAGTGGGCGAGGGGTACGGATATGAAGCAGTAGAGATAAATACAAATACCTTCTCTTCAAAAACGAAAACGTTGCACGTGTCCGTTTGACAGCATATTCTCAAGCAATCGTCACGAGACAGGACGTCGCTGGCGCTGAGGTACTTGGCACCCATTTTGATTGAATCCTCGGTGCGGATGATTTTGTCCCGGTGCACGGCGAAATTCGACGAACAGGAGTCGAGGTTCACCCCGTACCTCTTGTTGACCATTCGCTTGTCCTTCAACTCGGAGTCGAAGATCCCCGAGTCGGTATATTTCCCGGGTCTCGGCTCGCACTTCACCACATCGTTCCCGATGAAAATCATGAAGGGGTACAGTAAGAAAACAAGTTCGAAATCCATTTTCATTTTCGGGCTGTCAACTTGTCTGCCTTTCCCCCGACTAGAGGAGGCGTGTCATTCAATGATCTATTGCTTTGAGGATAGGAATATAGCCGTGTAATAGAGATATATTCCAAGTTACGCACGAAGAATGTAAATATGTTCGATGAAGTCGCGATTTCCTCTCTTATCGAATTGGGTGGGACTCATCTGCAACAGATATATAAGATGATATGCAAAGGTTATTAAAAAGGTACAGAAAGTGCAAATGTGGTTCAGAGTGGATATACCACTAGGAACTTTGAGGGAAGGGGGGGGGGGGAGAGGGATACCTCGTCAAGGGGGATCTAGAAGACTTTAAAAAACACCGTTGAGGGTTTTTGTGGGACTGACTCAGTTCTAAAGTAGGGAGGTTCGGGGAGCCTCCTTCGGAAAATAAATTTATACGACGAAAAGCCGTCACGGTGCTAGATTTCTGGGGGAGGGGAGGGGGGGGCTGCCCTCCGACCCTACACTATTTCCGCCCATGTACCCAATAGTAGCACGGGTTGCTAGTTTGTAATAAACCACAATTACATCTAGATTCTAGAGTCTAAAGGATGTAATATAGGTAATGATTGATTTTGTGGTAGTGTCGTTTTTGTTGTCTAGTCACTAATTGAAGGGGCTCCTCTCGTTGAAATGTATTGCAATAAAATTGAAATAAGGTACATTTTTAGCATTGCTAATTACCTAACTTTCTCGCACACAGAGCTCATTTTATTGATCCTTTGAAATCGACATGTATTAACCAGGTGATGTAAACCCTGGTAAAAATTGGCAGTAGAATCTGTGTTCCAAAATACCATACTGTAAGATTTCCAATAGCTTCTATAGCCGGCAACACAATTTCTTATAGCCTTTTATAGCCGATGGCGATAAAGCAACAGCCTGACGATAAAGTGTATGCTAAACATTACTAATTACGGATGCTAGGACTTAGTGAGTTTTTGGACTAGGTACCGCTCTCTTTTTGGGCCGTAGTATCTTGATTTATTTTGCGAGGAAAGCTCCTTACTTTTGAAGGATGCCTGCCATTCCTAATATGTTGGAGCGCCTTCAATTTCGTACGATACTGTGCAATACCTCTGGTGTGAAATAGTTGCTTCAAGCGAGCTTCAAGCGTACGCTGCGGCGCGGCGCGGCGGGCGGGCAGCCAGCGCGAAACACGCATTGGCGCCTACAAACCTAACAGGGATACTTCACGCATTGCGCAATGCGTGAAGTATCCCTGTTAGGTTTGTAGGCGCCAGTGCGCCGCCGCTCTGCTTTGTGTTAGGCTCTAATATTTAATCTCGTGGAGTCAGCGTTGTTCAACTCATTTGCACACTCTGTATGGATTATTCTCATTTTAATTGATGAAAACAAATATGTAGTAAAGGAATATATAATGTGCGTTTTGTAAATATTATGGTGATTCCGTACAAACTTAAGGATTTACAAAGCACACGAATTTCTACTTAATTTCTTATAGCCTTTTATAGCCGAAGGCGAAAAGGCAACAGCCAGGCGATAAAGTGTGAAGCCCGGCGACAGGAACTATAGCCCGGCTGTTTAATTTTTTATCGCTTCGTGTAGCCCGGCCGTATGATTTTTCCCACTTTCTACAGCCAGCTATATGATTTTCTATCGCCTTCTTCAGTCGGCTATAAGAACTCCTATGGTATTTTGAAACGCAGCTCCTATCGCCAATTTTTACCAGAGAATAAAATTGCAATTGCATAAACATTGTAAAAAAAATTGCGATGTCATAGCATTAAAGTGCAAAATTGCTTCGGTAACTTCGTTTCATGAACCTACTTGGGTATCCACACGTTCTCAGTTTTCAAAGAGAAATAATAAAAGAAAAAGAAGATAAAAAATAGATGACTGGCTCTACCTAAGTCCCGCAAGGATTTGAACTTTAAACTGGCTCATCTCATATAATTGAGGTAGCTCATGTTTATTTTTCATTAAAAGTAACCCGGCCCGAATACTATGTAAACAAATTTCAAAGTTGATTTTAAGTCAGGGGGCACTATAGAGAGAAAGGAATTTTTAGCTTCTGTGCTTACATCCCTTTTGAAAAAGTTTTCTTCATAGGGACAGTATAAAGTATATCAGATAATTATGTCGTTTAAAGATGTATATCCTCTTTCTTCTCCGATCGATCGTGGAGATGGAGACCTCTCTGGATACAACTATTCGTGCTTCGTTGTAGCCTATATTGCAGACACAAAAATTGAAGGCGCACTGGTTATTCGTGAACTTCCAGCAGTAGCAGCGTCGCGCTAGAGAGGAAAACGTAAGCAAGGCCCTTTGTTGTGGAAGCTCGTTTTATAAGCAACGGCAGATAACGTACGACAGCTGTTCGAGTGTCCGTTTTTAACTATACGTATTTATACCTTTTTTTCTTCATTTAAGATATGTATTTTTATAAGGGCAAAAGTGCAAGTAGCAACTGTCTTTGTTACAAATAATGTAAGAAAAAAAGCATTATCTAGTGCTTGGCAGAGATATTCATAAGTTGAGGAGTTAGTGAAAATGTTTTCATCCGTGTCTATTTAAGCCGTTTCTTGTAAAATTTTGTTCCGACTACTTAACTGCGTGAAGCGATTAGGTGATCACTGAAACTAATTTTTTCGCCATCATATGCGAGACCTATATTTACTCGAGCCATAAGCTTCGTTTTGGGCAATTCCCTACCTTTAACCGCGCTCCTACAGAGGATACAAAAACACCGCTCAAGCTCTCGATTCGTAATATCCTTCAACCACCCGCCGAGGAGTTCTCAAACATCTCGAACAGCCAGCCATTATACGCGAGAAAAGCCGCGAAGAAAAACTGATCCTCACCTGGTAGGGTAAACTGGCGTGGGTGTTCCGAAAGAAAAAAACAGCGCTCCTCATTCAAGTTTGGTAAACTAAAATGTACTTAAGGGTGTGCCAAAACATCATCCGGAACATTTTCAAATCCTCCCCTGCACATATCCAAAACTCCTTTTGCGCAATAATGTACGGCAAGACACTGGAGTTGACGATTTCACCTGGCACCGACTTGGGTTTCCCACATTTAACACGGGTTTCCGACGGGATTGAATCGCGAATTAATAGGGACGGGGAGAAACGCGTAGTTTCGGATGGCTGCGTATTCACGGGGAAACTAGTGACATGGTGAAACTAGGTTAGCGGAGAAAACGATCGGTTGTGGAAAGACGGGTGCGAGGAGACATGCGGAGAAGCTTTTGTGGGCCAGAGAAAATCAATGAACTGAGGCGCTTTCCATGGGGGACGCTCCTGGCGCGGCGAGGAGCGCTTGGCTGTATCGGCAACCGCCGCGCCGCAGCTATACGTACCGCCAATCCACAACCCCCAGTGGCGTGGCGTGAATTGCGATGTATCGATTGTTATGCCTTTTAAACCTATGGTAAAGAATCGATTATTAAGGTGTTCGCTGCGGACACCCTGTTTATCGATCCTTTTCCATAGGTTCAAATGGCATAACAATCGATATATCGCAATTCACGCCACGCCACTGACAACCTCCCTCCCCCCATCTCGATTTCCAGATGGATCACTGTGATCCTTTTTCAGTCTAGTAGCTGTGCAGAGTTAGTGAAACCCCTCCTCCCCCTCCCTCCGCATCGCAAGTAGCACAGATGGATCGCATTTAGCAGGAAGGAACCAGCGCAATTATAGTGTCGTTAAAATGTTGCTCCTTCATATATAATTATCCAAAAAATCTCCCAAAATAGCAAATAGTTTTTGCATCGCACCAAAAAATTTTTAATTTTAATTTTAATTGGAAATAAATCTATAAATTTTAGTACTGTGCGTTTCCGCGTAGCAATGGCTCTTTAAAAAAATGTACACAAAGTTGTCCAAAAAAATGTAAAACACTTGTAAATTTTAAGTAGAAAACTCGTAAAATACTCGTTTTTGGAAAACCTTAGGTATGGGGAATTCTTCTAAATAAAAAATAGTGCTATTTTAATTAAAAGAAAACGTAAAGTTTTAGGTAAAAATCAACATATTTTACTTAAAATTTACTTAAGATTTTTCTTCAATTTTGGGTAAAAAAAGCCCCAAAAGGGTTTCCTGATACGAATATTTCAATAGTTTTTTACTTAAGTTTCAAGTGGTTTTGAAGTAAATGTTGAGTTCTCTTAAAATTTACGAGTTTTTTTAGGTACAACTTTTCTCAACAGTCACTGCTTCAACTGAACTGAACTTCACGCTGGTTCCTTTTTGCTAGATGCGATCCAGATTGCAATGAATTGCAATCGCAAGGTAAAGTCACTGCTTACTATCTCGGAGTGTAGAATATGTTGCATATTTGCTGATTGAAGGGGCGCTCTTCTTATTGAATTTCTTGCAATAGAATTGAGATTAGTTGCAATTGAAGCGCAATGTACAGAAAGGGCGTTTCTTGGTCGCAATGTCTCAACATCTCCGATATAACGTTTCATCCATTATAATTAAAGCTAATGTATGTAATTTGTTGTAACTTTTTCACGATTTTACGGTGCTGGAAATGTAAAATTTCAGAAAATTCACCTAATAGTTTCCTCTCTGAAATAAAAATTAGCACTGAAGATTCTGATGCGCCGCAACCAAGAAATGCCCTTTCTGCGCCCAACGCCTCAATTTTGTTGCCTTGCAAATTACCTGCCTTTTTCACATATGGGGTACATTTTGTCGAACGTGTTTTAAATCGGCATTTTTTAACACAATGATGTATAAATATTGCAATTTTATGGTGAAAAGTGCAATTTTATTACGATGAATTGCGAAGTTATTTCAAGATTTACGTTGCACTGTGCTTACTTGGGATTTCTACCGCAACCAAGGTTTTCCGAGAACTCCCAGAAGCACAGATTGCAATAAATTGCAATTCGGAAGTGAAACTTCCAAATCACGTATCTCTGTTTCCGACGCTACAAACCTCCTGTCATAATTTACTTATCCTTTCAATGGAAACGACTCAACGTCAATGCTTAAAAAATTCCGTGATTTTCCTCCTCTGTGTGAGGGAAATTTGGAGAAAGCTCCAAGGAATAATGTTGATTTGTTATTCCTAAAAAATATAAAATAGGAGCGGAGATTTCAAAAGACCGCAAACGAGATACCTACGTTGGATGCGATTCAAAGCACTCGTTTCGCAGTGATGCTCAAATTCTTCCCAAGTATCATTTTTCAACGGAAAAATCGGGATATATTGCAATTTTATCGGCGATAAAATAGCTGGGACCATCAGCAGCTGAGCGATTATCCTCGATCTTATGGGGATAAAATCGCGATTTTATCGCCCGGCAATTTATCGCGATAAATGGCGATTTAATCTCAATTTTATCGAACCAAAAATTGCGATGTGTAGCGATTTAATCGCCATAGATCGCAATTTTTAATGCGATAATGGCAACACAACGCCTGGATGCAACTATTCGTGGTCATGGAATGTCCGCATTGCATATACAAACAATTGCAGGCGCTATGGCTGTCTGAATCACAAAGACTGGGCGGGCTCCAACTGTTAGTGCTTGAGAAATGCCCGTGTTCAAGCAGGTAATTTTATTCCGGACCGATTTTTTTTATTTTTTTTTTGGGGGGGGGGCGGTTATTGACAGGAGATAGTCCCTAGATGAGCCCGTTCTAGTCAGATCTTGAAAATATGACTCAACTTCTTTTTCTTGTTTTATACATATATTCTGTGATGAAATTATGAACTTTTTGATCTGAGCACGATACAATGTTCATTTCTTGTCATTGTTTATTCTAGAGCTCTGTCTGGCTACTTTTCATGATTTTTGTGAATATGGACAGGAGACAGTCCCCAGACGAGCCTTCTCTATTTGGATTTTGGAAATGAGGGCCGACGTTTTTCAATATTACATGATGAATTTCAGAATTTGAGCAAATTTTTCTCGGAATTTTGACTTCAGTCTAAATATTCTCACAAAACTTGAAAAAATATTTTCTAAAAATTTGGAAAGATCAAAATTTTCCCTGAGTAATTTTAATGCTCATGTAACTGATGTTGGCATTTTGATGAACTATTCAGATCGGCAGGAATCAAATCAGTGCGGATAAATCAGAATCCACTGCATTCAAAACTTAAGGATTCAATTACAATTTAAATAAAGTCAAGAATTCGACGGGTTCAAATTCAGACAAGTTTCAAGATGGAGGATAGGGTGAATGACAGAGAGGGAAAAATTATTTTAAAACTGATTTTATTAAAAAATAAAAAGATCAAAAATAAAATCATGAAACTATTTCAAACAACACATTCTATCAACATCAAATAACACAAAAATAAAAACAAGATGAGTGACTTCATTGCAGGTGATACTTTATCAAAACGCATTAATGACACAAAGGAAAGGAGTGGGAGGGGGGCTGAAATACAATTCAATTATTTTAGATTTGATAAACAAAATTTTGATCCTCTTAATCAAGAGATGGCAAGACAGAGCTAAAAATTTTGTTTTCACGAATCGTAGTATGAGGTATAGAATATATTCTGTTTTTTTTATCAATCAAATTAACTACAGAGATTCTTGAGGCCTTGGAATCCTGTCCACGTATGTAGCGAGACTAAAGGCACAGCAAATACACAAAAAATCAATATAATCTATCGACAGACGGGAAAACTACTTTCCCGATGTAAAACTGGGCTAAAATTGCAGGCTGAATCTGCTAAAATCAACAATGACTACGGGAAGCTGTGTGGATGTTACAAAGGCGGTGGTGAATTTCAAACTTCCCGATCGTAGCCAAAATGTTGTTGCATTGTCAGTTGGGTGAAGTTTACATCTGCTGCTGAATCTGCATTACTTGAAATGCAAATATTTCGGAATGGATCGTTTTTTTACAGATCAATTCTTTTGCGATCACTTCGTAACGAGAAGTTCGTCATATAATTGAAGAACAAAAATGGGGGAATAGGGGCTCAGTAAACTTTTCAGACATATCACAATGTATAAAGGCCATAAAAAGTAGACAACCATTTTCAAGACACTTCCTCAAAAGATAGTACTTAACAGTTGAGTAAAACGTGAAAGGAATAAAAGACTGGTTCCTATAATCAAAGCATACAAATTAAATAAGAGAAAATAAAAATATATTGATTATAGTATGTGTTGCTGGTGCAATACAATTGCAAATATTAAAGAATGTAAAGAACCGAAAAGGTTACAATTAAAATCTATCATCAATGCGTTCACGTAACAACCTATTACAGAGAGTGTTTGAGGAACTATAACAGAAGAAAGAGAAAGCACTCATGGTAGATATGCTTGATAATGCACAAATTTTAACCCTGTTAATCTCTGACTGAGCAATCAAATGAAAATAATAAAACAAACAGCGACAACAGACACATAACCGCTTTGCCACCAGCAGATTTCTTAGAAACGTAACTCTGGCGATACAGAAATAAGATGGCAACTAAAATTTTTTGCTGTCTAAAAGATAAATTTAATTGCTGAAAGCTTCGGAAGTTGACTGTTAGAGAATCAAATCAACAAAAGTCACCAAATAAAAAATAAAGTAAAATTCGAATTTGACAAACATGCAAGTTTCCAGCAATTCTAACATAGACTTAACAACAAACACTATATAACTTGACACGAAAGTTCCTATTAAAAATTGATTTTTGATATTTTACAGTGGTGCCGGATAAAATTTTAACTAATTATAACACTGAAGTCGGCTTACAAAGCTCTGTATTAAAATTTCAAGACACTTGTGAAGAGGGAATCTTACATAAATAAAAAAAGCAGTCAAAAAATATATTTTATGAAGAGAAAGTGTTCATGATGTTGTTTCCCACTTGTGTTTGTTTATTCCGTCCATTCATAGAGGCACTTTCAATTAAGTTTTCTATTTTTTAAAACTAGACCTCCAGGTTGAGAGAAAATAAATTTTTCCAGGATGAATCTTCAGTAATAAACTATTGTTAATTGGTCCAGCTACACGGAGAAGATAAGTACAAAAACTTCTGCCAGGAATTTATGAAAAAGTTTGAATAATCACTAGTATTTGTTATATCTACAAGTCTGCAAAAAGATTCTCTAAAAATCTGGAGACACTTCTTAACAATTTAAGGTTTTCTTGTAAAAAGTCTTTCAGAGATACGTGTACATATTCCAGAGCAAAATCGTGTTTTATAAGGCCACAAGAACAGAGCAATGATTACACTGGCGGAGAAAAGGAAATTCAGAACGGTCGATATACTCAAGTAAAATTCAACTTATCACTTTTGACATACACAAAAAATTGTGAGATCAGTTATCATTAAACCAATGAGACAATGAGGGGCAAACCAGAAAGTTGGACAGGTTCAATTGTCTACAAAAACACCTGCATGATATAAAAAGAAAAAAAAAATCAAATCAAATCGATCATTTTGTCACTCATTTAGCTTTCATTTTTCCTGAAAGTTTTTAAAGCTATGAATAAAAAGTTCTCTTCAGAAATCTTTGCGTTTCATTACTGATTTCGTGGCAAACAAATTTAAACTGAGTTGTATACATTAAAATGCTTGAATTAAAAACTACAAGTCCTTGAAAACTACAGAAAAAAACTTAAGTGCAAGAGTCTCAAGGAATATTGTGAATTAGTGTAAAACGTCTCATACCAAAGTATCATTAAAAATACGGTTTAGAACTGACACTTGATCATTGAGTCTATGCTTTGATCAGATTGTCTGATGACTAAGCACATATTTAAGTTTTCATAATGGTCACATGTTAGGAGAAAGAAATTCTTGATTGATGGGTAAATCGATGATGACCATATTGGAAAGTGTATCTTCCCGTAACCTCCACGTTTAACCTTAACAAATTGACTTTAAAAAGAAGGTGAGAGAGTGACTTTTAAATGAGTATAATTTGACTTTTTTTTCATTTGAAATTTTTCAGCGATTGATGAGCATTACAATTTCATAGTAGTAGTAGTGCAGAGAAACTGTCGGAGAGATGAGGGTAAAATAAAATTAAACTCATTGATTAACAACAGCTTTGAAAAATTCCTACTTGAAATGAAACGTGCGAAGACTAAAAGAAGCTGCCTTACCTTCATAAATTCAAGGAAAAAAACATTCTAAGGATAAAAGGAACATTTACGATTTGTCTACCATTAATGCATAAAGTTAACAAAGAGAAGAAATTTTAAAAATACAAAACAAACAAGGTGCATTCTAAAATTAAAACAAATGATAAAAGTACAGAGGCAATCAGAATTTGAATGCTTCTTAAATTGCTTGAAAAAAAAGAGAAGGAATAAAAACACGGTAGACTTTAAAGAGAGTGGGTTAATGATCCATGGGTGCAGGAACAAAACTGCTTATAACGTAGCATTTCCATCAGTTTTGCATTTTCAATATATAAGTCTTTTGCTATTGTGTCTGCTTTTCTTAGTTTTTCCATCTAAACAGAGAAAAGTAATTCATGTAAAATCAATAGAGTGAGTGAGAAAATGTATAGTTGATAGGGCTGTGCGAATAATCGCACCGTCGCGAATAGTGAATTTTCCGGCCAACATTTTCACATATTCGCGCCGTCAAAAATAACGAATTTCTGAGAGGGCAATTGTGAAGCTTTGCGAGGACCTACGCAAGGCTTCCATCCAAGACATCACAAACTGCGGATCTCCTTTGTTCTTTACCTACTTTGCCAAGTTTACAAACAACGCACGCGATTGCAATTGGCCCGCACATCTTGGTTGCTACAAGAGTACCACACATTGAAAGTTAAATAACCAAGACGGAAAGAGTGAAGAGTTCATAAACACATTTTCATTAGCACCAAAAAAAAAATACTAAAAATGTGTCTGGTGATCCTTAGATACTAACTTGACTGCCCGCGCAGTTACCTCTAATCCTTAGAATGCATACATAACTGCAGGAACAGTCAAGCTAGCATCCAGGGATCTTCAAACACATTCTTAACAGCCTAGACTGCTATCATAGCATTTCATTGTTTTCTGTGCAGGTGTATAAGCAAATGGAAAATTCTTGAAAAAATTAATCACACTTATTTGTCGACTTATGTAATATTTGCGAATTATCGCCCTCAAAAAAGTCATTTTAAATTATTTGCTTTACTGTTCGTAGTTGTGAACAATTGACTTAAATTATTCGTAGTTGTGAACAATTGACCTAAATTACTCATAGTTGTGAATAATTGACTTAAATTATTTGCTATTCACTGTTCGCACACCCCTAGTAGTTGACCATGATGCCTAGCTCAGAACTTGAAATAAGTACCTGCATTTAGTTTATTTCTACAATGGGTCAAATAATATGGGAACACAAGACAGGGAATATAATAAAAAGAGTGCTAGTTGTACTATCGCCACGGAAAAGGCACAAATTAAATACATGGCAATCATCTAGTGCATGGACTACTTAACTTCTGACTTGAAAAGGAGTAAATGTTCTAAAATTGATTTTTAAATTAACCCATCAAAAATGAATCATTGGGGAAAACAATCATTGTTGTATTCTAATGTGCCCTCAAAGAGAATGCACATTTTGGACGGCAGCAAAAAATACATGAAAATAAGCTCATTGCAAGGAAAAAGGCAATGTGAAGCTATTTATGCTCTCTTAAATATTGCTGGCTGAAATTCTGAGTCAACTTACTACCTGCAAAATTCCCTGAGTTTTCCCATACATTTTCTGACTTTTCTAGGTTGCCGTTGATTCCCTGACACTAAAACGTCTAGTACCATGGGTCCTTAATTTTGATACTTTGGCAAAATTCTTAAAGGCACACTACATAAGAAAAATCACACTGACCTGTTGATATGAAAGTTCCACCTGTTCAGCAAGTTTATCTTGTGTTGACTTCAGTGTTTTTCGAGCTTGCAGCAAATCAGAGTGATGATCCTCCCAAGATCCTTCATAAAACAAGACACAAATACAATTAAAATGAATTAGTTTCAGTAAAAAAGAAAATATACCAATCAAATTACTTGCAAGTCTCTTATTTTGTTTGTTGGTTTCTGGGAAAAAGTTGTACAGGAGTACATACTTTAGCATGGCTTTATAATGGGCACCTATCAAAATTTTAAGAGTTTTCAGTTGAAAAAGGAGGTGTTTTTGAAGGTGCTGGAAAACGAGTTTTAGTAGTTACCACTGGCAAGAGATTAAAGAGATTCAAGCTAGAATTAGAGAGATAAAAAAAATTAAATTTTCCGCATCCATTTAAGTTAAAAATAAGCATAAAAGAGTGAACATTAGAATAAGAACGATACTTCATTACATATTAGGCAGCTGTTAGAATTTACATGGATTTACAAGGAATAAATGTTTGGACAAGTAACTTATAACTTACCACTTAGAAGTTTTTCAACTAGGCGTTTCTGATGTTTCAGTGCTGACTGCAGATGACGGCACTTCATCTCTGTTTGATACAGTTTAGTGGTGACTGAGTTTAAGATGTGTAATCCATATGGCTGTAAATGAAGATAAAACAAACATTGATTTTTGTTGCGATAAGTTTTTTCCCCTTAAATGGGCTCAAAACAGGTTCAATTGCCTTCCTGATCAGCCGCAATATGTGTTGCACCAGGTCAATGGTCAAAAGACAAAACGACGTGCCTCCCTTTGCAAAGTTGCAGACTTCCTGGCATACCTTATTTTTTCTCTGGAAAACTAGTAAATGCAAGTTCTTAAAAACTTCCTGGATTTTTCTTCTATGGATACATGTTGTTTTGCACTTCAACCATTGATATCTGTTTGAGAGAATTTTCTGTTTGAAAAAGCTTTTCTCCTGAATCATGAGAATTTCAGTTTTATTCTGGATTTAATTTATGGTGGCAATGTCACCATTTTCTTCCTTGATATTAGGATAATTCATTATATGGATTAAAAACTCTCATTAAATTGCTCGAGTCAAATCTCAGAGTAGTTCCAGGGTCCTATTTATTTTTATATTTTTTTTCTTTTGAATCAGCTGACCACATCCTCTTTGGATGAGAACGAGAGAGGATGTGAAACAAAAACCAAAAAAATTTCCAAGAAAAAAGTAAGACAAATTAAAAAATCCACCGAGTACAAAAGAAAAATTCGTACTGAATGATTAGATTACTCACATTAGAGTACGTGACATTCGTCCTCCGAAAGTTAGAAAGTTGACGAAGCAGGTCACTCTTTCGAAACTTGAGATTCCGACAATCTGCATCCAACCTTTTCCTCTCAGCTTTCAACTTTTCAATGGCACTTTGAAGTTCCTCTTGTGGGAAACTGATCTTAATTTCAGGAACATCCTGAAATCATTACACAAGAATGATAAACAGAACAGGAAAATAGTGATTAGTATATTGTCTCTCATTAAGACTTTTCAATAAGTCTTCAAAATCATTCTGTTAAAATTAAGCATGTATTTCACTAAGTTTCATTTTCACTGTTAAATTTTCTGTTCTTACATGAAATACATAATGTTTGATACTGGTATACAACATCAACGTAGAGGACTATCTTTCCCACAGCAACTAACCCTGAAAAATGTTTATGTTTGGTGCGATAGAGGGAGTAAATGAATTTGTGGCAAATGACTAACGTCGACATTTATCTGGTAGTAGGATCTTGATGTCACTCAACAAAATCAGTTATAATCACAACTTAACATTAAAATGGAAAAAAGGACAAGCATAGACAGAATGAAAATGAGTACTTACGGCTTTTTCTAATGAACAGGAAGTGCAAGTTGAGACAAAATCAGCATTGCTATGTGTCTGAACCTCCACACTGCATTTTTCTGCAAACACATTGCCAAATAATCAAAGAGTGATTAAAATTTTAAAAAGATCTGCAGAAGCAAATGAATAAAGAATCTGGCTTGTAAGCTTTAAAAACTCCACGTCTCTCACATACTAAACAAACATCTTCCGAACTTTCCTTTGTTCCTTTCAACAGAATTTTTTATTGAAGCATCAGATGTCATGTATCATGATGACCTATTTGCCCGAAATTTTTATATTTCCTTTCTTCAGAGACAGATTTTATTAGATGTCGTTGTAAAGGAAAAGAAAAAGTAAAAGTAGCGTCATAATTATAGGTGCCATTTATCATGATAAAATTGGAAGTATTTCTGCCGAACGGAACTACATAGGTGCATTATGATGTGAGCCCTGTTATGCATACATTCTTATGGGTCTCAGGGCTCATGTCTCAATGAACATAGTTCCGTTAGGGCAGAAATACGTCCGATTGTGGAATGCAGGTTCAGGCGATATGAATGCATTCATGGAGTAATGCAAACAAAATGTATGCACAGTTGCCTTCCTGATTGGTCAGATCTAAAAGATGACAAATCTTGATTCAAGCAAATATCGAGTTGAGTGGTAATAGTAGTAGTAGTTGATCAGTTTCCAAAGGAGAAGCAGAGTTTGATATATTTTACTCACCAGCTTGTTGTTGATTCAATAATTCTTTGAGCAAATTCATTTCTGTTTCTTTATCTTCTAATTCTAAAGATGCTTTCTTGCGGAAGAGTTCAAATTCTTCTTCAAGATCTATAAACTGAAAATTAGAGGATGAAAATATTAATAAAACAGGTCATAGAATTTTTGTGGGTTCACTTAAATTTGTTCAAAGCAAATTGATCACTTAATTATTTAAAGTTTACACTTCTGGTTGCTACTATTTTTTTCTTGCAGCAATGCAGAAGTCTTATTTGGGGAAGATTTATCCCTTTGCAAGCTTTGGCTTACACATCTAATGGCATTTCTCTAATTGAATCGTTCATTTTTAAAAAAAACTCGTTAGAAACGAAAATACGAGAGAAATAAATGATAGAAGCTGTATCAATTGACCTGTTTTAAATCTTAGATGAATGATTAATTAAAAACAAAATACTTTTGAGCTCTGAGATTTAGAATGAGTTGATTAGAACTGTTCCTACAGTTTTTTGTTTTTATTCTTTTTTATCTACATTTTTATTTCTAATGCTTAAACATTTTTGGGAATGATCGTTTCTCTAAAGAAAAATCATGAATTTTCATATTCCGGAGCTGTACTTTAAACAATGTAGATAAAGGTGAAAAGAAAAGGATTTATTGGTCAAAATTGGAGAAGGAAAAAGAGTGAGATGGTTTCTTGACTTCAAATTTTAGGAGATTATTACTTTTTCATACATGATTGGATAATTACTTATTGTATTAAGTACAAAATTACAAAAGAGAAAAAGTATGAGTTTAAGAGATATACCTGTTTTTCTAGATCACCTCTCTCCTCAATGGTGGGTAAGGTAGTTGTTTCATCCACAGGATTACTAAAGAGAGATGCATATTCTTGAATTTTCTTCTCAAGATCAGCATACTTTTCGTTGCTTATCTTTTGCTCCTGTCAAACATAAGATGTTTGATCAAATTGTTCATTAAAAACCACCACTACAGGTTAAAAAAAAGAAGAAAAAAAGAAAAAATACTAAGGCAGAGCTTCACACAATTTTTTGCCTTGACGCTCTTATATTTGTTGGAGAGAGATTTGCTGTTCAGCAGTTACAGGTCCCTGGTATATCAGCATCAGTTCACAGATGGTGTCTCCTGTGTTTCATAATTCAGGTGCTTACGCAATAAGAAAAAAAGAAGTGATCAAAATGTTTTAAGAAAAGTTTTTTTTTAAAAACAAAATTTGATTTACGTTATTCCAAGTTGAATTAGTCTTACAGAATTAATTGAGAAAAATTGAAATTCAGAAATCAACTTCCATTTCTATGAAACTAGTTGGAACAATTTATAGTCACTTAACTGTTAAAATCGCATATTGTGTGGACACAAGACGCTGCATAAAAATGGACCGGTTGCAAACTTTTCCTAGAGCAAAAATAAGAGTTGTTACTCATACAGGGTGATCCAAAAGTCCCTTCCACCCCCTCTAACTTTTTACCTAATTGAGGTAGCGATTTTAACAGTTAAGTGACTATAAATTGTTCCAACTAGTTTCATAGAAATGGAAGTTGATTTCTGAATTTCAATTTTTCTCAATTAATTCTGTAAGACACCGGTTATTCGTCGATGGATTTGCGTGAAAATCGGTATGTAGGGGTATTTTGACACGAGAAAAACGAATTTGACGTTAGATTTTCAAAAAAACCGAAATTTCCAAAATGGCCGCCGGTTAAAGTTTAAAATGGCCGAAAATTGTCACCTCGATTTTTTACTGATGGATTTGCCTAAAACTTGGAATTTGAGAGTATTTTGGCATAAGATAAACAAATTTGAACTTAGAATTTAAAAAAATCAATTTTTGGTCATTTTGAACTTTAACCGGCCGCCATTTTGGAAATTTCGGTTTTTTTGAAAATCTAACGTCAAATTCGTTTTTCTCGTGTCAAAATACCCCGACATACCGATTTTCGCGCAAATCCATCGACAAATAACCGGTGTGAATTTTCGGCCATTTTGAACTTTAACCGGCCGCCATTTTGAAACGGTTTGAGATATTGACTTCGGGTTTGCGCGAAAAGTTTCTTTTTTTATGCTCTTTCGAACGAGCTATCACAAAGGGGGTCTTCCCATTTGAAAATTAAAAGTTGGGGGCCGTTGCCCCCCCAAGGGGGGCCCCCCTGAGAATTTTAGGGGGGCCAAAAAGTAGCTCCCTTTGACCTACGAATATCCCCCAAGTTTCGAATCTTTACCCCAATTAGGTAAAAAGTTAGAGGGGGTGGAAGGGACTTTTGGATCACCCTGTAGAAAGTGTCTCAAGAATCACGATGAGCGCATCCGCTAAGTCTGAAATGCACTCCTTACTTCACAATTTGTGTAAGAAATTTGCGTTTTTTCGAGCTTCCTGCTTCAAAAACGATACCTTGGCACAGGTAAACATTTCGTTAGAGGAGTCATTCCATCCAACCCCTGCTCACAAGGATAATACGCAATATACACAGAGCCGACGCCAATCCGCCAAAACACATGTGACGATGACATGTGTGATGATTCTAACCACCTGATAACAATTGGCGTGTTTACATTCACATTTTCCTCGTGTTGATAAATATTCGCCTTGATTGACCTCTTGCTTTCCTCAAATTACGTGTGGAAGCGTCGGCCATGTTGAGCAGGAACTGAACGGAACGACTTCTCTAAAGAAATCTTCACCTGTGCTGTAGTATCCTTTTTGAAGCGGGAATCTTAAAGAGACGCAAATTTCTTGTGCAGATTGTGGAGTTAGGAGTGCATTTTAGAGTTTGCTGATGCACTCATTGTGATGTTTGAGACATTATCTGTAAGGAACAACTCTTATTTTTGCTCTAGCAAAAGTTTACAACAGGCCCATTGAATAATTACTGAAGGCCCTACTTAAAATGAGCAATGAGACTTGAAGAATTGTTGCAGTAGAAATAAATAATCTTTAACATTAAACTACCCTCAAGAAATTTGTTCATATTCAAACTCTGATATTTCAGATATGAACATAATAATAAACAATAGTCACTGCACTGCTCTTACCAAGATCAGTTTAACGGATGATAATAGTAGCAGGTTGCCAAAGACAGCCATAAGAATTGTTATTTTCAAGTTCCATTTTCGAGTTTTATAAGTATCCATAAGCTTTTTCAAAATTTGAACTTACCTCATCAAAGAGTCTTCTTTCCTCATCCAATTTATCATTCCAATAATTTTCACACTCTTCATACTCGTCTTTTAATAGCTCGATGCCTTTTTCCAAAGTTTCACACTTTTCCGTCAATTTTTTAATGCTATCTTCCTTTTCAGAAAGTTCATTTTTGTACTGCTTTATGGCATCATTAAGTTCATTATTTTCCTGGCTTAGTGTTTCCACCTTAGAGCATTTGAGAAGCAAGCTGTCCCGCTCTTCTAAAAAGGCTTCTAAAGTTGCCAATTTCCAAATTTTCAGGGGAGACTGAAAACTTTCTCGCAACTTATCAAGATTTACGGCAGAAGTTTCCTCTGATTCTGACTTCAATGAAGGAAAGGAATCACATTTTCCATCACTGTCACAGAATATTTTATTCATGAACAGCTGTACGGATTCATTGATCCCAGAATTAGGAACTTCAACATTTTTGTAATTTTTACTCAACAACTCCGCTTCCAGATTGTTGACATAAATTGTTTTTTCTTTTGGAATGCTTGAAATTAAATTGTTCGAAATTGAGCTCATCCTGAATGCATCCGGATCACTCCTGTTACTTACAACATTCAGATTATTTTTGTTTAATTTGTAACTATCTAGGGAACAAAACTGATTTTCTTGAAGATGCTTAGATGGCAGATCAAATGCATAATTTGACAGGTCGGTAAAATTATTTGAGAGCGTTGAACACGAAATGTTTTCTGTGTGACTAGAGTTTTTCATTGATAGATCATTGATATTCCAGGGGATTTCTTCTTTGTTTTCTTTCTTCTTAGAGATTTGCGTGAGTAGATTGGATATTTGTGACTTCAAAACACTGTTTTCAAAATTACAGATCTTGTTCGCTTCGATGATTTTCGTGATTCGAGATTGTACTTCGTTCAGATTAATTTGCAGAAATGCATTTTGGCTTCCGTCTGATCCTGGGTCTTCAGATGTTTTGTTCTTTTCATCACTTGGAGCCTTTTTCTTGATGTTTCTTGAGGTGTCTGCTGTTGGAAGAGCAAAATCTGCATCTGGAAGTGATTCCAGCACCTGAAAACAAAGACACAGTCAAACACTGGTAGTAAACAGATTATCATATCTTGGCTGGGGGTCTGATGTAACATAGATCCTTGCAGCCTCACTCTTACAAGGGAGAACAATAGAATTATTCTCCAGGTCATTTGGAGTCCTGCATCATAAACTAGACCTTCATGGCTGCCCACAGCATAATAGGAGTATACAAAGCTCACAGAGTTGTAGCAGCGCTAGACTTTTGCGCCATTTGTAACCTTATTTATTTCATCAATGAGAAAGGGTATTCAGCTGAAGCCTTGGGACATAAATGGCATTCTTATGTTAAACAATTATATCCAAAAAAATTTTACAATTTAATCCTCCATACGAAAACTGGCGCATTGGAAAACAAAATGTCTCAATTATGATTCACATATATTTGAATTCCTGCTACATGTAATGTCCACAGCTATCTGCTACAAATACCCTTTTGATTCTTAGATCCCTAGATATCCTTGCAATGCACTCTTGGTAATCGTTTGATCATAATACTGCCAAGATAAGGAAGAACACCATATGAACATTTGAGAGTTGCCGAATTTCCTCCAAAAAATGTTCAATTTTAAGGAGATTTATGAATGTTTCCTCTGGAAATTTGGAAAAAAAAAAATTTGCTGACTTCCCGAAAAATTCGTATGTTATCAAGGGGAATTTGACAACATCTAAAAACTCATACGGCGCTCTTCCTTAGCACAGCAGAATAGCTTAATCTGTCGCTTCTCTGGCGTACCTCGATTTTCGTCTAAGCTCCGGAAAGCATGGATTTACAAATGCAGAAATACACTCTTACATAAGATGAGCAACAAATTATACAAGTCACAGATCATTTTTTGCTGCATGACGCACAAGATTGTAGATATAGCTAGGAATAAAAAGAGCTCAAAATGCAAATGAAGTTGCAAAAAGCATAAAATTATTATTGCAAAAGACATTATTATCAGAATTATTTCAACGTTGAAGTATAAAGCAGCACCAAAACAGGTATCAGATAATAAGAACTTTGTGAGAAATTTAAAGGGGGGCAGAGAGGAGAGTCTAAAAGCAGATTTAAGTAATGGTGCATTCAGTTTGACACATCAAATTATTGGCCCCCTCCATCGCCATTTCAACAACGCAAATAGCATAAGTCTATAAGAGGTATGGCTGATCCAACTGATTACATGAGTGGCTTACCGCTTGAATTTCCAATAATTTTGCCTTTACTTCAGGATTTATTTCACCTAGATTTTCGGTTTCAGTTTCTTCATCCTTGGTTATTGATGGTAGCACTTTCTGCAATAAAAAATGAAATGCAAATTTTAAAAAAAAAAAAGAAAAGAAAAAAAAAACTACTGAAACACTTGACAATTTTCTTCACTTAAATTCTATTAAGCTATAGAATTATAATTAAGAATACCAATAAGCCATTAGTAAGAATCAAAGTATGAAATTTAGCGGAAAGGAACTAGAGCAATTGGAATGTTGTAATAAAAACTGTGAAACTTTATCTTTACCTAGAGAAAAACAAAGGATAGCAGATAGTATTCATTTTTTCATAAAAAAAAATTATTAATTTTAAAGAGTGTAGCTCGTGTGAATTTTACCTTTGTTCATAATTAGTATTTAAGACAGAAAAGAGGAAATTTCACAATTATGGAAACACTGTAATCGTTATTGGTTTCCTTCTGTTACATGCAATCTAATTGCAGTGGATGGTTGTTTGGTCAGAAAAGAAAATGTAGTCAACATTTTTAAAATTGGACGTTTTAAACCTGGCGCAAACTGCAGTTCTGAAATGGATGAGGAGAATGATCCGGTCAAAAATGTTTCCCAATGTTTCAAAAGATAACCAACCAACATCTCTACATCAGACTCAGGGGAGAATTTTTGATCAAGCAATGGTACTTCACACAGTTTCAAGTTATGAGAAAGATCAGTTCACTTTCCATTCCAATATCGGCTCTTAGTGGATGCAACTAAAAAAGCTAATATTACTTGTACATTATGAAGATGTATGGGTAAAAAACTATGTTAGGTGACCAGTATAACAAGATTAAACGCTTAGTCTTACTAAATCTGTCAAGAGAGGTTAAACCAAGCTAAGGCTTGGAAATTTACAGAAGCAGAAAGGCCCGATAAATTCTTGTTAGAAATGAGAGAATGAGAGACGACGAGGAGAGGACAGTAAATGAAGGCTGTATTAGTAGTCGCTCCTTAAGCAGCTCCTCCCCCTCAGAAGGCCCCACATGTTTAACATTGTCGTAAAGGGATTTTAAGGCCACTTTTATCGTAACATCATAAAAAAGGATAATTTTTACAAACTTTCCGTAAATTTGAAAAGTGCAACATTGGAAATACTTAGATCCTCTTAAGCAATTAAAACGATTCGCCGTAGCCAAAAATACAAATTATAAAATGAAAATTTCTGTGGAATTACAAACTTTAAGATAAGGATAGACCTACCTTAAAATTTTCAAAACCCTTGATATTCGTCCTTTCAAATTTTACTAATACTATTTGCCGAGGTAAATCATATTAATCCATTGCAAGGATACATTTCTAAATTCACACTGCTGAAGTTTATCCAAGGCTCAGAAAAATTTTCCCCTTCATTAGGATATAGTTAAGGTCTCCTTAAAGCTACCTTAAAGGTACCTTCCTGAGGAGAGAGGCTCATCAAGGAAGGACTATACATTCAGCCTTAAATAAAAAAGAAAAGAGAAACGGATCACATGCATAATGTACATAAGAGGTACAGTGATAAGAAATTAGTAATAAAAACGAGTGACATGTTACTCCATAGAAAAAACAAGCATTGAAAAAAAAAGAAAAAAAGAGAGATGCTAAAAATGTTTACCGGCTGATCAGAGCTCATGGCGAGAGGAGAAAGAAACTACGAATCTTAGATAATTGAACAAGACAAGAGGACTAAAGCATGTTCAGAAGAAATGGCAAGCGATAGACAATCCGATCCAGCACTGGCCTTCTGCCAAGAGTGTTTGTCTCAATCTTGTAAAACTACAGGGTGTCAACTAAATTCCACTTACAACATTTTTGACCCATCCTGAATTTTTCAATCTGCTCTTAAAATTAGTTTACTCTCATAGGTAGATAATGATGAAAAAGTGTTAATACGAAACAGGGAGGGTTTTAGAACAGTGGGATTTTCTTAAGTGTTTCATTTTTCTTTCTTTCTTTCTTTTCTTACTAACCCTTCTTTAAAATGAGGGATCAAAAATCAAGAGAATATGGCGCAAAAAGTGTAGACCCTCCAAAGTGAAGCTATAAGGACATTGGCCTCTAGGAAAAATTAAAGCTTTCTCTTTGAATACCATATAGATGATCTAGAACCAAACTAATGTTTTGCTGTCAGCATAAGCATGATATGGATAGGTCAGGAGGGGCACCTGTCTTTTCAGAGACTAAGTTCTCTGTATATAGGACGATTTTGATAGAATAAAATGCCTTTTTAATGACTGTTTAATGACATCAACAAAAATCAACCCCCCCCCCCTCCTCCCTCATTTCATTTCTGCTGGAATTAATTTCCTGAAAACTGGTGACAACAAATGGAATTAAATCGAGTAAAGTGATAAGTGAATGAGGGCTTGAAAATTAGTGGTGAAAAGGGAGGCTATGGTTGTGATTCCCTCAAGTAAAGCATTCAATAGAAGGATTTCTAAAAAAATGTTTGCTTGCATCCGGTCATTCTTAGAAATCATCAAGAACTTGAAGAAAAAACGAAACATTCACGAAAAAATAGACTGCGATCAATAAAGAGGAACCAAATCCTATTGAATTAAAACTGAGAAAAATATATTAAATTACATTTCCCCGGAAAAGCGCCCCGGGGTGGGGGTGGGAGGTGGCGTTGAACCACATTTTCAACGGATCAAATTTTTTTTCCGACTTAGAATATATACCACAGGAGCAAACGGACTACGTTTTGCAATTAGGAACTACAATTTCTAGCTCATCCGTAAAAACACTCATGTGCATAGGGACACTAATGGTCTATATGCTGTTTCTAAACTGGACCAGACATTGCACTTCCAAATGGCAAATTCAGTCCAAATACGACAATGTTTCAGCTCAAAACTACTCTTAACGTCCTGCTGTAAAAATGGGAGGAGTTTTTATTATTTAAATTTCTTAATTCAAACGAGACAAACACCATTCACGGGATTTTTTGTCATGTTGAAAAATCTTAGTTACAATGTAAAGGTTCCAAAAGCAGTGAATTAATGTTAATTTTTTATGTTGGTCGAGAGCTGATGATGAGATCATTACAAAAACTCATTATGCTCTGACTTTTGGTCAGGATATTAGTTATTTCTACTACTTGTTTTAAAAAGGTTCCCTTAAAATAGGATTTTATTTCTGTCATTTTTGATTAATATGTATGACAATGTACCATTGATAAGAGAAATATTTATACCAACACTGATGCGGATTTGTGTAGATGATGAAATATTATCAAAGGACTGGAAAAATGAGGAAAATTGTGCGAAAAAAATTAAGGGAGCCTACAGATTAGCACTGCACTAAAAGGTAATTAATTAGCTTCTACTATCGTTGATGTATCCGATAAAAAACTTGATGGCTCAAACAACTTCAATTCAATGCATCTCCTCTGATGAAAGCAAAGCACCACCATTACTGTCAGGCCGACATAGTTTCATTAATCGGGCCACTGGTGGGGTCTCGGGTTAGGGATGGCTAAAGTGTAATTCTGTTCCTGCTTTCCAAGAAATTAGTAATATACTTTCAAGCAAAGCCTTTACGAATTCATATTTGGCAGAAAAGGTTATAAGGTGTCTTCTAGAAGGAAGGATTGCAAACTCTCTGGTGTTTCTTTTTTAAGACCACCTAGGAAAATAAAATCAATGTTTTTTCTCCTCTTTTTCACCTGGTATTAGCATGGCAACAGCTATTAATTTCTTGTTAAAATTCTTATTTACCTTGTTTGTGAGTAGAGAGAAAAGAAAAGAATATAATAAAAAAAGAACATTAAAACTCCTTTCACAAATATCCTCCAAAATGGTAAAATTGTTTTACCATTTAACATTAAAAAAGCTCAGAAAAGTTTAATATTTTTCCCTAGAACCAATTGTAAACCTGAATGTAGACTTGCACATACCCTGATCTTATAAAACAAATTTTAGTTACACACTGGCAGGTACATATCATTAATTTTTGTAAAAACCTGTGAGATTCCGAGATTTTTTCGGCCATTTGCTATGATTTGAGGATTAAAAAATGGCAATGCGATGAAAATGGAATCTTCATCTGACATTCCTTTGGGATTCAAAAAAATTGGGGCATAATTAGGCCTCATAAAAACTTCTTTTATCAAAGCCTAAAAAGTAATGTGTTGGATAATGTCCTTTCCAACATGCTTGAAAGCCTCTTAAGCACGATGAGTATTTCAAATGATAGTTTCTACATCCCAATTTTGAGAAAAGTGGGGCTGAAAGTGAATTTTTTGTTTTTGTAGCTTGCAGCATACAGTAGGAATGCTGCTAGATTTTAATAGTCATCAAGGAGAACTTCTGTTTCCTTGCTGGCTGGGAAGAAATGGCAGACAGAGACAATTAAAGTCCTCCTGATCACAACTACAAACAACACAGCGCCCACAAAGACATAGCAACATGAACACGCATGTAAAAAAGCCAAAAAATAAACTTTCCTGCTCTGCTTTTCTCAAGATTGACACAGAGAAAGTATAATTTTAAAAGCTCATCATGCTCCAGAGGTTGTAAAGAACATTACATCAAATAATATTAAAATTTAGTTGGCACAAAATTTCTTGGTATTCCGTGCAAAACTCTTTCATATCCTAGGTGGATAAATCAAAAGGATAAAATTACTTAAGACCCAAGGCATGCAACATTAAAAACAAAGGATGTTCATTGATGCTGAAAAGATAAAAGTCAGCGTATATTGTAATTAGTGAGTCATGCAAATTGAATGGAAAAAAAAAAAAAAGAATTATGCTGAAGTTGAAACAGACATTATGGGCCAAGGGCATTAGAATTAAAACAAAAAACTCACTGTGTCAGAGGTAAATAATTGAAAGTCTCTGTATTTTTGATTTCTTTAAAAAAAAGAGAGAATTTTTTTTTCTTAAATAATGCTGAACGAAATGATATTGCATGGAACATGATCAAAAGGAAACTCGAGAAACATGCACAGAAATAAGGAAAATCAAATAGAGCTGTATATAATCGAACACAACCTGAAGGCTATTGATGAACATTTAAAAAAAATCCATTTTTGTCTACAAAACGTTA